CAAGTTTCTTTCAGTTTTCTCCTTTTGTCACGTAAAACCTTCTCATTAAGTGGGGGTGGTACATCAACGTTGAACTCCATCAGATCAAGACGTTCCATATCAGCTAAAACTTGATGTGGATCTTTTCCTTTTAAAACTGCAGTCCTGACCAGCATTCGCTGTTTCCGTTGCTCCTATCGCTACAAGCCCTATGACTGTTGGAGGCTCACCCACCTCTGGTTCATCCCAATCTCAAACCGCAACCTCATCAAACTCTGGCTCCTCTGCTTCCACTGGTTCCTCAACTGTTTCTCGTAACAGTAACAATGATGATGACGATGACGATGATGACTTCTCAGTTGGATCTTTTGCTCCACGAAGACCACACCGACATGCTCCTTGCGATGCACTCGCTTCCCTTACTCGCATGTAGTGACAAGGTTGTTGTCGTTGTTCTTGGTGGTAATGGACCTGAAAGTCGATGGGGACGAATTTATCTCAAAAAATTGACTATCGGTATGCTTGGATACCAAACAATGCGCCAAAGATATGGTATCGAGGTCTAACTCCATTTTCGCAGCTGTATAAAAGGTTTATTTGAATATCAAGCATTTTAAAATTTGGGTAAATCTATGGATATTTTAATGACTGCTTAGGACCTCGATAGCTTGATTGTTAACAAATTTTAAACACAATCGATGAACAATTGGATTCAATGTTGTTTTTGTTAGCATTAAATAAGATGGGAAAATATTAGATTAATATTTTTATTGTGTTTTATAAATTCAGTGTATTATTAGTAAATTACTAATAATATTTAGTCTTTCGTTTTCAAATGCTCATCCAATTTTTAAAATAGAAGCAATTTGTTTCTTTCTGATCGATGATTAGACGTAAAAACTCATTATCAGTAAAAACATGATTACTGGTGAAAAAACTGTTGCTTTAAACCCTAGTTATTGAGATGGCCGCGTGAGCTCTCAACTAAATTACCGATAAACTTGATAAAATCAATGGTTGGCCTAATGATTATCATGAATATCCTATAAACAGTTAAGTTTAACAAGGTAAATCGATTAAAGTATTGAATAATTGATTATTCATTTCGTGGTAAACATTAGATCGATTCAAGCAAGCAAGATGCTGAGTTTGAATGGAAACATTGTTTATCTGAAATACCGATTGAATACAAAAACATATAACATTGAAAAATTGAAATCTAAATTAATAGATTCTTGGATTACTGCTTTCAATTACTCAGAAAATCAATACTAGTTTATAAATTTAAAATGGTATTTGTTAATCTACCCATTTGAAGAAGTGGGCTTTTGTCTCTATGATAAATTTACAGATATTTTGTTGTTTTTGATTATTATTGACAATTTCTTTGAAGTGAGTGCATTTTGAACGACGATGTTGGTGGTGAATGACAGCTTAAATAGATGTAAACTCTGAAAATGCAACAACTTTTTGTTTGTCATAACGATAGATAAAATTTGGTGAAATTAACCTGAACTCAGTCCTTTGAATGGTCAAGTTGATTTTCATTCAATCATTTGTTAGTCTTGCAGCTGATTGATTTGAGTATTCATTTAAAACTAGATTATGATGAATGTATGCTGGTTTTCAAAAAGTTCAGATGAAGATGAATAGCAGTGATCCAATTTGATATTAAGTTTGCTTGCTTTTTAACTCGTCTTTAATTGATACTCAACGATGATTTTGATTTTGCTGATTATCATAAAATCCAATGCTTTTTCCGGAAACTTGTCTAACTTGAAATGAGCGAGAGAAGCAAAAGATTATAGACGAAAAAAAGACAATGCTAAAGTAATGGAGTTATGTTAAGGTGACTGAAAAAGGTGAATCAGTTGTAATTAGGTAGGAGTAAAATTACAAAGCAGGGAAATGTCACCGAGCAAATGAAAAAGGGAAGGTCAAGAGCTAAAAAAGTTGAAAAATGATGTTATTAAGAAATTGAGAAATTAAGCGATGATGATTTAGCGGATGTAAAAAACTTAAGAATGAATCACCGTTAGTAATTGCAGAGAGGGAATCAGTATGAAGAAGAAGGTATGTATATATAGATGAAACAAATGGTTTACAGTTTGATTTGAACAGTTAGAGAAAAAAGGCTTTGGCCAAAAAATCCTTGGTATCTGTTGTTTTATAGATGACAATTGAAAAGATTGACGAGCTTCGTATATAAATATTTTTTGATGGTGAAGTCGAATGAAAAGCAAAAAAAGAACCAAATTATTGGATGTAGTACTTATGGATTTAGTTTAAGCAGCAATCCAAAATTATCGAAACTCGAACACTTGGGTTGAAGTTTCATTAACGTGTTTTAGAATGAGTGATTGGTACCTATCAAAGAGATAATCAAATTATTAATAATCAGTAAGTATAAGGGCAATCATTTGTTATAGTAAACTTCTGATTGGATGGTAATTTATAAAATTACCAATAAGAAAAGATGAAGATTAATTTCTGGGTGATTCAAGGATCAAAATTGCTAAATATAATTAGAAATAAACTTACATCTCAGATGACCTATGATAATAGTAACCTTCGATCAGTTGAGTCTTCTTGTTGAAGCAAATATAATAAAAACCAGCAAAACTAGCTCCATTAATTTCTTTTATGGTATGATCGGGTACGAGGAAATGTTCCTTCCATCTCATAAACATACAATCAAAGTTGTCCAACTGAGCGTAATCAAAATTATCAGAATTGAAAGTATTTACAAAATTTTCGGCAAAAGGCTGAAACTTAGACCAATGTTTTTTGTCAACTTCTTCATCGGCTTCCCATTTCCTTGTTAAGAATGGATATCTCTTTGATATGATTTCTCCATGGAAGAAAGTTGTCATGGTTGGAAATTCTTCCGTTAAACCTGTAAGATTAAAACGTAAATAATTATTAAGGAAGCAAAATTAGAGGCAGATTGACAGGGAGAATGGAAGTACAATGTAACTAGAAAAAGACAAAGGCGAGAAAACAAATAAACATGAAGTAATTGAAGGTATTGACATTATCTGTTATTTCTAAAAGACATAAAGTCTACAAAAAAATGATTTTGTTTTCTTGAGCGCCTAATTATCAAATAAAGTTCAATCTATCGAAAAGATAAAATATGAGCAATATTATGATTCACATATATCATTCAAGATGTCATTGTAATGTAATACAACGACAGTAGTACTTTATCTCTTTTCCAATTTTACATTTGTATTTCACATGTAATGCAAGGTTAATGCCACTGAGCGATAAAATTCATACCTATTATCTTGAGGTATCCACAGAGGTATGAGTTAGCTTTGTCAACGTGCTGTAAAATAACTTCAACATCATATGAGTTTCCTTTTGATTTCTGGTGGCCAGCAAACCTTGATCCATTGTAGAGAAGAGAACTATTTATACCAGTCATTTGTGAATTAGCTAATAATGGTGGACCGAGTAGATGAAGCTTTTTAGATGAAGCATTATATCCCATGAGCACATCTTTAACGATTGTCTTTGCAGTTTCTTCATAAACGGTATCTTGAGTTGCATTTGGTTTGAACACTTTGTCAAAGACATACACTTTACCCTGTAAAAAGATTAGAGTTTACATTAAAGTGAAAAAAATGATAATAGAGAAGAGGACAGAGGATGTTGGAAGGTAGTCAATGGTGGCAAGTAACAAAAGCATCAAAACACAGGATTGGAGTTAAAATAAGAATAAGGAAAGGAGAACAGTATGGTAAAGACGGAATTTCGGAACAGGATAAAAAAAAGAACAAAGACTAGATAATGCAGAAGATTAAATGAGAGGAGCTTGAAACAGGGTAACAAAAAGAAGAAAAGGTGAAATCAAGAGTCTAGATACACATGAAACGCAGAAAATAAAAACAAAGACACAAAGAAACAATGATAATAATTACCCCAATTGATACGCAATCTTCAGTGTTGGTTGGATATTTAACTATATATTTTGATTCAGCTTTAACCTCACTTTCATTGACAGGTCTCAATCTACAGACTACTTTAATATTACAAACAGCATCATTAATGTCTGCCGACATTGATAGAATAAAGTATACACAGAAATAAAAAAACGCAAAAAGGTAAACTAGTTGGTTCAGCCCAAGGAAAAAAGTAACCGTTTAGGATCCAAATCTGAACACTACAGTGTTTATTTACTATCATCAGTATACAGGACCTGTATTACAATTATAATACATTTCTTACACATGCCCACCTCAGTGAGCTTTAGAAGCCCGCCAAATTTGAAAGTTTACTAGTTAGCCTCCAAGACCAAGTTTGATTGTAAAATAATACAAACAAAATGTAATATTAAGTAGATTATAGATTTATAAGAAAAAATTAGTGGCACATTAAGGCGAATAAAATGAATTGAATTGAGTTCAATACCTGAAATTGTCCGCCTAATGTTTCAAGCGCAAAATTTGAAAAACTAAATTTCTTATTTTTTAACCAAAAACGCTATTTTAACGCTATCTTAACGCTATTTTTTAGATCGCTTCTTACTCAGAGCGTATTTTTTGGTTGTATTGAAGGAAGAAAATCGAAGATTAACATTAAAATCGACTATTATTTAATTTTTTTTAATTGAATTTTAAGGATATTTCAATTAATACGGGATGAGGAAGATCAAAGAGTAGAGGAGATCCTTCCTTTACTCTTTGGGGAAGATGGAATGGACAATTTTGGGTGCTAAACTGTACGTGTAAAGTAATCAACATTTTGATAAGAATATAGACATTTTTAAGGTAATTAAAGTATATTTTACAGAACTCGTAAGATATGTGAAGCTTAATTAGTGTTTTCAACAAATTCATTCCAATGTTGTACACAGAATTCAATTCTTTCTCGTTCAACTTCACCCCAATTATCAATCTTCAAAACAATTGCTGATAAATCTTTATTCCTTCTCATTCACTTTAATTGTGTATCCAAATTGAGCAAAATTAGTCAGTATTTTTATCATTTCACGACTCAAATCAATATCTTTTTGTGGATAACCTGGTTCAACCAACAGACGACCAGAAACATAAGTTAGATCAGCGCCATGGCATCAAATAGTATCAAAACTTGGAACTGTAGTGTGTATGATAATAGCCACAGACATTATCAGTTTCTATCCCATCCTTTGAGCAATATTTAACTCCAACATCTAACAAGGGAAGTGCCTTTGCTTGTACGATTGATTTTTGCTTTTTTTACGCTGGTGTGCGGTTATTGATATTTAAGCGTTTTAACGAAAGATATTAATGCATTGCAGTCACTGAGAATCACATAAAACATTTGAAAATATCTCAATGGAAATTGTAAATTACTTTTCAGTGACTTCAATAGATTTCAATGCAATATCCGCACTTAAAAATGCCTAAATATCAATAACCGCACACCAGCGCTAAATATAATAGCAAAAATACTTGTCTAATTATTTTTCGTCCTTTACAATATTAACCCGAAAAAATGATAAAAAATCTTACAAGCAAGGGCACTTCCTTTGTAAGTTGGACAAACCAAAAGAATGCTATAAACTCTTCCAGTTGTTTTAAATGATATGCAGAGGAAGAATCTATTGGACTAATTGCAACATAATTAGGCGATATTTTATTTAACTCATTGAAGAGCTAAAAGTTAATCTTTCAAACCGGAATTCTTATCACCAAAATACATGGAATCAAAACATTGAGACGGTAACATTGAGCAGTGAGTAACAAGGACAATATCATGCAAAGGAAACATTGGAATACAACTTTTACTCTTTTCCTTGAATTCATTTTCCATCTCCTCTTCCTCTTCTTTCAACTCCCCTGAACAACTGACAAAACAGTAGTAAAAGATATGGCTGTCAATGCTCTGCTTTTTTCTTGCTGCCTGTTGATCAGCTCAAGTTTGTTGTTGTTTGTCTCATTGTTATTGACGTTATTAAAAAAATAATTCACCAAATTTCATCTTTTTTCATCATTCCATCCTTTTTTATTCGTGATTTTCATGAATATCATCATAAATATCTTTGCAACTTTTATTTTCATTATTTTTTCCAACTCAAACAAGATTAACCTTAACCAGATCCTTAACAAAACAACATCAACCTTGCTCAGTTCTCTGTATTATAACGCTACCAACGTTAACAGTTGCTACTTTTTTCATGTTGTTTTCAATGATAATAATCTATTTCCACCATCTCCATCAGCTACTTGATAATTTTTGTTTATCATTTTTTCATTCTTTTTGTTCATCTTTCATCGTTTACAAATTGAGGTTGTGAGGCATTTCAGACTTACAACTAATCTTTTTCGTGTCAAAAATACTTGAATGTATATTTGAACACACATCAGGTTTAATGAATTGACCTGATAGTTTACTGTCCTTACCAAAACCATTAATCTAAAACCAAGATTATCCTTATTATCTTTAGATTAACTTGATATTTTTGTTTTTTCCCTGATAACAATCGAACAAGCAACATCACATTGACATCCAGCAGACATTTTCATACAAATGCGCTTACAGAATGATCTTAAATCAAATCAAATGTCATCATCTAACCTCTCATAAAACTAAATTCAAACAAAAGCAAATGTTTATTAATGTCAACAAATGCAATATCCAAATGAAAACGGAACCAAATCATTTAAATCTGCTTCAAATCAAACGTTATTGTTTCCATTGACTCTATTTACTTGGATTAAAAGGATTCTAGACGAATGAACAGATTCAAAACACATGAATATCGATTTACGATGAAGGAACATGATGAACATGGAATGATTGGTGATAAAAAATTTTGTTACATTTAAACGCTGGAAAAGGTGCTTCTGTTTATTGAGCTTAATGATGAGGTTGAACCGTAAAACCACCAAAAGAAAAGGCTCAATCAGAAGAAAGGGTAAAAATAGCTCAATTTGAAGGAATAATCAATCGAGAATAAATTAATATTAAAATTTAAATTATCACATAATCTAAAGGTAAATGAAATGTTTAATGAGAAATTAATAATCTCAATTAACATATAGTATAATTCAGATTAATATAGATATTGATAAAAAAAACACTTTTGCCTGTAATCCTATTCTTGCTGTTTTGCAAGTTAAATCTCGCTATTCTGGGCTATTTTGGTTTACCTGATCAGAGTGCCGCAAGGTGATGATGGACACAAAAGTGGCTGAACATGAGATTAAAGCTAGAAGGTAAAAGTCATTAATAATTGATCCAAAATATAACTAACTGGTGAGAGAGGATAAATAAAAGATCGAGGTTGATGATCGTGTTCGATTCTTGATCTAGCTTTTTCATCTAACATGTTTATCCAATCTTTATCTTTATCAACTGGTCAATTACATTATAAACCGTGAAAAAGGCGAAAATGAGCGACTCTTTAAATAAATTCAGTCTTGAGGTCAAGTGAGTCGACATGATTGCTTTACTTTTCACCCTCCTTTGGCTTTCTCCTCCTTGACTCACTTCACTCTCTCCCAAAATCAATCTGATCTTGTAATACATAAATTGACCGTCTTTCAAATGATTTAAAGATTCGCTAGTCCATATCTTCATGTTCAATTGTGTCATTACCACAAGTTGAACATTTCATTTTGTGTTTACAGTTTTAAGTTTATCATTATTAAACCTTTTTCATCAACCAACCATGTTGTCAGTCTATATCGTTCCAGTGTTACTCTCTATCTTATGCATAAGCCAAGTTTACTCGGCTGACTCAAAGTTTCCTGGTTACAGCCATCAAATACTTGAGATTGATTTCAATACTTTGAGAGGATTGCTTGCCGAAGAAAAGCTTGGTGACAATGTGAAACGATCATCATCAGTTAATCCTGGTTCAGCTGCTTTATTGCCTGGAAATACTGGTAGCCAAAGTCCTATCTCTTTACCTTCCAACAACCAATACTCCTCGCTTCCAATCCCAATGTACCTTCGTAACCCCAGTCCAGTTAAGAAGCCATCTTGTGAAAACTCTCAGAAGGTTCTCAGAACTCCTTTAGCTGCTGCCTCGTCTGCTGTATCTGCAACTCATTATGGACTTTCATCTGCTTCAGTATCACCTGTACCATCAGCAGGACAACAAAGTGAAATAGCTAGAAATCGTTATTCAACTTTAACTCGTACTTATGCCGATTCTGCCGTTAAACCTGTCTCAAATCAAACCTTGTCATCACAAGCATCAGTTCCCGTCGAATATGCAAAATCTGCTGAAATTCATTCTGCAGAAACTGCATCCAATGGTGCTTCTACTGTCCTCGCTCAAGCTGGTTACGCTGCTGTTAGTCCTAACTCTCATCTTGCCATTGCTGCTCCAACAAGTGCATCTGGTTATGATTCAGGAAATATGCAAGCTTTGGGTCAAGGTGCTTCAGTTGCTAAATTACCAGGATTGAAACCTCTTGCAATTGAGGAAAATCAAAAGGCCGCTTTCCAAGATTTCACCGGAGCTTTGGAGAATCACGAATTTAAACCATTGACTAATCAAGATGTTTACAATTTACCAGTCGTCAGTCATTCAGCTTTAACTGGTGGTGCAGTCTCAGCGCCTCAATCTCAAGGAGCTTATAAAAGTTACTCAAATCAAGGCAACAACAATTATGGCGCCAGTCCCAACCAAGGTTACATGAAGCAATATAATGGATACTCAGAAGCTGCAGCTCCACCAAGTTATAACGAAGCTCCAGCAATGAGCTCTTCATACGGTGGTTTAAGCGACTCTCAATCTTATGGTGGTCAATATTATGGTGGAGCCAATTCAGCACCATCATATGGTGTCTCTTCCAACGGACCCAATACTCAATCATATGGAGGAGCACAAAATGTTGGACAATATTATAATAATGCTCAAAGTGGAGTCGGTCAATCATACGGTTATCCATCTGGAAGCTATGAAAGCTCTGATAGCCAAGGTTGGAATAGTCCTCTTCGAGCTTTTATTAAGTAATTCAGTATTCGTTAACAGTTTAAGAACGCATAAATTATTTAAATAAATGTTAATTGTAACAATAATTCAAGTTTTCCTACTTATTATGCACTCGTTTTAGATCAAAACATTGCGTTCTTTTCAATATTGGTTTAATTTTTCTTAACATGTCATTTAACAAATGTTCAAAATTTTAACAAAACAAAACAGTTTGAGGACTAATTGGAAATGGTAATCATTAATCAATGGTAGTCAACATTTTAATAATTTAGCCATCAACGAATGGAATGAGTAAATCGTCAGAAGCGCAATCATTGTATAAAGTGTCGAATCATCAGAATATCAATTTTTGTAACATAAATACAAAAATTTGATCTCTTAAATAATCCGATTTTCAGATCTATTAATACTTCAGATATACTTGGACTATTATATTAATTTGTACATTAAAGTATATTATACAGAACTCATAAGATATGTAAATTTTAAGTTATTGTTTTTAACGAATTTATCCCATTGTCGCACACAGAATTCAACTCGTTCTCGATCAACTTCCCCCAAATCATCAATGTTCAAAACCATTGCTGATAAATCTTTATTCAATCGTTTCCACTTCTTCTCATTCACTCTAGGCATGTATCCGAATTCAGCAAAATAAGTCCAAATTTTCATCATTTCACGACTTAAATCAATATCTCTTTGTGGATAACCTGGTTTAATCAATGGATGACCAAAAACGTAAGTTAGTTCAGCGCCATGGCAGGTACCCATCCAGGGACTGTCATCGCATATGGTATTGAGACTGGGAACAGGCTTCTGTGTATGATAATAGCCATAAACTTTACCGGTTCCTAGATCGCCCTTTGAACAATATTTAATTCCAAACATATAAGTTGGACAAACTAAAATGGTATCACTGTAAGCCCTCTCTAATTGTTTCAAAAGATATGCCGATGAAAGATCTGTTGATGAATTGAAATATAAATCAGTGTAAAAGTCTAGTGAGTCTTTGTTGAAAATTAATGAAAGGTAATCAACTGCTTGTGAGTAATTGAGGACAACGTCGATTTTTGGATTGAATTGAGTAGCACTGAGAAGTCCCATAAACATGGTAAATTCATTCTTCTCCACACCAAGCAAGATGTCATGTGAGTTATCAAATATTCCCTTTGAAAATGCTTCCAATGGGCTGTAAGGAAGGAAATCATCTCCATAAAACCAACGAAATCTAAGAGGACCATCAGATTGAGCATTAAGGATTGTCGATGCAGGTAAATTTTGTAAGCAATTGAGTAAGTCGGTAGATGAATTACATGGAGTACGACTGACAACAGTGAAACTGTTATTCAGGATGTAATCAGGATCCTCAACTGGAAACATAATTGTTCCTGATTGGAGTATTGCTCTTTTGAATAAACCTTTGGATAGAGGTGATAAAATATGTGCTGAAACTGACATGGAACCTGCAGATTCTCCGAAAATTGTCACCTGATCAGGATCACCACCAAATTTAGCGATATTTTCTTGAACCCATTGAAGAGCTAAAAGTTGATCTCTCAAACCAATGTTTGCTGGGATTCTTGGCTCTTTATCACCAAAATGCATGAAACCAAAAGCATTAACACGGTAATTGTGAGTAACAAGGACAACATCGTGCAGAGGAACCATAGGAATGCCATCATAATATTCATTGCCGAATCCAGTGGCCAAAGCTCCACCATAGATCCAGAATAAAACAGGTCTTAAGAACGACGTGTTCGATGATTTAAGAGTTGATTCAGTAACATAAACATTGATAAACAAACAGTCTTCATCACTTTGATCTGTTACGATGGGCTTTTGCAAACAAGGTGATCCATAGTTGACTACTTGCTTAACACTTGTCCAATTATCTGGTTTAACAGGTGATTGGAATCTTAGAGGTCCAATGGGAGGTTTAGCAAACGGAATGCCCAAAAAATGGGCAACTTTTACTTTCTCGTATTCAATGAATTTTCCTTGAACAGGTCCATTTGATATCCTGACAACAGGAGTTGAATCAATCGGATAAACTATTTGAATGAAAAACGCATACAGTAAAATATACAATACCAATATAAATAACAAGATAGTTGCGGCAATTATTGATGGAAGAAGTAGCTTGCTCATTTTAAGCTCACTTTTGTGAGATTTGAATTTAAAATCTCGTTTCTTCTTAAATTAAAGTTGTTTACTTTCACTCCAACCACTAATTTGAAGGTAAAGGACTTTTATTAAACATTTTTGCAAGATGTATCCACATTTTTATAACTGGTTAACTCAATAGTTAACTTACATTGGTAAGTAACCAGCCAAATTTAAAGCATGTGACAGTGAACCAAAAGAATGAGAATGAAGTGACAAAAAATCAGAATAAAAATAGCACCACTATTGAAAGCAATGGAAAGTGAAGTAAAAAATTGATTTTAAATCAAAAAAGTGACTACATTAGTTTACATATGAGTTAACTCATTACCTAATGGTGCCATTTTTAGTTAATTGTCATGTATTCTTGATGGGTGTGTCATGAAAATATTTTTAATCAAATTTGTAAGCATTTCAGTAGCAACTGTTCGAATGTTTTCAACGGATGTTACTAAAAAACACAATTGTTAAATCTATGCAAGCATTGCCGCAAGTCGGCAAAAACAGGTCAAAATTAATTTCATTCAAATTTGAACTCGATTGGTTTGTAGGGGAATAGAAACTAGGTCCATTTGCGTAATTCAAAAGTTTCTCTGATCAATAGTTTTCGGGGAAATAAAGTCCAAAGTTGAAACTTCGATCGGCTTTTGTGCAAGTATGGGCTAAGATTTTTTGCTGAAACTTATTTTACTAATGTAAATTTTGATGATGAACCAGAAAATGTACATATTTCGAGAAATAAAATTTTTGGTTTTCTGTGAAACAGATAAGTTCGATTTTGAGATAAACCGACTTTTTTCTGTGACCGAAAGAGTTAGAGAGGTTAAACTTATTATTCGTAAATAAAAATTGCCGCTACACATCATGGCACGTAATCTCTTTTCAATTTGTCCACAGTTCTTTTGATTTCTGCCATTAGCCTTAAAACTTTGAGCCTCGATATTTCGGGAATGGCATCACTTACAACCATCATTCTTTCACTACTTTGATTATTTACTAATTAATAATTTAATTCAATTTAATAAAATTCTATTAGCGCATTATGGTTATGAAATTTGGGTTGTAAATACATAGGCAAACACTTATTAAACAAACTAAACTCATATAAACCCATTTCTTGGTAAATAAACCAATTTTCTGGTTTAACTTTTTAATGTAATGCAAAGAGTGCTGCCAAAGGCTCGAACATTTGAGTAAAGAGTTGTCACTTAGTAGTTTTGTAGGGACTTGAAAACTGAGTCCATTGGCGCTAATAAATAATTCATCAGATGAATAGTTTGCGAAAAATTCGAGGCCAAAATTTAAACTTCGAACGCCTTTTGTTCACCTATGAAACCAGATTTTTTTGTCGAACTTTATTTTTCTGATGTAAATTTTGGTGATGAACCAGAATATGTACTTATTTTGAGCAATAAAACATTTGATTTTCTGTAAAACGCATAAGTTCGATTTCTATTTAAACCGACCTTTTCTTGTAACCGTAAGAGTTAGAAGACTGAAACTTATAATTCGTCCATAAAAATTATTTGAAAGCATCGTGGATCAAATATTTTTTTCAATCTATCCATAGTTCACTTGATTTCAGCCATTGACCTGAAAACTTTGAACCGAAATATTTCGATAATGGTAGGACCTACAGTCATTATTTTCATACCAAATATTAGGTTTTATTATGGGATATGAGTTATTGAAATATTAAATTATTCAGGGTCCTACAAAAAAAGCTATAGCATTGTGTTACTTATGTTGCAGGATCTGAGACTTGATTTATAAAGTTGAATGATTATTCAAACATAAATCTTTTGTGTTGGAATTATATTGATTATTAAATGAATTAGCTGAGATTTACTTCGGTATTCAGTCATATTATGTCATAACTCATAATAAAACAAATGATTAGTCAAAAAATAGTGGCTGTAGAGGCTAACATTATCGAAATATCGAAGCTCAAAGTTTTTAGGCCAATGGCCAAAATCAATTGAACTGTTGGTATATTGAAGAAAAGATTCGATTAATATTATGTACCAACAATTTTTATGGGCAGAAAAGTTAGTTTAAGGTCTTTAACTCTTTCTGTTACAGAAAAAAGTCGGTTTGACTGAAAATCGAACTTAACTGTTTTATCGAAAACAGAAAATTTTATTTCTCAAAATATATTCATTTTTTGGTTCACCATCAAAATCTACATCATTTAAATAAGTTTCATTAAAAAATATACTTCCATAATTGTACAAAAGTCGATGGAAGTTTCAACTTCGTACTTCATTTTCTCGAAAACTGTTCATCAGAGAAACTTTTTGATTGCACTAACGGATTTAGTTTTCATGTCCCTACAAACTGACAAAGTTTAGATTGGCATGAAATGGGTTTTCACCAGTTTTTGCCCATTTCGCTTTCAGTATTTGAGTAGATTTGTGCATAAATGTTACAATTGTGTCTTTTTATTAGAAACAAACGTTTTCAACTAACTTTTGGTTGTAAAAGCATCTAATTTGTTGGTTATGATTAGTTTTTAAAGGTTTCTCCAAATTTTTGCTTATAATGAACTCGTGAATGTGCTTTCCTAATTAGTATCTAATTACTGAATATGTCCAGCGTTAATATTTCCTCTTAATAAGTTCATTTCAACGATTCTCTATTTAGAGATGATAACGATGAGTTATTAGATAGAGAAAGGAATACATCCTAATTAGTTTTTACGGTCAGTCTTTTGATCAATTGAACAACATTTTAATGAGAATATAGACATTTTTATGGTAATTAAAGTATATTTTACAGAATTCATAAGATATCTGTGAAGTTTGTCTTAGTGTTTTGAACAAATCCATCCCAATGTTGTACACAGAATTCAATTCTTTCTCGTTCAACTTCTCCCCAATTATCAATGTTCAAAACCATTGCTGATAAATCTTTATTCAATGGTTTCCATTCCTTCTCATTCACTCTAGGCATGTATCCGAATTCAGCAAAATAAGTCCAAATTTTCATCATTTCACGACTTAAATCAATATCTTTTTGCGGATAACCTGGTTTAACTAACGGATGACCAAAAACATAAGTAAGATCCGAACCATGGCAGGTACCCATCCAGGGACTGTCATCGCATATGGTATTGAAACTTATAATAGGCTTCTGTGTATGATAATAGCCATATACTTTACCCGTGTCTATCCCACCATTTGAGTAATAATTTACTCCAAACATATAAGTTGGACAAACTAAAATGGTATCACTGTAAGCCTTCTCTAATTGTTTCAAAAGATATGCCGATGTAATATCTGTTGATGAATTGAAATATAAATCAGTATAATAGTCTAGTGAGTCTTTGTTGAAAATTAATGAAAGGTAATCAACTGCTTGTGAGTAATTAAGAGTAACGTTGATTTTAGCATTGAATTGAGTAGCATTGAGAAGTCCCATGAGCATACTGAATTCATTCTTCTCGACACCAACTAAGATGTCGTGTGAGTTATCAAATAATCCCTTTGAAAATGCTTCCAATGGGCTATAAGGAAGGAAATCATCTCCATAAAACCAACGAAATTTAAGAGGACCATCTGATTGAGCATTCAGGATTGTCGATGCAGGTAAATTTTGTAAGCATTTTAGTGGGTCGGTAGATGAAGCACAGGAAGTACGATCTAAAAGAATCAAGCTGTTTTCAAGGTAATAATCTGGATCTTCAGCTGGAAACATAACTGTTCCTGTTTGGAGAATCGCTCTTTTGAATAAGCCTCTTGCTAAAGGTGAAATGGTATGTGCTGAAACTGACATGGAACCTGCAGATTCTCCGAAAATTGTCACCTGATCAGGATCACCACCAAATTTATCGATATTTTCTTGAACCCATTGAAGAGCTAGAAGTTGATCTCTCAAACCAATGTTTGCTGGAATCCTTGGTTCTTTATCACCAAAATGCATAAAACCAAAAGCATTAACACGGTAATTGTGAGTAACAAGGACAACATCGTGCAGAGGAACCATAGGAATACCATCATAATATTCATTGCCAAATCCAGTGGCCAAAGCTCCACCAAAAATCCAGAATAAAACAGGTCTTAAGAACGAAGTGCTCGATGATTTAAGAGTTGATTCAGTAACATAAACATTGATAAACAAACAGTCTTCATCACTTTGTTCTGGTGTAATACGTTCGTTCCTTTGTAAACATGGTGATCCATATCTGACTACTTGCTTAACACTTGTCCAATTATCTTGTTTAACGGGTGATTGGAATCTTAAAGGTCCGACGGGAGGTTTAGCAAAGGGAATGCCCAAAAAATGGGCAACTTTCACTTTCTCGTATTCAATGAATTTTCCTTGAACAGGTCCATTTGATATCCTTACAACAGGAGTTGAATCAATCGGATAAACTGTTCTGAAGACAAATGAATTCAACAAAATATACAAAATCAGTAAACTCAACAGAATTATAAGTGTAATTATTGATGAATATAGCAATTTACTCATTTTAAATCAGCTTAACTTTTCAAAATCATTTTAACTTTTTAATACATTGGTATCACTTGAATAAAAGCGACCTTAGTGAAAATCACTATGTTGAAGGTAGCATTATTTTATTAACCAGGCTTATAAGATAATCATCTTTTTATAACTGTCTATGTAATCGTTTACTTACCGGGTGATCAAAGATGAAGAAGAAGAGATTGATCAATGGATGAATGGATTGCAAGGATGAAGACGTGTTCATTCCTCTTTTGAAAACTTCGTTCACACGATTCTCTGCACAGAGATGATAGGATAATGTCGAATCATTACTTGACCATCTCCATTAAGGCCAAATTTTGTGATTTTGTGATAACTGGCTGAAAAACTTAGCTAAATACTAGCTATAAACTCTTAAGCCTCTGTAATTAATCCGATTTACCGTTTTTATTTGCATTTTTATCTCGAAACTTTACAGAACAATAAACTGAATCATCTGATGATGAAACTTGACGATGACATAAATAATCTAGAGAACTCTGATATTCTATTTGATCGAGCTAAAGATAAATTGTTGTTGTTACTAATAAAACACAATCATAACGTATATACACGAGTTGACATGAATGGGCAAAACGGGTGCAAATTAATTTCGAGAAAACATTAAAAACCAATCGTACTAACAAAGCGCGGCATAATTTAGAATCAAAAGTTAGCTGAAAACGTTTGTTTCTAATAAAAGAAACACAATTGTTACATTTATGCACAAATCGACTCAAATACTGAGTGAGGAATGGGCAAAAACGGGTAAAAAGTCATTTCATGCAAATTTATACTTTGTCAGCTTGTAGGGACATGAAAACTAAGTCCGTTAGTGCAATCAAAAAGTTTCTCTGATGAACAGTTTTCGAGAAAATGAAGTTCAAAGTTGAAACTTCGATCGACTTTTGTACAATAATGGAAGCATATTTTTTAATGAAACTTATTTTAATGATGTAGATTTTCATGATGATTCATAAAATGTACATCTTTTGAGAAATAAAATTTTCTGTTTTCGGTAAAACAGTTAAGTTCGATTTTCAATCAAACCGACTTTTTTCTGTGACCGAAAGAGTTAGAGGGGTAAAATTTATAATTCATCTATAAAATTGATTCTACACATCATCGACTGAATACTTTCTTCAATAAATTAACCATTCTCTTGTTTTTTTGCCACTTGCCTTAAAACTTTGAACCGAAATATTTCGAGAACAACTTAACCTACAATCATTATTTTTCAAGCAAACATTAGACTGAACAATGGACTATAGCATAATATGACTTAATATCTCAGCGAAGTGCAGATAATTCATTGATAATCAATATAATTCTAACACAAAAGATTTGTGTTTGAATAATCATTCAACTTTATAAATCTGGCAACATAAGTAACACAATCCTATAACCTTTTCTGTAGAATCGTGAATATTTTAATATTTCGCTTACCTATATCTGATAATAAAACCTAATGATGAAGTGAAAAAATAATGACTTTACGTGCTACCATTATCGAAATATTGAGGATAAAAGTTTTTATCCCAATGGCCGAAATCAAGTAAACTATGGATAAATTGAAAAAAGTGTTTCATCCATGATGTTTACAAATAAATTTTATGGACGAATTATCAGTTTCAGTCCTCTAACTCTTTCGGTCACAGAAAAAAGTCGGTTTAAATGGAACTGGAATCAAATGGAACTTATGTGTTTTACAGAAAATGAAAAGTTTTATTGCTCAAAATAAGTACATTTTCTAGTTCATTATCAAAATTTACATCAATGAAATAACTTTCTTAAAAAAAATCTGCTTCCATAGCTGAGCAAAAGGCGATCGAAGTTTCCGGTTTGGCCTCAATTTTCTCGCAAACGATACATTTGATGAATTATTTATTAGCGCCAATGGATTCAGTTATTAAGCCCCTACAAACCTATCAAGTAACAACTCTTTACTCAAATTTTCGAGCCTTTGACAGCACTCTTTGCATAACGTTTGTAAGTTGAACCAGAAAATTGGTTTATTTACCAAGAAACTGGTTGATATGAGTTTGTTTTGTTTAATAAGTGGTTGCCTGTGCATTTAAAGCCCAAGTATTTTGACCCAAATGCGCTAATGGGATTTTATATAATTTAATTGAGTTAGTAATTAGTAAAGAATCAAATAAGTGAATGAAATATGATTGTAGGTGATGCCATTCTCGAATAATTGTCGCTGAAAGTTCCAAGGTAAATGGCAGAAATCAAAAGAACCATGCATAAAATGAACAAAGTATTCAATTCATGATCTGTACCGACAATTATCATGGCCGAATAATAAGTTTAAGCTCTCTCACTCCTTCGGTCACATAAAAAAGTCGATTTGACTGTAAATCGAACTTTTCTGTTTTACAGAAAATAAAAAGTTTTATCGCTGAAAATAAGTACATTTTCTGGTTCTTCATCAAAATTAACATCTAAAAATTAAAGTTTCATAAAAAAATCTGGTTTCATAGCTGAACAAAAGGCGTTCAAAGTTTCAACTTCGGCCTCAATTTTCTCACAAACTATCAACCGGATCATTATTTGATAGTAACAATGGACTCAGTTTTCATGGGCTTACAAATCCACCGAGTCTAAACTCTTTACTCAAATGTTCGAGTCTTTGACAGCACTTCTTGCATTACATTAAAAAGTTTAACCAGAAAATTGTTTTATTTACTAAAAAATGGGTTTTTATGAGTTTAGTTTGTTTGGTAAGTGGTTGCCTGTGCATTTACAACCCAAATATCATAACCTAAATGCGCTAATAGAATTTTATTAAATTGAATTAAGTTATTAATTAGTAAATAATCAAAGTAGTGAAAGAATGATGATTGTAAGTGATGCCATTCCCGAAATATCGAGGCTCAAAGTTTAGAGGCTAATGGCTAAAATCAAAAGAACTGTGGACAAATTGAAAAGAGACTTCGTGCCATGATGTTTAGCGGCAATTTTTATGTACGAATAATAAGTTTAACTTCTCTAACTCTTTCTGTTCCAGAACAAAGTCGGTGTGACTGAAAAGCGAACTTATCTGTTTCACAGAAAACCAAAAATTTTATTTCTCAAAATAGGTACATTTCTGGTTCTTCATCAAAATTTACATCAGTAAAATAAGTTTCATGAAAAAATCTATGATTTTATGAAGATGATTTCCTTCCTTATGGCCCATAAGAATATTCCCAGTTCTGATAACTCATACGACTTCTTGCTTGGTGTGGCGAAAAATGATTTTGCATTTTATGGGCTTTCAATGCTACTCAATTCAGTCCAAAAATCGACGTTGCTCTTAAATACTCACGATTAGTGATACCATTTTAGTTTTGTCAAAAATTGGTACTGGTGAGCATTTAAGAGTAACCATTACTTGCTATGGCTCTATTATAACTTATGTTTTTGGATGTTTGTTAGATGTTAGGAGTTAAATATTGCTCAAAGAATGGGATAGAAATCGGTAAAGTCTATGGCCATTATGATACAGACAATCATGTTCCAAGTTTTGATTCCATGGCGCTGATCTAACTTATGTTTCTGGTCGTCGGTTGGTTGAACCAGGTTATCCACAAAAAGATATTGACTTGAAAATTTTGGGTTCATTTTGTTCATGATTAAAGTGAATGAGAAGGAGTAAAGATTTATCAGCAATTGTTTTGAATATTGATAATTTGGGTGAAGTTGGACGAGAAAGAATTGAATTCTGTGTACAACATTGGGATGGATTTGTTGAAAAGAATAATTGAGCTTCAAATATCTTATGAGTTCTGTAAAATATACTTTAATTACCATAAAAATGTCTATATTCTTATCAAAATGTTGATTACTTTACACGTACAGTTGAGCACCCAAAAGTTACCCTGTTGTCCATTCGCTGTTCCCCCATCGCATATTAATTGAAATATCCTTGGAGTTTAATTAAAAAATCAAATTAATAATCGATTTTAATGTTATTCTTTAATTTCCTTGATTAAATTCAACCAAAAACCAAACGCTCAGTAAGAAGTGGTCTAAAAAATAGCGTAAGCAACAATTTTTGGCAAAAGATAAAATTTAGTTTTTTCAAATTTTGCGCCTGAAACATTAGACGGACAATTTTAGGTATTAAACTGTATTTAAATTTATTTCATTTGCCTTAATGTAACAATATTTTTCCATAAAAATCTATTAATTTATTTCACCCAATTTTTGCTTAATATTACATATTTTTTGTATTATTTTACAATCAAATTTGGTCTTTTAGTTGAACCGCCTAACCTGAAACTTTCAAACTTGGCGGGCCTCAGAAGCACATTGAGGTGGGCATGTGTAAGCCTGTATCATTCAGGACTGTAATCTTCCTGTAGTACAGGTCCTGTATACTGATGATAGTAAATAAACACTGTAGTGTTCAGATTCGGATCCAAAACGGTTACTTTTTTCTTGGGCTGAACCAACTCGTTTACCTTTTTGTGTTTTTTTATTTCTGTGTATAGATAATAATTTTGACAGTTTTACATAAACACCATCATTTACATCGATACATTTTAATCTACCAATGTCGGCAGACATTAATGATGCTGTTTGTAATATTAAAGTGGTCTGTAGGTTCAGACCTCTCAATGAAAGTGAGGTTAAAGCTGGATCAAAATTTATAGTTAAATATCCAACCAACACTGAAGATTGTGTATCAATTGGGGTAATTACTATCATTGTTTCTTTGTGTCTTTTATTTTCTTTTCTGCTGTTTCCATATCTATCTAGACTATTGATTTCACCTTTTCTTCTGTCTGTTACCCTGTTTCAAGCTTCTCTCATTTAATCTTCCACATTATCTAGTCTTTTCTCTCTTTTTTATCCTGTTCCGAAATTCAGTCTTTACCATACTTCTCTCCTTTCCTTATTCTTATTCCAATTACAACTCTTACTCCAATCCTGTGTTTCGATGATTTCTCTATTCTTTCACCTTTGACCTCTCCTTTATCTTATGCTCTCAATTTTTTCTTGTCTTTACTTAAACCCAACTAAAATGTTATCAACCTTATTTCTGACAATCTTTTCTTTTCTCACTTCGCCTCACACCAATGCACTTGACTTAACTTAACTATACCAACTTCCATTGGAACCATCGCCACGACCACTGACTACCTTTCAACATTGTCCTCTTCTCTATTATCATCATTTTTTTCACTTTAATGTAACCTCTTCTCCTTTTGCAGGGTAAAGTGTATGTCTTTGACAAAGTGTTCAAACCAAATGCAACTCAAGATACCGTTTATGAAGAAGCTGCAAAGACAATCGTCAAAGATGTGCTCATGGGATATAATGGGACAATATTTGCTTACGGGCAAACATCTTCTGGTAAAACACATACGATGGAAGGTGTTCTCGGGGATCCCAAACTTCAAGGAATTATTCCAAGAATTGTCAATGATATTTTCAATTACATCTATTCAATGGACGAGAACATCGAGTTCCATATAAAGGTGCGACTATCAATTTAAAAATTAGTGCATCCATTGGCATTGACTGTGATTGAAGACTTGAAATCTTAGCTAAAGGATGTAGAATAATGCAATTTATGGAATACCATAACTTACATTCTATTCAATTGTGTTACAATTAGAAACTGATGCGTAGTCTTTAGCTCACTTGATCCAATCTTAAGCTGTACAAGACATCAATAATGCTTGTTTTTATGAATAGTTTATCCAAGGTGGATCAACTTGATAGGTTCAAATCGTCTCATCACTTATTAAGTTTCTTGTCTTGTTTTTGCCTTAAAAAAATTAATTTCCATCATTATTTTCTCATTACGCTGACTTATTCAATCTTTCGGAAAATCTTGAGTAGGTTGTAAAGTTTTATGCTTTAAATAAGAGTGACATTTAACAATGTTTATGAGCAATAGACATGAAGGTGGCTTTGACACTTATAATATTTCCATACAATTGATATTATCGATCAAATTAGTTGAACAAAAGTGGAATAATCTGTTGAGTTATCCTTATTGCAAGAAATATTTAATCTAATATTTTGAATTTATTATTCTTTTCTTTCCAGGTTTCATATTTTGAAATTTACCTTGATAAAATAAGAGATCTTTTAGATGGTAAGTTCAAGAAACATAAAAATAACCATTTCAATCGTTTCACCATAAAAGCATCTCTTTAATTTGTTTGTCTCTTCTTTTCCATATTAGTTTCAAAAACAAATCTATCTGTTCATGAGGATAAAAATCGCGTCCCCTTTGTCAAGGGGGCTACCGAAAGATTCGTCACTTGTCCAGAGGAAGTTATGGAAGTGATAGATGAAGGAAAAGCCAATAGACATATTGCTGTAACAAGTAAGTGTATTTACTTTGATAAGATTTAAATCATATTAAAGATGCTGTTCTACAATTTTACAAAATTTTCTAACTCCCTTTATTTGTCTCTTCCTCCCTCTTTATCTTATTTACAGATATGAATGAACACTCAAGTAGAAGTCATTCAGTTTTTCTAATTAATGTAAAGCAGGAAAATCAAGAAAATCAAAAAAAGTTAACAGGAAAACTCTATTTGGTCGATTTGGCCGGTTCCGAAAAAGTTAGCAAAACCGGGGCTGAAGGAATGGTATTAGACGAAGCTAAAAACATCAATAAGTCATTATCAGCTCTTGGTAACGTTATTTCTGCCTTAGCTGATGGCAATGTAAGTTTTTCAAAGCAAATCATCCAGTTAAATGAGTTTAGGTCTAATATTATTATTGCTTATATCTTAAATATACATTTATATTATTTTAGGTAAAACATTTCTGATAAGAGAGGCTAATTTCATTGTTATTGTTTCATGAATGACCTTAATTTTTCTTTACCTATTTTCCCTGCTCTTAAAATTGAGAATTTAGATTATCCATCAGTCAAATGGATTTTAATACGTCTCCTAAATTGCTTTTCCCCCATGTTACCTGTTAGTTGAATCTTTGCAACTGTTTAAATTATTGTTGTTTTAAACTTTATTAGCTTAGCTTAGCTTATTTTGTATGTTTATTGTTAATTGGTCAACAAAACATCACTCTTTCTTGTTCTATAAGTATACTAAATTCATTTAATATATCATTAAGTTGGCTCAATTTTGTCCTATCTGAACAATCATCTCTTTCATTGATTTTTATCAAATGTTATTTAATCATGAATTTTAACTATTGGGCTTCTCTGGTTCAGACTAAACCTTTCCTTTTGATCTTCCATCAATGAAACCAATTGTCAATATTATGAAAAGAATGAAAAGACTTGCCAAAATTCTTTACTTTTTCATAGTTTAATCGATTTATTGGGCGACTTAATTTTATTAAGGTTGATGGGATAGAGAAAAAAAGGTCTTTATTCTTTTGAATCTTTCACATTTCCTCATCATTTTTCTTTTCATTTTTATTCTCGCATTCTCACAGAATGACGTTGAATGTTTACATGATATTTTTGAAGGTCTCACCTCATTGATACTAAAATGCTAATTGATGATTTATATGGCCTATTTACTTTCAACATTTTGCAACAATGATAATATTAGATTTTCTTCTCATTTTCCTTTTTCCCTATAAAATATTCAATTGATAATTAGGTGTTAATTGGTATTTCTCTTTAATCAATTCTTTTCTTTACAATACAGAAATCACATATTCCTTACCGAGACAGTAAATTAACCAGGATACTTCAAGAATCTTTAGGAGGTAATTCAAGGACAACTATAATCATCTGTTGTTCACCGGCATCATTTAATGAAATGGAAACAAAATCAACTCTCGAATTTGGTAAAAGAGCCAAGACTATAACAAATGTTGTTGTTGTCAATGAAGAGTTAACAGCTGAAGAATGGAAAAGAAGATGGGAAAAGGAAAGGGAAAAAGTTACTAAACTCAAAAATTATGTGAATCGTGTAGAAATGGAACTGAATCGCTGGCGAACAGGTGATAGTGTACCTTCAGATGAACAAGCTAGTTTCAAAGATTTAGACTCAAGCACTCTCAGTTTATCGGAATCCGTTCAAAATCTCAGTGCCGTTGCTAATACTCCTTTAGTTGGTGCTATTTCTACCACTGTTGCATCCGTTGAACCACTTTCCAATGAGGAGAGAATGAAGTTTGAAGAGGAAAGGACTCGATTGTATGCTCAACTGGATGAAAAGGATGACGAACTTGACAAACAGAGTCAACTCATTGAAAAGTTGAAAGAACAGATTCTTGAACAAGAGGAGCTCATAAGTAACTGTAGACGTGATAATGAATCATTACAACATGAGATCAACAAGTTACAGCAAGAGAATGAATCATCAAAGGAAGAAGTTAAAGAAGTATTACAAGCCTTAGAGGAGTTAGCAGTCAATTATGATCAAAAAAGTCAAGAAGTTGAAAACAAGAATCGTGAATTTGAAACATTAAACGAAGAGTTAAACACCAAATTGACCGCCTTAAACTCAGCCAAATCTGAACTTCAACAAATGAAGGAAAACAACACTCATATGAGGAGGAGGATTAATGAAATGTTGAGTAACTTATTGAAAGATTTGTATGAAATTGGTGTTGTTTTGGGTAACAGTGCTGCAACTCCTAGTCTAAAGGATACCGGGGATTTGACATCTGCAAAGATTGAAGATGAATTTACTGTTGCCCGTTTGTACATAACTAAAATGAAGTCTGAAGTTAAAGCCTTAGCGTCAAGATGTCATCAAATGGAAAGCTTTCAAAGTGATTGTAATAAGAAGATTGAGCAAAATGAAAAAGAACTGGCTGAATGTCGTCTATTGATAAGTCAATATGAAGCTAAAATGAACTCACTTCAAGATTCAATGAAAGATATAGAAAACAAGAAGCGATCATTGGAAGAAGTTGTTGATCAATTGAATGAAGAGTGTGCAAAATTAAAGGCTGCCGATGAGATGCACAAGATGGCTCATGAAGAGAAGGAGAAGGAAAAAGATTCAGCGGAAAAGTTAAAGTTTGCTTTAGAAGAGCAATTAGAGAAACACCGAGAAACACACCAGAAACAATTAGCCGGATTAAGGGATGAAATTGCCGAGAAGCAAGGTCAAATTGACCAATTACGCGACCAAAATCAAAAATTATCGCTGGCACAAGAAAGATTACAACAAGAGTATGACAAGCTTAAAGCAGAGGAACAAGAGAAGAGTTCACGATTGAATGAACTGATAATGTTAAGTGATAGACGAGAACAAGCCAGACAAGATCTTAAAGGATTGGAGGAAACAGTGGCAAAGGAACTGCAAACTCTACATAATCTAAGGAAAATGTTTGTATCTGATTTACAAAGCCGAGTCAAAAAGTCAGCATTAAATGACGATGATGAGAATACTGGAGGTTCTCTAGCTCAAAAACAAAAAATAGCTTTCTTAGAAAATAACTTGGATCAATTAACTAAAGTTCATAAACAGGTAAGATTACATTTCGAATTTTGTCCTTTTCTTTCCTTACTTTCCTTATCATTCCATATGCAACATCTTATTGTTATCCTTCCTCATGTTTATCCAATTACACATAAAACACACACACCTTTACCATTGAAACTTTCATTAGGTAATTTGATCACATTTCATTATTTATCTTTTCAAAAACCTTTTATCAGAATAGATTCAAACTGTAGGTTTTTATTTTGAAACGAATCCTCTCAACTTCCAATCAACTTAACCTTTTCAACCCAAATATAAAATACTCATCTAGATCGCTATATCGACTTGTCAAACTTTGTATACTTGATATGATGAATTGAAATTTTCACGCTGCATATGCTGCAATTTATAGTAAAACCAGTATTTATCAATGATCCAGCAAATTGAGTGAATCAAAAGAATAATCAGTCATCAGATTTTACTTTTTTTTCTGCTTCTTCTTTTTCTGTTATTTCAATCTGGTTCACTTTGCAAGGTAAAGAATGAGATGAAAAGCAGTAGCTGTGGTCAAGAGTTGAATTGTATTTTTAATTCGTCCATCATTGCTTACAATTCAAAAATTGATCTCTAAAAAAGATCTGCTCAACTGGAAAATTGATACAATTGATGATGGTAGTGGTGAGTGTAAGGTAAAAGATGAAATTTTTCAAAAAGAGATTAAATCAAAAATCATTCATGCTCAGATTAAATTTGATTCAGATGATGTATGTCAAGTCTAATTGGTTCATCAATTTCTCTTCTTTCCACCATCATCATTATCATCATGATTCCATCCTGTCCATCCTGTGTTTTATGTGCTCATCTATTGTTACATTTTTTGCAAAAGACTCAATCATTTTTCAGATTTACCCTTCATCTTTAAAATGTTAATTTTATGACTGATCACTTTTATTTCAGCCGTTTTCACCTCCGTTTCATTGTATTTCATTGAAATGCCGTTTCTTTCAATCTTTCATCAACATTTCTATTTGCTATTTGATATTTAACTTTTCACCAAACAATTTCAGCCTCATTTTTCATCAATTTCATCGCAATTCTTGTTCATTCAAATTAAGTTTTATGGTCGATTGAATGATATTCATTATCTTTAGTTCACATAAAAACCTGACTCCCTAACACTCAATGAGCAATATCTTTCAATGTGCTTAGTAACCGAAAGTATCAAAAGCATAAAAATGAATTTGCTTTAAACACTTTCAAACATTTCCTTTATCAACAATTGGTACACTTTTGATTTGTCAAAGGGTTGCCAAGAAAAACTAGTGTTGACAGAAAAAAAAGTTAAGTGTGAGAAAAGAAGCAAAACAAATGATGAAAACCATTTACACAAAAGCACATTTTTTTCATTCCCAATCAAAGATTGAGTTAAGGCTGCAAGAGTCATCATTTTCACTCTCATTCACTAGCACTTATTGATTATACAATCAATCAATTTTGCATTTTTAATGACAACAAAACAAGATAATACACAGCTCTTGATACATAAAAAATATCAAAAACCTCTTCTCTCCTAGAAACGGATATTTCGTTTAACATCTTGACAAGCAAAGGCATGGTAACCTCTCCCTCAATATTTTCAGCTTTTCTCTCTCTTTGACTCATTTATTGTGTGTATTTATATATTTTGTTTCTGTCATCTTTCTCTCTTTCATCGCCATGATCATCTCTCTATCATGTATCTTCCTCTCACCCAATACTAATGATTACTTCAGTTGAAAATAACAGTCACACTAATGACGTTTAATGCTTGGACTGCAGCTATTACAATCCAGGCTCATTTTTTTCTCAAATTTTAAATGTACTTGTTTTTGCATCTTTTTTCCTATTACATCTCACTCTCTTACACACCTACATCTCTATCATCTTCACTTGCTCATCAAAATCTTCATAGTCTTCACTTTTGCACTTTCATTCCTCTATCTTCCGTCTTCAGTCATTTGCAATTTTTTCCCATTTCAACTCACAACTTTCACCACCTTTCAATATTCAGACAATAAACGCACTCACTTACAGCCTTATGTTTAAACGTACCAATTAAAATATATTTGATTGCTTGTGTTATGTCTTGGAACCTTTACTACCTGTGGTATGATGAATAATCTTTGCTTTGTCACCTGAACTGTTACTTTGCATGATACACGTACGAGTTTATTTTGTGCAAAAAAAGAGTCAACAATAGATAAAAATACAATCTCAATTTAAATGTTTGCATCAACGAGAACTCTAAGCATTTCATTGAATTTTTATGAAAACATTCACCTTCTTTATTCAGACTTTTTCGATCTAATGATGATTTTTTTCATCAACTAATAATTAACAGGTGGCTTGTAGATTCAATTACTAATTTCTCACTTATCTTATCTTGTTAACCATTGGTTGGACTATTTCATTTGAATCATTATCTGGTCTATTCACTTGAGCAATCGTTATGTTATTAATATAATTTCATTCATTTGTTAGACGTCCCATCCTAATGAATAACATTTCCAGGGTTCAAAATGTAATATTTTTCCAGGTTTCATCGATCTATTTTACCTTTTACTGTTGTATAGTTTTTTCAATCTAGTCACGTAATTTCATCCATTTGCCACAATGTTTCCAGTTTCACTGAAAATCTGTAATCTTCAATTTTACAACTCTTTTCATTTACTGAAAAAGAAGTGTGTGTGTTTGATTTAAAACGACATATGCAACATGTTGTCACTTTTTATTTAATCAATTGTCTAATCATGTTTTTCTTGTTCTCTTTTCATATGATAATCAAATGGTCTTCATTAATGTTCAATCACAATTCATTTGGCTATACTTCAGTTGGTTCGAGATAATGCTGATCTAAGATGTGAATTACCTAAACTGGAAAAGAGACTTCGTACCACTCATGAACGAGTTAAAGCTCTAGAAGCAGCATTGAAAGAAGCCAAAGAGCTTGCTCTTCGTGATAGGCGAAGATATCTTTTTGAATTAGACAGAATTAAGGAGGCTGTTCGCAACAAAAATCTATCTAGACGAGGAAATGCTCCACAAATAGGTAATGTTTATTTACTATTCTGAACCAATGAATGTTTTATCAGGAAAAATATTAACTAAAATTTTGTTTCTATTACAGTTAAACCCATTCGAGCTGGTCAACAACCAACTCATCAAACTATCGGAGGAACGACCGTTGCCCGAGGAATAGTCACTGGCAGAAATCGCAATGTTAATAATCCTGAATGAGGAATCTATCCTTTGGACAAGACAGAATATTTATTACGTGTCAATTTTTGTCCCCATTTGCATAAAATGATAAAAAACAAATTTAACAATAATTAACATTTCATCATCATGAAGAAATACAAAAAAAGTAAAATTATAATTCTCAGTTTCTTAACTAAGACAAAGATAATTTAAGTTATTAAAATTGCGTGAATTAAAGTAGTTTCGTCGAATCAAGAACTAATTTTTGTATACAAGCGAATAGTGTCTTGATTGATACACAATGTTTTATAACAAAATATACAACTTGAAATTCAATAGTAAATTGTAAATTTCAATTGAGAACTCAAACTAGTCATATTTTATCTCATTTTCATGTTTATTAAGAGTTAGTCGATTCTTTTAATCGCTAGTTGATAAGAAATCAGTTTGTAGAGAATAATCTTGGCTTATGACTGACTATATTGGTTTATTTCGATGTCTAGATTATGAGACTGTATGGCTCAGCCTATTATCTAGATTTGCTAAGTCGGTTGAACAATTTTGATAAATTTTACTTTAACATTCAGTAATATGGATAAAGGCAATGATGCAAAAATCGGGTTGATGTTGAAAAAGTGAATAAGAAGGTAAAATTTTTTAATAACTGATTCCAAGAATTGGTAGATGATGAAAATCAAAGAAAAGAGATAATTCTTGTGAGGACAAATCAAATGAAAAGGCTTTACCAGGTATATTATTTGTTTGTATTATAAATATCTGGATAAACATACCAAAAAGCATATGCTCAAAGACTTGTCAATGTATTCTCGCTGAAGTTATAAGACATGTTGTCATAAATCTGATACATCTGTAAATGAAATTAATTTCGAGGTGGAAGCAGTTGATCTACATATGAATTGTCAAACTGAGGATCTACAATCAAAAGATAGCTTAAGAAACCAAATATTTTAATTTTCAAAAAAGAAAAACTAAATTGTTCAAGCTGATCACTCTGACCATGACAATTACCCTTGCAATTTCATTGGAACGATATGAATCAATATGGACCAACATGAAACTTTCGAGCCGCTATTTAACCATGTTTTTCGGATTTTACAGTTTCTCTCTTAAATAAACTAAAGCGGATTTCCGATCTCAAATAACAAGCTAATCAATAATGATTTGTAATTATAGGAGATTTGACTATTCATTTTTTTACATGTTCATCAATTGTCTAATTTTCTTAGAGATGATATAGCTATTCTTGAACTATTAAAAAGTGTATATATTTTTAAAACATTAATTGTTAACTGCAAAAATGTATGCATTAAACTTGATTGACTTTAATATCCTCTGAGCCTGAAATTTTGCTTAACATATACAATCTACCGATTTCTGGTAATAAAATTCTGGTAGTTTATGTATATTTGTTAAACAATCTGAAATATTCACTAATATTTACAATCATTCAAGGATCAAATTTTAGTAAAGGCAATCAGAGATACTATTTAGATGGGCGAAATATTAATAACTGTTGATTTTCTATGATGTAAACATTCTTCTTCGATATAAGATAACTGTTTCTCTTCTGTAAAATTAACTTTCTGGAATTCGTAATGATAAATAATTTCTCATTTAGCAATGAAATTCACATTAGAGTCTGAAATAAAAAAATCGGTAAATTGCTATTCGATAAAAAAGAAGTGATCGTCAAGTAATTTCCAAATTAAATACGCCTTTAATTTAAAAATAAAGTTTTGTTTATCAGATCAATAGGCATCACTATGCAATCTTTTTACAATTGAATTGAGCCAAGACTGCGATTTCGTGAATTATGACTAAAAGGTGATAAATAGATATTATTTGGCAAGAGATATACTGTCAAACCTCCGATAATGTCACACTCTCAAAATGTCACAGAGTCATGGTAACGAAATTAAACAATTTAATTTAATTCAGTTTTTTAATTAAATAAATTTTGCAGGACTTCAATAATGGTTTTAATTGGGTATATTATACGAATTGCCCAATTAAACATCAAAAATCTCAAAATTAAATTAAAAATTAATTTTTTTTGTTAAATAAAATTCGTAAAAAGGCTATTCCACCTAGAAATTATGTAAAAATAGCCAAAACGCTAATCCCACGAAGTGACATTATTGGAGGTTTGACAGTATCAAGTTCGAGAAGTAAATCAGCGTTTATAAAAATCCTTGAACAGTTTAACGCGTCATCAAGAAATTAATTCATTTGATTGTGAATATGCATATATGGAGTTGAGACAAATATTTAATGATTACTCAAGAAATACGATAACAATTCAAGGTATCTCAAAAAGGTTAAGAATATCCTGAGATTCATGCAAAGGATAGAAATTTAAGACAGTGAGGTGAAATCATTTGCTTCCTGCAAATTGTATTAAAGATTTTAAAACAGCGAGGAATAATTATGATTTAATGGAAATGTATTTAGTTTTTCAGATATATAACAAAAAATAAGTATTCATTTTTTATTACAATGTAAGTTTCAATTTGAAACATGACGAGTGAATTCAACAACCTAAGGGTCCGAATAGATCAGCAAATCAGGATTTATGGTTTGGTTGAGAATTGAAAGACCCAGAATTTTGTTGAGGGATTGAGTTGATTGATCCTTGATTCATCTGTAAATTTCCAGCAGTAAGAAATACAATTAAAAGTTTTGAATTAGAAATAATAAAATTGATAAATTGTTTTATTAGGTTAACTCACATTAGAATTAGGATTTTGATTCATTAAAGGAGGAGATTGGTTTCCTTGTGGGATTCCTTGATTGGAAGATGACTGGACTACTTGTTGTTGACCAGGGGTGATGCGATTGTTTGCTCCGAATGAGTTTGAGGGTTGTCCAAAATTCGATTGCTGATTTATTCGTGGAGGAGCTCCTTGATTCATTGTCATCGAAGCTTGAGGAGGTAAATTACCCTGAGAATTGAAATGTGGATTTTGTTGATTACCTTGACTCTGGCTTTGATATTGTGGCTGTTGATATTGACGTCCATTTTGTTGCTGTTGTTGTGGAACCTGTGGATAATGTGGTTGAGGAGGAGGTGGTGGTGGTGGAAGATGCTGCATATTCTGATTCTGGTTCTGATTCTGGTTCAGATTTTGATTTTGGTTCTGATTATATTGTTGGTTTGGATGAGCTTGTTGAGATAGCCCAGGGTGAACTGCGAATTGAGGTGGTGCTTGATATCCATTGGGTTTTTGATAACCTTGCTGTTGAGCCACTTGATAAGGTGGTACATTACCAAAATGCTGTTGAGGGGGTTGTTGATGATAGCCACCTTGTCCTGGACCTTGTTGATTACCGTACGGCTGATAGGGGGGCATATAATAACCGTATTGTTGGGCAAGAAGTTCTTGTCGTCGAGCCTCATATTGACGCAATTCATCTTCATTGAACATCTGCTGTTCATCAATTCCTTTCCAACCTTCATCACGTTCAAATTCAGTCTTTTGAGTTAATTCAATGAATTCTTTTTGGCTGATGAGTCCATCTTTATTCTTATCAGCTTCTTTGTAAACATGTTCTCGCATTCGATGGTATTCTTCTTCCATTTCATTGGGATCATCTTCGGGATTGTTAGGGTCATACATTTTCTTTATTTCCAAAGTAAGTAATGCCTCAACCTCTTCTGGATCTAGGTAACCATCTCCATTAACATCGTGTAATGAGAAGAATGTTTTAGGATTAAACTCTTCTTTAGGCATACGATCCTGCTCTTCCCAAACTTCCTCTAATTGTTGTTTACTCCCAGGGTGATGAACTCGCGGATGTTCTTTGTGTTTCTGATTCATTTCACTGTGCTTTTTAACTGCTTCTGTTTTTTGTTCCTCTGTCATATTTTTCAAGCTTTCTCTGTATCGGTGTTCTTTTTCCATTTCATATTTTTTGAATTCTTCACGACGTTTCTTATCCAATTCTTCTAAATCTCGAGTAGCCTGTATCGAAAAATGATTCAAAATAGTACCATTACAAGAAAACAAAATATTCGAGTGAACTTACCTTAATGATAAGTTTGTGTAAGTCTTGAACTTCGAATGAGTGTGGATTTTTATGGTCCAAGTGTTCTGTGAGAAGGATTGATCAAAAGAATCAGAATAAAATGTTAAGATCAGAGAAAAGGACAGCATAATTGAAAGAATTGAATATTCATTAGAAGACAAAATAATGCGTTCTTACCGAATTTACTCATATGCTTATCCATTTTAGCAGCATTAGGTGAACCCAAAGTCCTCCATCGCCTACCATCATTAGAAAAAGAACCAAATTCTTTAATATCATGTTCTAGTTTAGTCAATTTTCTCAGTCTTTCAATTTCGATTCTCTTCAATTCATCTAACTTGGTGCGGATATTATGGCTAACGAGATTGAGCTCATTGGCAATAGCTCCGGATTGGATGTGTTCAGCTGAAACATTTTCCAATTTCTTAGCGAATTCTTTGTCTTCCTCTAAAGCGGCAACAACCTCCTGTAAATATCTTCCATACTCCAAGCCCTACAATAAAATTGGCATATCAAAGAAATTTTATTTAACTGACAAAATATTAACACTGAATGATTTGAAACAATAAAGCGTGTAACTTACGAGATCATTAAGGGCAGCATCTGGATCCTTGACACCATCAGTTTTTTTATCCTCTTCAACAGGAGCTGATAAAACACTATTGAAAACCAAACATATGATTATACAGGTATAAATATCCGATAGAGTCATCATAACTGATATGAGACAATATAACTCCTGATTTGTTACTTGGAAATCAGTTTAAAAATGTAGATATTTAAACCACTGAGTTGGATTTAGAAAACATGTGATTTGGAGTGTTTAACTAAACTGACAGCAATAATAGGTATCTTTCATTAAGAATACATGGTTTTGATGAAAACTTTAAAACGTCATTCAAACAGAGGGATTGTATTCTAATCTTATTTATTCCTTTGGCTAGATTTTGATATTCTTCATCAATTTTCACTCTCTTTTTTTATCCATTTTAATTCATTGCAAATGTGACTCCTTAATAATATTGAAGATGGCATTCCATTAGCGTTGCAAGTTTAAGGTGGTTGTTGATAAAAAAATAAAGGCTCAGAGTCCCTCTTTTACCTTTCTTCAACCTGACCTTTCTTTCTTCTACCAGTTCTCTTGGTCCTTTCTTAAAAAAATCTTTCGGGTGTGCACTAACTTCTCTTTTTCTCACTTCTTGAGGAGGAGATGGCTTGGCCCTGGGGCCATTAAATTACATCAAACCATCAATGCTTCTTTCAATGGCGGAGAAGAAGGAGAAGAAGAAGAGAAGAAACGTTAAAGAAGATGAAGAAGAAGAAGCAACTTGAAACGATGAAAAAATAAGATGAGTAAAAGAAAAGCCAAGAAGAAGAAAAAGAAGATCCAAGGAGAAGATGAAGAAACTAAAATTGAACATCAGAAGAGCAAAGGAAACTAAACTATTTTAGAAACTCGGCCATTCAAAGTGGAAGCCTTTATTTTATCAGTGTAATTGTTGATTACATAAATATACAATCATCTTTTGTATCCAAAACCTTGACCATCGCCACTCTCAGCACACTCGCCATCAACGTTGTACCATCTTAATCACATACCTTACTAGCAAACCAAGAAAACAACAATATTATTAATTATACAGTTTTTAATATCATCGTCATCACCAACAACAGCCGCAAAAGCAACATCATCATCTCATCATTATCAACATCATCGCTAGCAGTGAAATGTCCTGAGGAATAGTGAATCTATATTGTAAACGTGCTTATGCGTAATCTTCGTTAGCCACAGTGCTTAAAGTAGCCCCTCTTCAAATTGTCATCAAAGTCTGTAAACTATACCAATGTTAACATAAAATCTGGTTAAACCAACAAAAGAATATGTTGATAGCTTAAGTTGTCCTGGATGACTTTTTGTGCTTGGGATAATTTTGTCAACTCTCTTTCTCTGCCTTTTTTCCCCTCCTTTCTCTTTCTTTCTATTTTCTTAGCCATTTCTTAGCCTAGCTAAATCTCTTTCTCCCTTTCTTCTCGTCACCCGTAACCTGTCACCGTGAGCCTGTATTTTTCGTTGTATTTTTTGGGTGTGATCAGTCAACTTTCTTCTCCTTAATCTTATCCTCTTCTTTAACTTCTCTCTGTGTTGTGTTGAATAATTTTGCAAACCACATTGCAATCAACTTTTTAGGTTTTAATATAATTACATCTTATTATATTGTTTACCTCTATCCCTTTCTTTGGATTTATACAAGTTATTTCTCACCTTTATCCCTAAGAACTTTTCTTCTGCTTTTTCCACATTCTCCCAATGCAACCAAAAGATATTCAACTTTGCTCCCTCAATGTCAGAAGTCATTTTTTAAATTTAATTTTTGAGTCACAATAATTTTAATAACAATGATGGACTGTGATTGATATACCATAATAATTTAAGAAATCTCATCGTACTCTCATCATAATCATCAACCACATCTTGTCATCGCTGAAAGCAAGAAAAACAAAAACATCACACAGTCCAACCTGCATTTGGATTGTGTGATTTTTGTTTACTGGTGCCTTTAAGTTGTATAACCTCTCAACTGTACATCTTAACCACATCTACATCAGCATTTCCCTCTTTCTTACCCTCTTATTGATTTTTGTTCTATATATAAATGAACTTACAATCAAACCGTTCAATCCGAATGCCATTAACCGTCATGGCCACCGATACAAGTGATATAATAAAACAAGGATACCTTAAACTGAAAAGTAAAACAGTTGGTGTCTGGCAAAAACGTTGGATTATTTTAAGGCGAGCTTCTAGTAAAGGACCGTGTCGTATTGATAAGTTTCTCGATGAAAAATCAGCCCGGACGAATTGCTCGTGTAAAACAATTGTTTTAACTAATGTGTCAAATGTTTCAAGACTTCCAATAACCCACCGGAAGCATTCTTTTGTTATTAGTTTCAATCCTATTAATTGTAAATTGTTTGCTTGTGAATCAGGTTGGTATTGATACTTTTTCAGTTGTTCCTTGCAATCCTTCAACTTTATAATGTTTAACCTCAGGCAGAAACACTTGACTTCTGTTTAACCTGTTGATAATTGAGATTGAGATTGTGTTCTCCAAACCAAATAGCCATTAAAAGTTGTATAAGATTAGCTTGGTACCTTTTTCATTTTAAAATTAGATAATGTTATTCTAATTCTCTGTTCTCTTTTTTTCTCTGAATTTTAGATCTTGAAGCAGATACCTGGGTCAAATTGTTAACGCAGGAATGTTTAGTGCCACTACCAGGACTGGCAACCGGTGAACCTGATATTCTCAGTCCAGGTATCCAAAAAGAACTGCAAGAACAGTTTCATGTTTATCTGATGCCAACACCTAAATTAGATGCCTTCGGTGAATGTTTACTACAAGTAACACATGAACATATTTACCTGTGGGATGTGATCAATTCAAAAATTAAACTGGCTGCCTGGCCATTAACGGCGCTTCGTAGATATGGAAGTGATCCAACTAAATTTACTTTTGAAGCTGGAAGGTACTATAACTTTTGTCTTATTGCTTTTCTTGGTAGTTTTTTATCATCTCCAATGAATCGTATTCGCTACTTTGATCTCATTTCGTTATAATTTATTCATTCAATTTTATTCTTTCAGACATTGTGCCACTGGAGAGGGAATGTTTGTTTTTCATACACTGGAGGGTGAAAAGATTTATCGTAAAGTCCACCAAGCAACTCTTGCCATTGCCGAAGCTCATTGCAAAACGAGTAGATCAACCTCTACAGTATCGTCACGTTTTGTTCAACAGTGCCTTTAAAGGTTAAACATATCAGAATACATAATTTTAAGATTTACAAAGGAAATTTTTATTAAGAAACATTTTTTGTTTAACTGACTGACCTCAAGTTTTTTCTTGGACTTCAAAGAGTCTTTTGTTGGTATCTTCTTCCTGTCCACCTGTTTTATTCATCAATTTCACGAGTTTGGATCTATTTTCGTTTGTATTATTGGGTGGCTATTGATTTCTGGAGCTATGTTGATATTAACTCGGAGAGAAGAAAATCAAAGATCAGAAAATAAAACAAATCTATGGAGTATTTTGTTATATAATGATACGGCAACCTAGCTACATGGAAAAATCATTTCCAAACCATTTTCTTACTATTTAATAGTTGGTTAAACCATCATTTAGAAAGGAAAACCTCAGAATAAAACAAAGAAGGAGAGAAGATATACTTATATCAACAAATGATCATCATCATTTTCATCATCATTATTCACATTGCCATTAACATACTTGTCATCGTCATTCAAATAAGAGATCAAAGGTAACTGTGGTTTAGCAGTTTCTTGATCTCTATTCACTCGTTTCCATTATTTGTACTTTTCTGTGAAACACTTTTTTCCACAACATTGTTCACTTCTTAAATACACCACATCTAACATATCTACCAAATCCATTACTTTTCCACTACTTTTCATGACTCAACTTTGAATAACTTTGATATAACCAGTAAAAATTTCTGGTAATCAAAATAAATCACGATTGACTCTCGATAAGTGGTGGACAATGTGATGGATTTAAATGGGAAAAAATGTTTCTCCCGAAAATTTGAGTGAAAATCTGCGCAAGTTTCAAAACATCAATCTTTTGAAGATTACAATAAAAAAATAAAAAAAATTAAACAAATTATTCATGAAATGACCAACTTTTTGCAAAAAAATACTTATTTAATTCATAATCTGAAAATGATTTTGGTTATGATTTAATAATTTACTGACATTGTTTTCTTGTGGAGATCACAATGATTGATGGCGAGGTGTGATCGAAATATAAATTAAATTTGTGATTTGTTTTGATGATTGACTGGCGTATTACTTTTTTGTTTTATGTATCAACTTTAAATTAGTTAACAAAAATGTAAAAGATGGAAAAAAGTGTGATGATTAGGAGAACAGGATAATAGAGAAGGTAGAAAAGCGCGAAACGAAGAGCAGGAATGAGAGGCACGAATATGTAAACAAGGCATAGGTAAACCGATATTGGTACCAAATACAGTAGGATGATGATGAAATTGTACGGGTGAACAGTTGACGGTCGATGAAGGAGAAGACTTTGATGGTTTGGTGAGGGTGGGATGAAATTAAATAGCGATGTTAAAAATGAGGATGCTGAGGTACTATCTCCAAAATTTGTGGATGATGAAGGTGAACACGGTTCACTGTTTTGTAGGTTTAATCCAAATCTACCAGCTTTCGCCGTGATCAAAAGCAAGGTGGTCAAATCCATCGTGAACGGCATAAGCATGTCCACCATGGTGTCCAGGCTCGTGGATTTTAACAGATAAAGCACCAGCAAGACCACCAACTACTCCAGTGGCAATGTAACCACCAGCAATGGCTGCTGGGATGGCAAGTTTACCAAGAGTGGGTGCGTAGATGATTGGAAAACTTTGTACAAAGATGATGGAGGCAAAGAAGCAAGCGAAAGCAAACTGTGAACAAAGAATAAAAAATATATTAGTTGATAGCTAATGATTGGAAAGATATTGGTAAAACGAATGGTAAAAAGCGATAGAGTGATAGACGAAAGGAATGCTCGATGAAAACACACATAAGCACACTTGAATGCGAGGTTGAACAAAAAAAGTTATGCAAACACTCAATCTGAACTGTAAGTTATTAGTAACTGTTGAAAAAGTAAAGATTATCTTACCATGAAACGCATGATGATGAATAGAAGAGGTTTGGTTGTTAGTAGATACACAAAGAAAATTTGAAATTAAAGTGGAAAGGTTAACTGATTAGCGAGAACAGATTTCACTTGATGACCTCTTCTGTTGCTTTTATATACCTTGAGCAGGCAACGTTTTTCAATGATGGGAGAATCATTTGAACGGTATAAAGAAACGGATTTACCCCTAAACTCGTTTTTTAGCTAATCATTTGTATAATGAAGAAAGGATAAAGGAGGGAAAAATATAACAAATCCAACGAAAAAGGTTAAGAGAAGGAAGATAACAAGGCGGAGGTGACACCGTAAAGTAAAAGTAAGTACGGCGAAGATGGTTTGAAGGTGAAAGTAAAATTGAAACGGAAATCAGAATTTATGTCGGTTAAGTTGTTTCATGTTGAAAGTGATAGTTATGGTGATATTGATGGTGATTTTGTTTTACATGATGTTGTTTCTGTTGTTGGTTACATCAAATGCGTAGTAAAGATTGTTAACTATTTCCTAGCGGCAATAACTTTCGGTCGTCAGGTCAGTTTGTGAACAGCAGTGTATTAATCCATCCCATCACCATCACCATTAACTCCAAAACCATTAGTTGATGATAATTAATAAAATAAACAAGATCAATTTGATAGACTATTGCAATAAATTAAAAAAACCTCATTGGTAAACAATAAAAATGTCTATAATCTCTGGTCATGACTGACATCTCGTGAGTTCAAAGATAATGTAACCCAATAAAACACTTTTGGTCTTAAACCCAATTTACAATTAAATATCAAACATTAATTTAACCTAAACTTTACCAGTTAATTTATGCATCTCTATTATATTAAATTGGTTATTCATATTGAATTTTCATTTCCAGATTAATAAGATCGAGCGGGAAATGCTCTACAATAGGAAAAGGTTTTGAATTACCATTTAATTTACAGTAAAATTAACTAATTGGATATTCTAAATTTCTCTGAACAATGTTGATTATAATTTCAAACCGACCAAACCCATTGAACCCGCTAAACAAATGTAAATTCATAATAAATGTTTAGCTTTTAAAGGTTGAATTATGCTTTGATGTTGCATAAAATTAGACGATATTTAAATCTTAATGAATTGAAAAAAAGATTGATTAGCATTAAAAGTAATCATTAAGATGAATTTTTGATACATCAATCAAAATAAGGCTTAATTGTTTTCAATCTCAGATGATCATCAATTCTTGGAGCTAATTCATTACCAATTAACTGGTCAAGTCTCATCATAAGTCTCATTATAAATTTCATCTCATATCATCATCTAAATCTGTGCAGCTGAATAAGCTGAAATAAAACAATTAGATAATGAACAATTATTCCAATTAGATTTCTTCTCATCAATTGTTAATATTTGAATTGAAAGATTAACCCAATTGACAATAATATTTTCTGGTTAACATATGAAGATATCGTCAGTACTTGAAGTAAAAATAGTTGATCGATTCCCAATCTATGAACTAAATCAATGGTTTCAATTGACAACTTTAATCAAGGAATTTAATAACTGATCAAATTGAAGTTCGATTGATTACGGAAGTCATTAGAATAGAGGATATCATGGATAACTTGACCCAAGAATGAGAAATAAAAAGGTGAAGTGAAAGATGAGGTTACAATATTTTTAATGAACCAGTTTTAATGTAAAAAAGCCGAGCCATTATTATGGCTTGAGGGTAAAGAGAGTGTGAATGGAGGACATAACTGAACTGATTAGAATGGTTCAAAGGAACAAGTAAAGTTATATTGTCAGTACAAATGAAGTAATTGAAGTAACCTCGAGGCTCCATAATTTGTTTGTTGTTGTTCGTTGTTGTGTGTTGGGTCAGTATCTGAAGCACCAGCAACAAACAACCCGTCAATCTATCTATGGATTGATCATGGTCAGTTGAACAGTTTTGCAAGTTACTTTAACCTCGATTTCATTTCCTGATGTAACTCGACAACGAATGATTAACTTTGACTTTTGATTAACCACTTGGAGCTATCATGTATTTTGTATTAATATTGATTCAATCATTATTCAACTTCATATTGGTAAATCATAAAACACTTTCAAATAAGTGTAATAAATTGTGAAACAACATTTGATGGAACCAAAACATTTGCTTAAAAATTCAATTCTAGTCTATTTCAAAGACTTTGTTTCAGATTATTTTCACAGTTAATATTGAATTAATTGATAACCATGTTAATCTGTTTTAATGGTGTAATCCTTTCATGGTGATTGAATCGATTTGATGATTGGGAAATTTTCATTGTTTGGAGCTTGTTTTGCGTTCGTTATTGGTAAGGTTGAAAGGTCAGTTTGGTTGTGGTCAAATATAATATTGGCCTTAGTGTAAGTTCATTAACAATCAGGCTCACGATTAATTAATTTTGTTTCTCGAGTTTCGCAATTATTCTGTATAATTTAGATGAAAGTCGTAATGGATTCAAGATATTTTCATATTGTAAGGTGAATGTTGAGGTTAACCAAAACAAATTTTAATGAATTCATCATGATTTAACACTCAACTGGGGTGATCCAGTAAACTTTTGATTGAGGCTCATCTGCAGTTGATCTTGTCAATTGTTCGTGAAACCGCACAGAAGTTAATCTTGCAGCAATCAGCATGATTCTTGTTTTTCACCCATTATGGAAGTGGTATGTTTCGTTTTTTGGCTTAAAAGGTTGTAAATTTACTTCTCAATAATCAGATATGATCAGTAAATTCCGGATATTGAAAGCCAAGTTACGAAAAACGGTGGGAAAATTTCCTCATGTTTATAGCTTTAAATTTGAGGAGAATTGAAAGATATTTGAATATTTCGATTTGATATCAACTAAAATCATCATTAATTGACTGTTTATTAGATTTTATTATGGGCTATAATATATTGATTCTAGATCATTCGGGATCCTACAAAAAAGTTGTAACGTTACTTATGTTGTTTAATATGATTCATGATAATAAAGGTAAATGTTTACTCTAAATCTTTTGATGTGTTAGAAGGATAAATCAACATTAAATGAATTAAATCAGATTTTCTACACTATTTAGTCATATCATGTTGTAGTTAATAATAAAATCTAATATTTGTTGAAACAATGGTGACTGTGGGTGCTACCATTCTCGAGATATCGATGTTCGAAGTTTTGGAGTCAATGTTCAAAATTAAGAGAACTGTTCTTGAATTGAAAAAAGTTTTCGATCGATGATGTTAGCCAGACATTTTTATTGACGAAAAATGAGTTTCAACTCGCTAACTGTTAAGGTCAAGAATGGGGAAGGTTTAACGGAGAATCAGACTGATCTGTTGTACAGCAAACAGAAAATATTATTTAGCAAAAGAAATTCATTTTCTGGTCCGTCATCAAAAATCACATCAGTGAAATAAGTTTCATAAAAAAATCTAGTTTCCTAGCTGAACAAAAGGCGATCGAAGTTTCAACTTTGACCTAGGTTTTTCAGAAAAATGTCCATCGGATGAATTATTTATTAGTACCAATGGATTCAGTTTTTATGTCTCTACAAACTCACCAAGTCTCGAGAAGACCATTTAGAGCCAAACTTTACCACCAATTTTACAACCAAAAGCTAGTTGAAAACGTTTGGTTTGTCAAAAAGACAAAATTGTTACATTTCTGCACAAATCTACTCAGATACTGAAAGAGAAATGGACAAAAACGGGTGAAAAGCCATTTCATGCCAATTTAAACTTTGTCAGTTTGTAGGGAAATGAAAACTAAGTACGTTAGTGCAAACAAAAAATTTCTTGGATAAACAGTTTTCGAGAAAATGAAGTTCGAAGTTGAAACCTCGATCGACTTTTGTACAGCTATGGAAGCATATTTTTTAATGAAATTTATTTAAATGATGTAAATTTTGATGCTCAACCAAAAAATGAATATATTTTGAGAAATAAAATTTTCTGTTTTCGATAAAACAGTTAAGTTCGATTTTCAGTCAAACCGACTTTTTTCTGTAACAGAAAGAGTTAAAGAACTTAAACTAACTTTTCTGCCCATAAAAATTGTTGGTACATAATATTAATCGATTCTTTTCTTCAATATACCAACAGTTCAATTGATTTTGGCCATTGGCCTAAAAACTTTGAGCTTCGATATTTCGATAATGTTAGCCTCTACAGCCACTATTTTTTGACTAATCATTTGTTTTATTATGAGTTATGATATAATATGACTGAATACCGAAGTGAATCTCGGCTAATTCATTTAATAATCAATATAATTCAAACACAAAAGATTTGTGTTTGAATAATCATTCAACTTTAAAAACCAATTCTCAGATTCTGCAACATAAGTAACACAATGCTATAGCTTTTTTTGTAGGACCCTGAATAATTTAATATTTCAATAACTCATATTCCATAATAAAACCTTAATGTCTGGCAAAAAAATAATGACTGTAAGTCCTATCATTATCGAAATATTTCGGTTCAAAGTTTTTAGGGCAATGGCCGAAATCAAGTGAACTATGGATAAATTGAAAAAAATATTTGATCTACGATGCTTACAAATAATTTTTATGGACGAATTATAAGTTTCAGTCTTCTAACTCTTACGGTTACAAGAAAAGGTCGGTTTAAATAGAAATCGAACTTATGTGTTTTACAGAAAACGAAAAGTTTTATTGCTCAAAATAAGTACATATTCTGGTTCATCACCAAAATTTACATCAGAAAAATAAAGTCTCATAAAAAAATCTGGTTTCATAGCTGAACAAAAGGCGTTCGAAGTTTCAACTTTGGCCTCAAATTTCTCGCAAACTATTCATCTGATGAATTATTTATTAGCGCCAATGGACTCAGTTATTAAGTCCCTACAAACCTATCAAGTAACAACTCTTTATTCAAATGTTCGAGCCTTTGACAGGACTCTTTGCAATACATTTGTAAGTTAAACCAGAAAATTGGTTTATTAACCAAGATATTGGTTGATATGAGTTTGTTTTGTTAAATAAGCTGTTGCTGGTACATTTAAAACCCAAATATTTTAACCTAAATGCGCTAATGTGATTTTATTTAATTTAATTGAGTTAGTAATTAGTAAAGAATTAAATTAGTGAAATAATGATGATTGTAGGTGATGCCATTCTCGAATAATTGATGCTCAAAGTTTTAAGAACAATGGACAAAATCAAAAGAACTGTGGATAAATTGAAAAAGGTTTTCGTCCTATGATGTGTACCGGCAGTTTTTATGTACGAATAATAAGTTTAACCTCTCTAACTCTTTTGGTTCAAGAAAAAAGTCGGTTTGACTGAAAATCGAACTTAACTGTTTTACAGAAAACAGAAAAAGTTATTTCTCAAAATGAGACCATTTTCTAATTGCTCATCAAAAGTAACATATGAAAATTGTGTTTCATTAAAAAATCTCGTTTCTTTAATGTACAAAATGCGATCGAAGTTTCAAATTCGAACTCGATTTTTTCAAAAACTGTCCATCGGATGAATTATTTATTAGTGCCAATGGATTTAGTTTTTATGTCTCTACAAATCCACCAAGTCTCAACTTTTTACTCAAATGTTCGTGCTTTTGGCAGCACTCTTTGCATTTCGTTTACAAGTTTAACCAGAAAAATGGTTTATTAACCAAGATATTGGTTTATATGAGTTTGTTTTGTTTAATAAGTTGTTGTTCGCACATTCACAACCCAAATATCATGATCTAAATACGCTATTGGAAAGTTATTAAATTAAATCGAATTATGAATTAGTGAAGAATCAAATTGATGAAAGAATCATGATCGTAGGTGATGCCATTACCGAAATATTGATGCTCAAAGTTTTAAGGCCAATGGCCAGAATCAAGAAAACTGCTGATGAATCGAAAAAAGTAGTCAATGTCTGGTGTGACTTAACAATTCTTATGGACAATTAACAAGTTTCAGATCTCTAACTATTTCGCTCACAGAAAAAGGCCGGTTTAACTGCAATTCGAACTTAACTGTTTTATAGAAAAAGAAAAGTTCTATTTCTAATAATAACTGCATTTTCTGGTGCACCGTCAAAAGTTACATCGTTGAAATGAGTTTCACGAAAAAATTTGCTTTCATTAGTGTACAAAAAGCGATTTAAATTTCGAATTTCAGCTCGATTTCCTCGAAAATTGTGGATCAGAGAAGTTTTTAGATCACTCAAATGGACTCACTTTTCATGTCCCTACACACTAACAGAGTCTAAATTTGATAGAAATTAATTTTAACCCGGTTTTGCCGACTTGTGTCAATCGATACACAGATGTGTTAATTGTGTCTTTCTAGTGACAACCATAAATTTCAAATTGTTAAACTATTACAGTTAACTGTTGATCGGGTTGAAAATCATCTCACAATTGTCAGTAAGCTAACACTGAGTTCAGAACGTATTAAGTTTAAACACACACAGAGTAGAGTTTCAAGCATAAACCCAGAATCCATTTACATTAATGTATTATTTAATGAACTAATAAACCACCTTGAGTGCGAAAAGTCACTGTGCATCAGTACATCTTGTACTGGTAAATCAAGCTCAAAAGTGATCTTAGATTACCATTCAACGATTTTACTTTTTAGTTCGTTATCAAACTGATCAGGGCCGTAAATTTTGCTATTTCACCAGTTTTAGGGTTTCCAATAGAGTTAAGATCTAACCAATGTAAGGTTTGTAAGTTTAACTCCTTATTAAAGGCTTAAAAAGTGGATCTCATTTGATTTGGTTCAGTTAAAATCATTGGGTTTATACTTTTGACAATGTCTGTAGTCGTTGGTGAGCCTCTCGGTAAAATATCCAAATTTTGCTGATTCACTTAGAAGTAAGAGCTCGTCATCCTAAACCAAGTCACTCGTGAAACTGACAAACTAATAACATAAAAAAGCAGCTGTTAATTCATAGCTGAGGACTTAAGGATCATTTTGAGCTTATTGGAGTTTGTTTCGACCGCAATTGACCAGTTGACGGTCATTCTTTGTTAAACGACTTACCAGCTATTATGCGTGATCAAGCTTGTGTCAATCAATAGATATAACTAATACCTATGTCTATACAAAATTTCAGCGCTCTATCATGTTTAGTTTTCGCGAAATCACAAAAAATTGTTTTCACTTAAGAGTACAATTGTGGCCGAACGCGAGACTCGAGAAACTTTCGATAAAAGTTAACATCTTTTTCAATGTTGCTTTTTAAACTAAGTTTTTTTTAAAATTTTGAGATGATCGATTCTTGGTTCCAGAAACCCAAATGAATTTTGTCGCATTTCTTGGTCTCATGAACCAGGCAGCTTTTAAGTCGCCACCCGAACGAATTGAGAGTTGAGTTAAATACTCCGCGTGTGCTTCCATCTATCATCCTTTCATGAAAAAAAGCTGTGATATTACGTCATTCATCATGACACTCGTTATTTTTGCTTGCCTAGTGTGAAAGTTAAAGCTACCATTTATTTCATCATCAAGTCATCAGTTATTTTTTTAGGAAATAAGTTTAAATATTTGATTTTTGATTAATTTTATTTTGATGATCACGTTTATAATTATCTGATAACTTTTATTTACAATAACACGCTTGTGGAACTGTGTGATTTGAATTGGTAAGTCTAAAAACTGTGTTTATATATATGCTTTGTATGTTTGTATATTTGGAAATGAGTTTTCAATTTATTTTCTCTCTCTTTTTTATATACAGCTTGAAACTGAAATTCTGCGTATTTATCTTCTATCATCATCATGAACTCGAAAAGGAAAAAGAAAGTTGAGGAGATTGAAGATCCAGCCAGTGCCAGTAAAAGTGGTTATTCCTCTGATTCTAATCAGGACTCATCTGAGGCCTCAGGTTCAGATGCTGGTAAATCTCAATATGCCAAGGTTAATCGAGTTTCTTTAGACAAGGAAAGTGATGAATATCGTAAGAAGAGGCAAAGAAACAATATCGCAGTTAAAAAATCACGACATAAGTCAAAGATCAAGACTATGCAAACTCTTGAGAGAGTAAACGCTTTGAAGGCTGAAAATGAGCAATTACAGCAAAAGATTGTGATTCTTTCGAAAGAATTAGCTCTTCTCAAACAACTGTTCTTGGCTCACGCTCAGAATGCCCACAATTCAGATCTAAGTGAAAGTGAACTTAAAGAACTGTTTTCAAATGAAACATACCAGGAATTAATTGGCGGTAACACCAGCTAAAATTGGCTTACGCTTTGGAACTTAACAGATGTCGATGCATGTAATCCTTAGAGTTCTAAAGTTTTTCTTTCATGATCATACTCCTCTTTTGACATTAATTTCAACTCTAAATCCATCCAAATCGTTGACTCGGCGCTTCTCCGTTTCCTGCCTTCTCTTGTTACCATTTTTTTACAGTAGGAGCTGCAGTTATCAAACAATCAGATACCCGACTGATTAATGGCTGAAGTTTACTTTAACCGGCGAAAATCGATTTCATAAGCTATTAACAAGTAATATTCACCCTCTGGATTCAATCTACGGACTGTAAAATGTTATTGAAATGTACACAATAAACTAAACTTATTTTAGCCGCTTCGCAATGTTTGCATTTTATTGTTATCGATTTGGATACATTGGATAATTGTCCATTCAGACTTACATGAGAACTTGAAATTGTCCATTTTGATTAGTTTCATTTTAAGGATCCATAAAACGTTTTGGCCATTTGAGACTTAGCCGTAACTTTTTGAACGGCCCCTTACTGTCACATGAGAATCACTTATTAAAATATGTAAACAATTGTTGTTTAACAATATATTGCTTTTGCACCTACAATTTTTGTCAATAAAATACTTTTCCTGTGAATAGCTGTTGATCTTACAACTATCTCATAGTTTTATTATTTTCAACGATTTCTCCAGTGATAATTTTGACTAAATGAGTGATGATTATCTAACTCTAATCGCCTTTGATTTTACCGAAAAATTAGCTTAACCACAGTCAGCAAAATTCTTATTTCGTTTTCAATATTTACGTCAATAAGTATCAAAAATATTGCTCGTTCACTAGAAATGTGTCTATAAAATCATTAAATAATCGATAACATCAAAAACTTTGTTTTTCGAGTCAGTCGCAATAATTTTATAAAAACTGTAAAATTGAAACAATATAAAAAGATTCTATGACATAAATTTCCACTTTCAGGAATTTTCGGTCAAATCCTAGAACCTTTAATAGGCTTTAACTAGCAAGTCATAATTGTATTGCGATAAAATTTCTCAATCATTTCTGAAACAGGAATTAACTGCGTCTTTTATCATCACGAAGGGTACATTTTTCATAAACATTGAAACATATAGTTGCCATATTAACTATTTATTAAACGCCAATAAAGAATGTCGTTCTGTTGCACAAATAAACATTAATTGCATGCATTAAAGCATTAATTCAATCAATTTGCATGAATAATTTACAATTCGATAATTAATTGAGCAAAATATAAAGATATTTTATTAGTTTGAATTCGTTATATAAAAGTGCAAAAGAAAATAAAATTTACAAATAAAATTATAAAATGTATAACAAATGTTCGTCATTTAACATCACAATTTTCTAGGTTATTATAGCCATTCGCCGAAGAATCAGATGAGCCTAGTCCAGTTAACTTTTGTTTAAAAAATCTTAGCCAATTTTTCTTGGGTTTGTCGGTTGATAAAAGAGATGTAGACGATTCAAGGCTAATTGATTCGGCATGACCGGAGTCTATTGATCGAGATTCTTCTTTGCTTATTAATGAACTAGTTGGAACGGACGGAAAAGATTTAATTGAGATGTTACTTGAAAGAGTTTTGGTCGAAATTGAAGTCTCATTGATTGGAGAATCAGGCTTGTATGGAGCAGTCAACGGAGATTGGTGATTTAGATGGCGACTACTATGATTATGGAGATAAAGTTGATCATGAAGCTGGCTATTTTCATTTGTTGAATGTTTTTCTTGGGGAACACTGCTGTAGGTTATACACGGATAACTGGGTGGTGATGTTAAAATCATGGGTTTGGAGCTGATTGAGAAAATTAATTTACGCCAGACCCATTCCCATTTAGAATCTCGTCTAGAAAAGTCTATTTTAGACATGAGTCGAACGAATGGGGGTATATTACATGATTTCAATATGATTGGAATCAATTTTCTCTCTCTATCTTGAATAGCTAAATCTGTTGCAAAAAGTGTCTGATATTTACATTCCTCGGATTCAACGAAATCCGGGGTTAATATGATGATAACGTAATTACATCTTTGCTCAATCAATTTAGTGTAAGCGTCGTATTTCATTGTACCCAGAAGCAGATCTCTATCACGAATAAACAACCGCAAACCAATTTGAGGAGATTCCAAATAATCCGACAGGAAGGTAACAAAATCAATATCTTCATCAGCGTAACAAACATATGCATCATAATGTATATCCTCATCATTATCACCGAGGCTATCATTGATTGTCAATAAATCGTGCTTCCTACCTACATGGTACAAAAATTGATACAAAGATTTAGTGATATTTAATCAATTTTGTTAATATACTTGGATTATTCATGGATTGAAAACTTACCTTTAATAGAAAGTTTTTTCATCTTATTGGAATGAAATAGTGCATCTTGATAAAACAATTCCATGCAATCATCAATAACGTCAAATCGTTCGATGGATTCCAAAAATCCAATCAAATCGTTGATTGAGTAAGGATTCTTTGATCCAGATTCACATATTTTCAGTTCTTTCTCAACATTTTCCAGAATCATTTTGAATGGATCTGCACTTCTTTCAATGGTTGAAACAAGATGATTATCCAAACCAAATAGATCAGCAATACCTCGATAATCTCTGGGTAAACCTGATTGTGCAGGTATAATTTGGATAGCATTCAAACATTTAGACAGCAAGGTTCGACTTTTAATCCTTAAGGCCCGAATAGGAATATCAGACAAATTAACAGTAGTTATAACACCTTCTTTAATCGTCTCTTTCTCCATATTGAAATCAAGTTAGGATCAAAAATTGGGCACTAAGCTGCACCAGGTATGAAAGATACCAAAACAAATAGATCTTATTTTATAAAATAATTTTGTTTTGAATGGATGAACGAGATAATTGAAATAATTACTGATTCTTAAACAATAAACAAAAACAAAATAGGCCTTGAGTAACTCACCAAGTTATCACTAATAGAAGGCAATGCGAAGAAATATGTTAACCTGCTGATATTCCCGAAGCCAAGTTGATAAATTTTCGTAATTTTAAATATACAAAAACAAAACAAAGAAACTAAACTTATAATAGCTCATTTTTGGCAGCTATTATGAAAAGTGGGACAATCTCTATTACGAGTGAAACAAAAAACAACAAAATTAAGTCATTTCTCAAATCTGAGATTAGTCATGTGGTTCGCATGATTTAAGTTAAAAAACTGTAAGAAAGATGGCGTTTGATTAAGTAATGATAACTTTTTTTGGGTTAAAGATTGCACTGAATTAACTGAAACGATTCCAGAAAATATTCAACAATTACAACCATGAGAGCTACGAACCGATACTAATAAAATCTAAGTTCAGAGTACACATTTCTCTTGAATCTATTCGTTGGTTTGTCGAAAAGTTTTAATAAATAATTCATCTGAAATTTGACTGATTGCAACTTAATTGTCCATTAAGTCCATGGCACAGTCAGTTGCAGTTTTATGAAAAGGCTGAAAAATGGAGAACTCAATAATTAAATTAGATGTGATTTTACTTTTGTTTTAAATAGTTTTAGTTAGTTGTTTTTACATTGGACAAGCCTCTCTCATTTGCAATCCCAATACAAAGTGAAGAAAAGCTTATAAATTTCAATACTCCTTTCAAAATGAGATTATAAATAAATATAATCATTGTTAAAATAACAGTTGATTAAGCAAATTAAGAAGTTTACTTCCATTGAGGTTTAAATATTTGAGCGTTGTTTGGTCAAAAAAAAACACAAAACATGACTAAATGTAATAAAGAATCACATGAGGATGAAATCAGGAAAAGTGGACAAAAGACAGATGATTGAGGCATGATGATTAATTTGATTAACTTCTTATCTTTGACCACAAAGATGGATGCAGAAATCAAAATGATGACAAGAAAAATAAAAAGAGGGATTGAAAAGAGAGAAATTATAATGAATAAGCTTTCCAGTGGCTGGTGAGGCTTTTGTTTTGGACGAATTTATTGAGATTGTTGAGTTTAATTTGGTAATCAAATTGATTAATTTACTCAGTTCCTCTAAGAAGTAAAAAAAAATGAATTAGTATCATCTTTTTGAGGATAAATTCTTAAATCGGTTATTTCACTGGACGTCAAAACATCAGAACCAATTTTCACTAGATTGTAGACTTCTTAAGGAGAGAAAAGTCCTGCTCATCTCCTTGAGGTTATTTCTTGATTCTATTTTTGTTATAAAAATTAATTATGTAAGCAAATCCAGAGAATTGATCCAAAAGGAAAAGGAAATCATAACAGTCTCTCAATAATCTCTAAGTCACGCTTTGTTCAATCTTCTCGATCTTTCTTTTCGAAGTCTCTTATTTGAAATGATGGATGGAAGATTGATGATATGCTATCCGACAAAAATAAGGTAAAATGCAGGTTCCATCAAGAACTGTCTCTTCTTTCGTCTCCTCTCTCCCTGTTATTGTTCCTCTCTATCAGATGCAAACGTTGTTCCAAAGGTAATTTCTCGAAGAATGGATGATCAAGTGCTTCAGACAATGTTATTCTACTGATTGGTTCGTATTGCAACATTTTTCCTATCAGATCAAAAAGTAATCGATGGTCCTCATCATCACTCAATAAATATCTATGTAAAGGTTTGCAATTTTCTCTAACATATCGTCCAGCTGATGATTTGTAATCCCAATCAAGTCGTCCATGGTGATAATATTTCGTCCTAAATAGTGATACAGAGCAAAAACAAGAGAAATACAAGATAAATGATTAATAATATTGACCAGAAAAAGATGGATTTTTAAAAATAAGCCAAAACCAATCTGCGGTTAAAATGGCTTTCGGGCACCGAAATGGTGAGATGATACTAAAAAAATCATAATGCAATCAATTAGTAAAATTCATAACATATAAAGTCAATTAGTATAAATAAGTGGATAAATGTCACCAATGTTAATCATTGAATATAAATGCACACAAGATTTCATTGTGATTTGCTTTTTGTTCTTTGAAATTATTACGGTTACGTCAAGACTCTGTGCTCTCGAAAAGACTTACTTAGTTTTACGGCACATTCTATAAGGCAAAGGTCCTAAAATTCTCTCCATCATTGCCAAATGTTCACGATTGTCATGAGTCTGAAACAGTGTTATACCCAGGTAAAGTTCAAAAAGAATACAACCGATGCTCCAAACATCACAAGGCTGAGTCCAGCCTAATTCTAATATTACTTCCGGCGCTCTGTAATGACGAGTCGAAACTATAGTGGAGTGATGTTCATCGTCGAAAGTTGCTGATCCAAAGTCAATAAGTTTTATATCAGTATTTTTCACTCGCTTGACGTCCTTCTTCTGACGCAATTGTTCAAGAACAGAAGAAAAAGATAAAAAAGAGAAAGAACATCATAATTAGAATCGGCTGGTGGATTCTGAAGATTAATTACCTTTTCCTTGCTTTTCTTGGAAACATAGACAACATCAAAATCGGAATCAATGAAAAGGATATTCTCTGGTTTTAAATCGGTATGAGTGAGATGGTTATCATGAAGAACTGTGAAAGAAAGAGAAATGAATTAATTGATGGAGAAACTAATTTCGATTTTTTCTTTGAAATGAATCCGCTTACATTTAACAGAGTAACATAGTTGGTAGCCAATATGACGGACTTGATCAATAGGATATGGTTGGTAATTATTATCTTTCTGAAAGTGAAAAAATAATTAAATTAAAATGTGTTGAAATAGGCAATGAGTGATTTAATATTTACCAAAAAATCAAAAACACTCAGTCCAAGCATTTCAAAAGCAATACATATATGACCATGGTAATCGAACCAATCTAACATTTTTACACAAAGACTTTGAGAAGAGTCACCGTTGGACCAGGATAATATGAAAAAGAGAGATAAAAATTAGTGCTTTACATCCTTGATGGATTTTTATTATATGAATACTCACTGTTTACCATGGGGGTCTGCTTCAGCTAGTTTTTCTAAAACATTTATTTCTAATTTAGCAGCTTCTCTATATTTGTCCACGTTTTTAATGATTTTGAGAGCAACCATTTGATCACTGCTAAGAAAAATGAAAATAAAACAATCAACTTTGCTTTGATTACGGAAGGTTGATAAACATACGTTCTTAAATCTAAAACTCGTACGACTTTTCCAAAAGTTCCTTCTCCAAGAGTTGATAATATTTTATCTGTTCAGGAAAAGAAATATCATTAAAAATTAATCTCGTGGCATTAAAGATCTTTTTGAATGAATCAGTAGTAAGGGAAAAAGTATTAGAGGAAAAGCTTTTTGAAATGATTTACTTTGCTTCTCAGTAAACAATTGCAATAGAAATATGAAAATAGAGAATATGAACGCAATATAAGGGAATGAATGATTTGTGAATAAGAACGAAACCCACAAAAGGTTAGAACAAAAGCTAATTGAAAGCTAGTGGTCTGCACATAATTTACCCAGCTTTGTTTCAATCTGACACTTCAATATTGAAGCATAATAAACGTTCGCTTGTCTTTAACCATTCAACAACTTTCTATTTTTTGCTGTTTTCCTTTTTTCATCAGGAAACAAAAATCACACGCTGGCAGAATCTCTACACTGCTCGTCAAACCAATACGGTAGTTGTCACAGTAAACATGAGAATGGTATCAGATGTTTCAGGTACATACAAGAAACACGAGAATATAACTACAGACATTCGGACAGGTTATGACAGGTTATGTAGGTGATGAAAAGGGATAGGTTGGAAAATTGAAATTTACATCTCTTTTGAAGAGTATCTCCTCTCCGGTAAATAAGATGTCCATCCTCATCATCGTCCATATTTCTCCGACGATACCGTCTTCTTTCAGGGGTTGAGTTTCTGGATTTCTTGGATGCTACATAAGGCGATCGGGACCGGTAGTTAGACATGGTTACACCAGTGAGCGTGAACGTTAAATAAGCAAGAACCACCGACACACCACCACCACCACCAATGAGACAATTTATAATGGCACAATTTTGATTGAAGAAAAAAGAAATAATGAACAATTCTAAACTCTCAAGCCTTACATTAGGGAACTCCTACAGGTCAAGGAGGTTGCTAAGCGAAGGGTTTTAAGAGGGATTTTTGAGTTAATTTGGGAATTTTGATCTCAAATCAATTGCTGGAGTTAATATTTCAGATAATTCAAGTTTGAGTATCAAAAAATTCACTCAATTTGACGTTAAAGAATCTAAATATCTTTTAGGACAACTACAATTTTTAATAAGAAACATTAAACATTTCATAATTAAAATATCACTTTGTATAGTTTCCTCGATAGGTGGCGCAAGAAAAATAAGCTATTATACAATGCAACTGTTAAAATTGAAAAAGTAATATTGATTCTTGTGTACAAACATGATCAATACTGATTAAATCACTTCTATCACCAATTAACCTTTATTTTGAATGTGTGTCTAAGTATTGTTTAAACATTGGAATTGATCAAGTTGGGACTGTTTCAATATTGTCAAGCAAAAAAGTCGAATCATCTCTAGTCGGAAACTTAACTTATGAATACAAAAATTTCTTTTCATGTAAAATTGTAATTAACAAACATTTACTTATCACAAATGAAATCTCGTGTATGCTAATGAGCTAAAACATATTTAAGCACCAATATTCATATTTGGTACATCTCAACTTTAAGACAAGCTCTGGAATGTCATTCAATAAAACAAAATTAATGCTACACATGAAGCCAAGATTGTTGCAATTAGGAATGTTGAAAAATGGCTATTCTGTATGCATTCAATCTGATTTTCACTTGATATCTTCCATATTTCAACTGTTAATAGTTAAACTGTCCTTCAGTTAGCGTGTATCTTCATCAATTTGAATAAGCAAAAGCAACAAAATGGATAATCATTTGGTTCAAAATATCATTGATTGGCTTCAGTTTTGGCAAAGTTAATGAAATTTTGCTTTCTTCTGGTGAAAATGAGGAGAAGGGAAACTCTGAAACTCGTGATTCTATTCATCTAATAATAACAATTAAAGGCTGTTGTGATTTGAGCAAGTATTTGGTTCGTCAAATAACTAGTTTGCTCGTAAACAATAACACATTTATATCAACTCAACTAGTATTACAGATTACATACAATGACACATTTTTGGGCAAAGGTTAATATCAGCAAAAAGTCAATAGAAACACAAACTTGTGGTTTTATTAATTTAAGGATTACAGTGTTTCTTTGGCTTATTGTAACAATTGAAACAATCAAAGAATGGGATTGAAAATGAAAGGTTAACCTACCTTTAAAAAAACTGTAATCCGATTGGAAAAGCGTTGCAAAATGAGTTGAACAAGAATCACAGATGAAACAAAAATGTATATCAAGCTAATTCGAGTTGTTTTGAAAAATTTACTGATTGAATTGGATTGATAATTGAATGGTTAATCATTTAAAGTTGGCTAAAGGTGAAAACCAGGTGAAGAGCAACTGTTAATCAAATGATTTGTGGGATAATAAAAGATGGACAAGATTAACAAGTGAATGAAATTAACTAAAGCAATGAGGTAAAGGGAAATCTCGCATTGAAAGTAGGACCCATTGAGTTGTTGACTAAAATGATAACACAAAATTAAAACAATTCCGATGTACAATTGTTGTACATTATTGTTCAACTTGGATTATTCATTTGTTTATTAATGATGAGATTGTTGTTGTTGGTGGTAATGTTGTTGAAGATGAAGATGGTGATGATTATTATTATTAAATGTTGATGTTGACGGGAAGCAAATCAACAGAAGGTTGAACCTGATTGTGTCTTGGGCTGGGCAAATATCGGTGGATAACCTTAAGTTAAAATTGAGTTTCCTCTAAAAATTGCATTTCACAAGAATAGACTGGATAGATGATTCATAAGGCAACCTTTAAAGATGAACGTTACCTCAACAAGTAATCTAGTTAATTGTGATTAAGCAGATAGATACAAATGAACACGAGAAATGGTGAACAAAATGAAAACAAACCAAACGTGTAGCTATGAAAAGATACACTTGAGGTAAACACAGAAGGTTATTAGGAACGACAAGTCCCGTCTAAATCTGTATCTTTAATTGTAATCCCAAGAAATATGGTTTATTATGGTGAATTAAATTTGATTATTATTCAGTTAATTTAAGGGTAAACGTCTTTATGTTGTTTTATTTTTCGACTTTTAAACACATTAAGATATTGAACATTGCGTTTAACCAAACAAACGGTTTCTTCCTCATTTAGTTCAAACTTACATTTGGCTCTCTGCCTGTGGGAAGATGATGATGATGGTGAAGATGAACAAATCCTCATCTTCATCATCATCTTCATCATCAACCTAAAACAGTAACTTGAACATTCTTGTTTTTTTTTGAATAATCAACTTTATTTGAACTGTAAGATGAAGAAAATAACAAAATGAAAATAATAAAAAAGTCATAGAGCAACAATTTAATTCTGAACAACATGATAATGAAGAGAGATGAGGATAAAAGGAAGAGAAGAGACAGAGATGAGTGCAAATCCTTTCTCAAATCATCTTCAATAGTTAAAGGATAAGGATTGAAGATGAAGGGAAACTTGTGGCATCGACTCGTCCAGAAATAGATCTTTAGAGATGATGGCGATGGAAATGATGAACATGGTGGTGATGATGATGATGACTGAGGTGAGGGCGAAAAGCCAAAAGTAAAGTCATTCGCCAGTCTCTTTTATTGACTTCCTTTCTTTGTTTCTTCTTCAATCATCTTCATCTTCATTTTTCTTCTCTGTCTCAAAATGGCTCACAATTAAGTAAACCAGTCATTTTGCTCTTTCAACATGAAATCAAAGTCATGTTTCTATTTCACTATCATCAACTAACCAACTTGATAAATTATGGTTCATCATTACTGTAATCCATTCAAGTGTATTGAAGGCTTTGTAGAAGATTAATTAATTTAAATTTGAATAAAGGTGCATTTTTTGTGGGTGAAGTTATTTGTCTCAAAATATATACACTTTAAGCGTTGTCAATTATATCAGCCTCTTGAAGTAATTCTGGTGCCTTTGTGTGTTGGTGACTTCCTCATTTCACTAGCAATTGCGGTTTGAATGTGATGATTTTGTACCAAAAAGACTGTAGATAAGATGGTTGATTGATAGTGAAAATATCGTAATTCATGCCAACCCTGACATTTAAAAGCATAATATTTAAGTAGATTTTGTATGTTTGTTCAATCTTACACCAACAGCATTGATTGAAATGAATTATTTGATGAGTAGGAAAAGAAGAGGTTTAAGGTGCAATTTCCCTCCATTGATTTTCATTGAGTAATTGCTTTGACTTTAACCAACAATATTTTTTCCAATTCTAATTAAAATCCATCTTTAACCAATTAACAGTTTTGCACAGCTAAAAATTTGACGACTAGTATTATCGATTGCCACCACTGTTCAATGACTAAATTTGTAATCCTGATCATTGATTGTCATCATCAATGGGAAAATAATAATTTAAAAACGTTATAATGACTTCATTGCGAACCAATTGTCTCTGCAAATATCTTCAGTCCATATGATCTTTTGATTTATAAATATGTGATGGATGCAAAGTATTTATACAGTTGCATTGAGCCTTTCAAACAGCGATTTAATGTGTTCAACCAATTGAGCGAAATCTCGAAGAAGTAAATAATCTCTTATCAATCTTCTTGATCTATCGGAAATATCCCGATACTCTTGAGCCATTATTTCCTGTCCAATGTGATCTTCAGGTGCAACTTCTCGAAACCACATTCCTAATTGTAATTCACATAGTAATTGCCGTAAATGATTTTCGATTTCCTGGAATTCTTCTTTTAATGATTCCTCATGGATACATTGATCAAGTACGATTTGCTCAAAACCAACAGCAAAATATTGTAAATATTTGAAACTCCTTTTCAATCCATCAGCTTCCTAAATTGCCAGAGAAAGGGAGTTAAATTAGATAACATGGTAATAATAAATATATTGTTGATTATCAGGTACAAACCTCGAATTGACTAAATTCATCAATGAGTGCTCTAACTTCAGGAAGCCATTCTAACCGTAAATCCGTTAATCCAGATTCAAAGTCTTCGTCATCAAAGTCTGCTAGCTTCAGGAATAAAATAAAAACAAAAAAGATTGATCAAATAATCATTGTTGGTAAGCATTAAACAATCAAAAATCGATATAAAATAAAAAAGATTGGTACAGTTTAGATGGATATTTAGGTTTACCTTGACGATGCCTTTTATTGATCTTTTTTTAAATTGTCGCAAAATAATACCAACGTTCTGGTGGTATAATTACACTGAATATTTTTTCAATTAGGTAATCAAATTATTTAGTTCCTCCCATGTCAATTAATCAGCTGATGCCAAATGATTGACAATTGTGAGTATAATCTTTAGCCTTTGAATTGAAAATTCAAAGTTTGAACTGGTTTGCAAACCTGAACATGGGAAGACTAGAAATTGATTTATGATAAAAAGACTTGCATGTCGTCTTTATTTCTTGTTAATTCAATTCATTTTCTTTTGAATTATTAACAATTGGAAAAGTAAAATAGGCCGACATCGGAAGTTGACAGAAATAACAATAAGAATAGTAAATGGTGGAAAAAATCAGAAATGACTTTTTTATGACCCAGATCTCTATGGTAAACAGTTGAGGTAAATAATAACTTAAATTCAGACTATCCATATTGATTGATAAGGAATGACCATCGATCAATAATGTGACAATTACAGGTAAATATTGTTCTAATCTTGATATTCACAGCCTCCAAAAATAATTAACTATGTTTCTCTGTGAACTATGTCTTTGTATCAATATCAAACTCTTGAAAATGTATTTAAATTTGTTCAATAGATGATGATTTGTTCCCTCAAAATGATACATTATATATTCTGAGTATCAAATATTTTGAGTAAAAAACTGGATTACTTACAAATTGTGTCTTCAACTTTTCTGACAATCCTTTAGCTGCTGTTGCTCGGCGGGTTATTTTCTCGTACATATCCTTAACTGAAGGTTGACTATCCTGCGATGGGTAAATGTAAATCGGAAGGTTACATGGGTTGACCCAGGGTGGATGAGCAACTGGTTTATCTGGATCATTGCCAAAAATTTGTTTCGACATAATTACAGAAACTGATGACACAGTTTAACTGTGAAACAATCAACAGTCTAAAAGACACCAATGATTGTTACATAAAATAAGTTAACTGTCTTTACAAACAAAAACAACTAAAAAGTTATAGAAGCAATATGTTGAACAAAAATGTTGAAGACGATGAAGATGATGAAGATGATGTTGGTGTTGTTGTAAGAAGAGTTAATTATAACTGGAAACACATTTAAAAGTGAAAATAAACAAACAATAATCAAGTAATGGTTACTTTCTTGAAGTACAACAGCAACACCATTAGAATCACTTGATCATATGTTTTACCAGAAGATCCGAAAGCAAGCAGCAACAGCGTCTAAAGAAAACAAAATTAGACACACACAGTGTATTTAAATTAATGAAATGTTGATTAGTTGATTTGGAGAAGCGTATAATCTTACTATTAAATAGACTTACCTTTTAACGTTGAAATGAATTTCCTCAGAAGAACATTAGTTGAAAATATATTTTTATGGCTGACTGGTTACGACGGTAACCATTGGGTATAAACATTTTCATTGTTCTCTGTCTTCTCTCTACCTCTTTCTAGCTTTTCAGTAAACTGTACAATTATACACCAATCATCGTTCTGGGTATTTATGATTTTCATCTTAACTATGATAATTACTTTAATTACTTAGGTTTTTCTTCATTACTCTCACTGATCAACTCGCAATTATTACAAGTCTAGTGGAGCCCTTCAACCAAAAGATGCCAACAATGTTAACAATATTTCATTGTTTCACACGTTATACTCTCATCACGAATCTGATTACATATTGAGATAATTTTCCAGTTTCACCAATAAATTGAACAATAGCAGGTAACACTTCTTAGAAATGATATTCATCGATTCAATAATATCTATTGGGTCGTTGATAGGCTCATATTTGTGATTTATCATGATCAAACTTTTACTCTTCTGTGTCTATTAAAGTGAACTGACTGAACAACCTTCAGCTAATTTCACCGATTACAATGTTAATTTGTAATATTTTTCAACAATAATCATTAGCTTGTCATGGTTTAGTTTACACTTTTATTGTCCCAATCAATGTTATATTTTGTCAGCATATAACAATTTAATGAGCAATTTAATGTCTACCATTTCCTAGAAATAAATTATACCTGTAACAGCAATTTAAAAACACCAAATGAATCATGAGCAAATCGTCTGAATTGTTTTTCCATAAACTCTTTAAGGATCAAATTAAAATTACATCGATCATTCAATTGTCAAAATGATTATTTCCTGGTGAACCATTAAACCATAATATATAATGATATATTTAGATTGGCACTAGATGATTCCAACAAGTTAATCTGTTATCTTTACCAGTTGATTAAAAATACTGAATAATCTGAACATAATGAATCGATTCGTTTTCGTACCATTGACTTTAATGTTAATCCTGACTATTGTCTCTGTCGAGGTAAGTTGATTTTTGATTTCTTATTTTCCCCACTAAAGTAGTTAACCACAGTTGAAGTAATATGATATTGTATAGTTGATTAAATTACGAGCTGTTGGCTTGAATTGAATCTGAAATATTTGGCTTAACTCATTAATTTCTCAATAAATTCTCGGTAATACTTAGCTGAAGTTGATTCACTTTGTATTACTGAGTAAACATGAAATTAAGAAGACTGATAAAACTGTAAAATGAATGTAATCTACGATTTATGAGTTGTTTCATGATAAAGTAATTCATGTCTCCATTTGTTCCCTTTAGTCAGAGAAGGAGCAATCAAATGGCTTTTCACTTCGACAGCTATTTGAGAGGCAAGTTTCACGATTACAACGTTTGGCTCCATCAACCAATCAACAGTCTGAGATGAATGAGCAATCGGAAAGATCAATTTATTCATCATCACGATTAATGGAATCAGTTAATAAAGGAATAGCCGCTAATTACAAGAAATTCAAGGGAGCTGGATCATGGATAGATTAAAAATGAAAAATTGTAAGAATTTTGTCTTCAATTGCGAACAACTGATTTACATTGTTCAGTAAAAATAAAGCAATTAAAAAATTAGTTGAACACAAATTATTATTGACAGTCAACAAGTGACAGGCGAAAGATTATTGTCAATCCTCACATTTAGTGAAATTATTAAGAGACGCAAATGTAAAGCATGATTATTGATTAAATCTGGTCGATCCATAAAAGGTAAAGCCTTTTGAACAACTTGGTCGTGAAGAAACGCGATATTGTGAACAGAAGTATGAATAAGCCTGTGATTGCTAATCATTTGAAGTAACTGTTGCTGTTTCATCTAGGAAATTGAGATATTAGCGTATTTTAGAGCATTTGGAATGAAATTCTAAGCTCATGTGATTGACCAGGCATCCAGGTAAGCAAATCAATTTGAGTAAATCAATCACAAAATCATACGATCATCAATAACTTGGCTCATTCAAGTTGGTTCACTGGGTGGACTGTGTGTTGAACAATATTCAAGTAGATCATCAGCAGACTCGGGACGTTCAGGAGTTTCTTGGTAATAAATTCTGATAGCGACAAATAGATACTTCAATCTACCTTCCATTGGGCTACCAAGTAATGTTTGATCAACAGAGCTTTGAAAAGACGATCCATTTTCATTATGTACAAAAGGAGGAACCACACAAGTTTCAATTGTTGCTACTCGTCTTTTAATCAGTCGATCGCCTTCTTTTTGTGTTGCCTGAAATGTTTTATACCAATCAGTAACGTCTTCATGGAATGTCCTTTGATCAAAAGCAACAGCAGATATAATCAAATCAGAGTTTTGGGTAAACATTGATAAATCGCTACTTGAAGCAGCCATTAAACGTCCCATTTCATTTGGCTTTGTGCAATAGATTCTCAGAAATCGTACCATTTTATCGGTTTCTTGTTTCATCCACCAAGTTCGCCGAGTTTCAACAGAGTTGTCAGAATCTAGAGATTTTAAAAAACATGAAAAATTAGTGAGATTCAATTAGATTAAATCAAATTAAGTTTACCTCTTACGCGTATGTCTACAGCTTGGGCGTTACAAAAGTTAAGATCTGGATTGAGAGCTAACCATTTTGAGGATTTATCGATCAAATCAGAAAATTTCTCTTTATTACCAGATTGTAATGAATTTCCAGTATCCATTACATTACAATCAAATTCAGGAACAAAGTCAACCAGAACAATTTCATCTTCCAACCAGGATCCAATTTGGAAGAAAACTCTTATTCCGATAATTACATTGGTAAAACGATGAATATCTCTTGTAGTTTTGCCATCTGAAATATAAGTAGCATCATTACGATATTCCCAATCATCTGTGGCACCAATCTTGATGGTTTCAATTTGCAAAATTTTGCCATTTATTCTTCCTCCAAGAATCTCTTCATTAATATCTTTGATGAGATCTTCAAGTTGCTCAAAGGAACCATCAGCTCGGCGAGAAGGAACAAAATCTTTGTACCAAAAGATTATATCATCACCACCATAGTTAACATGAGACCGTTTAATCCACAGACGTAGCGTATAAACATCAGCTGAGTATTCAATATCTGAAACAACACTGTGATTGTATTGAGGAACAGTTTCACAGCTAATAATTTCCCAGCCATTGTGACGATGAAGCCATTCGTTTGCTAGACAAACTAATGAGCTTTGGTTTTAACCACACAGATGAAGCAAAATTTACCAGACGATTCGTATTTCGACAGCAATGGAAACCAAAGGGACATGATAAAAGAAATATTGTAATAACACAATTAATTATTGATTGGATAGCATAAACTAAAGCGTAAACAATTGAATTATTGATCAGACAGAAGCTAATGTAAATGTAAACCAAGATACCAGAAAGATACCAGAAACAAAAACAAAGAGTCTTATCAGATTTTTACATACATTTTGTAATGCATTGGAAGTGGAATGATCATGAACAGATATTAATTATTGAGATTACCTGAAACTGTGGTAGACAACTCGCTCTTTGACCTTTTTACAAAAAGAAGGAATGAAATCGACAAATGTCAGCTCGGTTAACTCATTGATGTGACCATCCTTGATAATACGATGTTGAGGCAGCCTCTTGTCTCTAAACCTGTCTGAATCAACTCTACATAGGCCTTTGTGACCACGGTATACAATTAATGCCATCGAAAAACAGAATCACTGAAAACTTGAAGAAATGAGTTGATTGACAAACTTTCAAATTGAACAGCAGATGATTTTTGGTTGGACTTGAAAAACATCAGCTTAGGCTTGGATGATGAACTGTTAATCAGACATGAGTGGAGCCAGAGTAGTCAGTTAGACTGTGACTGTTGGGTCACATATTGATCAGAATAACTTCCAGATGTGTCCATTTTTAATGATTAAACCTAAGTTAACTTGTAGTCTAGATGATTAACTTGTATTATTTATAACCAAAATACATGGTTTAATATTCACCATGTGGTTTTAATTCACATGGAAGGTATTTCAACCCATTATTGTGAAGGATATTGAACCATACTTTATGGTACAAAGTCACAGGAAAGGAGCCAATTTTACTCGACCAGAACCAAGATTAACTTTCTCATGGTTCGAAAAGCTGAAGTTTAATCATTCAGATTTTTAAAAATTCATGTGAACGAATCCACCCTCCATAGATTAATCTAGAAAGAGACAGATAAAAAAGAAAGAGAAAAGGTCAAAGAGGATTATAAAGAGTGGGTTACATGAAGAATGATCAGAATGAGTTTTTCATGCTTTCATAGGAACAGCTGTAATATGTATTATGATGAAATAGCAAGTTTATTTTCATGGTGAGCGGAGGAACTCGATGAACTAAATCGCAGCAATTGAAAATGACGCAAAATATGAGCCACAAAAACCTCTGTAGAGCCGAATTGGTAACAAATTAATTTTCAGACAAATTCGGGTCTACAGAGTTAATGTAGAGCAAAGATGAAACACAATCTTGTCACTATTGAACTAATCACTGAATTTAATCGTTAATTTATTTAACACTTTTATAAAGCTTTTTTAACAAAGGAAATGAAGACTAATTGAAATTATTGAAGGCTGATCAAAAGGAAGGCTGAAATTTAAAATCAAATAGCACAATCTCATTAAGCTCATTTGTGATTAAATTAACCTAGTCATCATGTACATATATTGAAATACAATTCTCGACAGTTTGAACATCATCAGGATAATTATGATGAAATATGAATCAAAATTGAATCTCATTACAGTTATTATTGAACTTTCAAGATCAACATCTATGCCAAAAGGATCTTACATCTTGAAATGTAATTTTGCTAACAAAAAACAATTAAAGTAAAATCGAAAGATCATTTTACACTGATTACAAGATTGCTGATTGATTTAAATGGTTTTAGTTTTTCAACAAATCAGATAATTATTAGCCATTCTTGGTTATTTAGACACATTTTGGTAACTCTTGGATGTTAGTTATGAACAATAAGTATAGCCATACAATCAAACAATTTAAAAGCTGAAGGTTGAGTTGAATTAACTGAAAAATTAGTTGATTGTTGCTTGTAGTCGGTAAAAAGACTCACTCATTGTCAGTCGTTTGTTTAGTGAGTGCATCGACCGTTAATTTTTAGGTTAACTGGAAGCTTCTAGAAACAACAAACCTTTTGGCTTAAACTCAACAAGCTGAGCCCCCGATCATGGCTGATCGTAAATTTCTTTTCACTGAATACAATAAATTGAATCCACATTTAAAGACTCGAATGGTTGATGAAAAATCATTGTCTATGAGAAAAACTAAAAAATTTTCGTTGATTTTGAGAGTTGTACAGTTGAAGCACCAGATATTTAACTTACTCTTTGCTTGAAAGACAGTTTTACATATACTCCTAACCCAACAATAAACCATCAATCTGAATACAAAAAAGTTTTTCCCCCAAAGTCAATAGTAAAAGATACGGATTCTGCGTTTTTTCCCCCACCCTGTTTGAGCGCTAATTTCTCAGTAACCTGAATTCCGAGAAAGCTTTGACTATTTTTCGTAATTGAAGTTCAATCAGGGCTTTCATTTTATGTAAAAAATTTCTTTAGAACCCGTTTAGTTTGGTCACAATCTTCCCGCAAAAATTTCATAGTTTGACTTTATATATTGTATAGATTGGTCTCTTCTTAGTTCTTGATATGAATCAATATATTGATATTTTAATATAATTAAAATTAAGTGCGCTGTGATTAGGAAAACATAGATTTTCCTGGATCAACTTAAAATGTAAACTGAATTGGTAAGATAACCATAATTCCGACACCCAGTTATTGATAATGAATAGGTGCGAGTAAACTAAACTATTTGGATTGAAATGGCGCAAGAAATATTAAACGAGCAAATGGTTCCAGATTTAGTGAATAATTAGTGAATTTAGTTATTTAGCTGGTAACATCATTAATTTCAACGGATGAATGTGATAAACTTCCTCAGCACCGTATACAGGCTGCAGCTGACTGAAGCACATAGAAAACATAAAGTGAACCCAAACAAACAAACAACTTGTAACTCTAAAGCTCTCAAGCCACTCTCTCTCTCTCTCATTCTCTCTCTTACTATTTGTGTTCTCTCATTGCTAAATTTTTCTTTAATTGTGATTGTTATTCAAATCGTACTGGAAACAAAATGAGGAAAACTCCTGCTATTCGTATTGATCTTGGTACTCCTGTGATGATGTTTTCCAGCATGGAAAAGTTGAAATCATCGCTAATGAACAAGAATCCATCTAAACTTGTGTTCGATGCTAAAGGTTGATTGGTTAAAGCTTCGATGATGCCACTGTTCAATATGATATGAAATACTGGCCGTTCAAAGTCATCAATTCCGGATCCAAGCCTAAGATCCAGGTCGATTTTAAGGGTGAAACTAAAACCTTCTGGCCAGAAGAAATCTCAGCCATGGTCCTCACCAAGATGGAGGAAACCGCCGAAGCCTGTAAGCCTGGATAAGCCTGTTACCAATGCTGTTATAACTGTACCTGCCTACTTCAATGATAGTCAAAGACAAGCCAACTTTCACAATCATTGTGATCGTCAATCATTAACTTTCAATTTTCTTAGCTTTCAATAGCTTTTTGTTAATTAGTGCCATAATTAGCCTTATTTGTCTCGTTAACTATACCATAAAATACATTGTGTATCTCACCTAATTATTAGGGGCCACATTAAATCCCGGGCTGTCTATGCTATTGAGGTGGCACATAGATCTCACTATTGTCAATGCATAGCTTAAGTATCATAGACAAATAAAATAAAGTTTTGCAGTTCCGAAAATTTTTCGTTGATTTTTTGTACATAAAAGATCACGGCCGAGCCGGTATAATACAGGTTAGTGAGGAAGTTCTTTGTAAAGAAAGGGCTGTGGATCCAAGAATCGACCATCAAACTTTCGTTTATGGATATGATCAGATAGCCTGAGTTATAAATAATAAATTGACTTAAGAAAGAGTTTCTGTCTCTTCGCAAAAATGATTTAATGAGCTGAGATCAGGTTACTCTCTGGTGATCGGCTGTACGCCGATTTGCCAGCCTTGTCACAAGGTCATCGAATCTGATCAGTGTATTTCAATGAAATTCTTAAATACAATGTTTAAACTTTCTAATAATACCATGAAAGCACTACTGCGACAGTGAATTTGCTTATAAAGCACTCGTAAAGTAACGTTTCTCATAAGTTAACTAACACTCATAAAGCGTACTTCAGTAAAACTAATGAAACAATCGCTCAAACAGAAATTTAGGCTAGATAATTGCTTCCTACCCACTCTATTCTACAGATATGTATATTAACTCAGTTTATATCTCATTAAAGTTGAAATGATTCAGACAGAAAAGAAAGGAAACCGCTCTGAAAAGCAAAATGGCCGTTTTTGAGTCGTTTTTGCTTCGAAGTCGCCCGTTTCGTACCTGAATGGCCTAGATCAATGATTTTCTGGATGCGAAGCCTGTATGGATGCCTGAAGAGATTGAATTAGATAGTTCTCAAAAAAATATTATGGGTAGACCCTAGCCCGGGACTTAATGTGGCCCCTAATATTATTACTTCTTCTTTGTATATATTTTTTGCTATCGGATATCAATCAAGCCAGATAGTTAATCATAGTCATAATCATGACCAAATCTTCAAATTAAATGTTATTTTTAAATTGTATCAAAAATTTATTTAGTCTTCTTATTGAACAATAGATGTCACTTATGGATTTGTTGTGACATAATTTTAATTGGTGCCTCACTCTGGTGACTAGTTTTTTAAACTGCGTATGTTTATTTTTGTTTATGTCAAAGTCTAAATTAATAAGGAATTATTTGACGATCGTTTACTTGATTACCTATTCTTATTGTCTTTAATGTTAATTTAATCAAGTTTAAATTCCTAAAGCTTGCTCTCTAACTGACGATCTCCATTATTATGTATTAATATGGATGTGAAAAATTTTTTTACTTGTACCCTGAACGAGTTGCTTAACCAGGAAGGTTTCAAGAAAGTGTCTATTGAAATTTACCCTAACCGGTTTAGAGCTGTATACAATTACATTCATCATGATCGAGTTGGAAATGAACTGTCAACATCAGTGGTTGAATTGATTGGTGCACCTGTTGGCTCCCTGTTATGCTGTTCAGGTCACATACTTAAATCATATTATGATACACCAGACGAATCAGTTCGAACCAAGCTACGACTCGAAGGAAATTTGACAGAAATTGTTAATCAATTCAAATACCAGTTCATTTACCGGATAAAAAATGCCCTCTCCATTAGGATCACCGAATTGCCAAGTGAAATACTGTACCATTTGATTGAATATCTAAACGTACAAGATATCATGAATCTATTAAGAGTAAATCAAACTTGGCAACGTCTTTTAGATGACGATTACATTTGGCGAAAAATGTATCTCTCAACATATGGTGAGTATTTTTTTCCAATTTAATTTACATTCTTGTGTTATATTGCACTACCCTGCTCATTACCTTGGAACAATTTAAGACAGACCTTTGATTTTTAGCAAATGAATTTTACAGAAACTTCTAGAAAATTCGAGGCTTACCTCCATAAATTTTGTATTAAAGGTCCAAAATATTGGTATTTTTTGCAAAATAGCAATAACATCAATTTTAATTAACAGTTTTCATTTATTTACTGCTAGCTTTAACGCCTACGCAAATAATCCAGGCTCCACTACCAGAACAGCGTGTAAAACCAGAAGAAATATTTGATTTTAGATACACTTTGAATCATTTTGTTATTTATTTGAAATAAACAAGTTCCATTTATACCTTAGCTATGATGAATGGGTAAAATTTGGAAAGAATGCCATATTTATATTCAGTGCTCTAATATATGTTCTGATATACCAGTTCTGGTATACTACAATTATTTATGGAACCCTCAATCTCATTAATTTATTGTTTTTTTTTGCTATTTCAGGAGAGAATCCCGATGTCGAAGAATACCGAAGTGATGGAACAGCTATCTGCAATTGGAGAAATTTAGTCATCCGAGAGTTTATCAAGCGAAAGAGAATGGAAGCAGAGCTCAGATTCTCGCAAGACTTATCAAGACGAAGCTTACCAGCATCACCAAGACTCCTTGCTTTACCGCCAGCATTTTGATATGTCTCCTTATGTTGGATCATTTCCACTTATTCGTCTTACCATCTCAGTGGACTATATTTCATATCAAGTCGTCTGGATATGTTGGTCTCTAATTGGTAAATCAATTGAACCGCTTTAGTAACTGTAGGTTAGCTTGGCGGCTCACTTGATTAACGTTGGATGGGGCTTTACGAAACCAATCAAGTTTCATTTTGATATCTATTTTTTTCTATTGAATTTGTTTCGTGATTTTGCATCATTAGCCCCATTCAAGTTTCGCTGTTTAAACAATATTCACTTAAGTTTGCTAAATTAGCCCCTGTTTATGTCAATGATAATCAAATTATTATTTTTTGTTTTAGAGTAACTGTATTCGAATCATCAAAACTAATCATGTATTTCTGTTTTCTGTTAAGTTTTCATCGAGCCAGTGTTTGAATGCGTTAAATGCACATCAATATGACTCATTTATCAAATTGTAATTTGTTGTGTTTGTAATCATTTTGACTCAAATAGAAGTAATTATTGTTCACTTTGTTTATTATTCATTCAAAAAAACTCGCGATTCTTTGTAAACCGTGCTTGTATCTCACCATATGTATTTTAATTTACTGGTCCATTTAGATCTTTGTTTTTCAATCTTTAATTTTCGTAGATTCTATTGTAATAGAAGATAATTTCTGAAGTAGTTACTGGCAATAAACATGATTTATAAGGTAACTGACTAATAATTTAAACCATTGTTGTTGTATCAACATTAAGTCTGACAGTAAACAGCTTGAATTATCAGTTGAATTTTTGATCTAATTAATATAAAATATCTTTTGATTTGTTTACTGAATGAGTTTTGAAATTACAATAAAAGGATTGGATTTTAGACTATTAATACGTTTATACAGTAAAAATTATCAATTTATTATCCAAATATTAAAAATACATTGGACTTTTGAAGCTATTTCGGGTGTATATCAATTGAATAAAACTCATGTTTCGCGCTCCATCGCCAAGGTTTGTTATCTTGTTTCAATTTTCTAGTTGCTAATAAATGATCTCCATGTATTATTGCGAACTGCATGATTTTGTCGATAATTTTATCATGAAAGTTGTATAATTAATAAACTATAACCAAATGCTTTAAACACTTTCATGTAACGGACCATCATTGAATGATTCTCGATTAACTCAATAAGATGAAATGAACCGTCTCTTGACTTGAAGCTGGTAACAACATGAAACATCATCACTTTTTCTCTATAATGGTTGTGACGACGTTGTTGCTGAATCAGAAATCTGTAACAATAGGATCTTACATCTTGAAGTGTAATTTGCTTTCATATTTGCTAACAAATAAACAATTAAAGTAAAATCGACAGATTATTTTACACTGATTACTGATTTTGAATGAATTTAGTTTTTGAACGTAAATCAGATAAATCTTAAGCATTCTTGGTTATTTAAACACATTTTGGTAACTCTTGGTAGTTGGTTATGAACAATAAGTAAAGCCATACAATCAAACAATTTAAAAGCTGAAGGTTGAGTTGAATTAACTGAAAAATTGTTTGATTGTTGCTTGTAGTCGGTAAAAAGGCTCACTCATTGTCAGTCGTTTGTTTAGTGAGTGCATCGACCGTTAATTTTTAGGTTAACTGGAAGCTTCTAGAAACAACAAACCTTTTGGCTTAAACTCAATTGCTCTTTTCTTGATATTAATCAATATATTGATATTTTAATATAATTAAAATTAAGTGCACCATAATTAGATAATCATAGATTTTCCAAGATCAACTTGAAATGTAAACTGAATTGGTAAGATAACCATAATTCCGACACCCAGTTATTGATAATGATTAGGTGCGAGTAAACTAATCATTTGGATTGCAATGGCGTCTGAATATAACAATCAGAGATTGCAGGCCATCAAAAACGTTCATAATTTTAAAGTATTTAAATTAATGTGGTTGTATTGAATCAAATGTAGCTCTAGAGTTAAACAGAAAAATTAATACAAAAGGCAGATACGCATTAAGAAATATTAAACGAGCAAATGTTTACAGTTTTAGAGCAGGAAAATTTAAATAACAATTTAATTCCTGAAAAAAGAGAAATTACTTTGATGTATTGCAAAATGATTGGGTATTTAACTGGTAACATCATTAATTTCAACGGTAGAATGTTATAGAAAAAGCTTTCAAGTTCAAGTTTTAACTGGAGAAATGAAGAAATTTCTAGAAGTCTCTAGAAGCAAGTTTGATTTTGTATATATACAGGCTGCAGCTGACTGAAGCAGCATACAGAAAACATAAAGTGAACTCAAACGAACAAACTCTAAAGCTCTCAAACTACTCTCTTACTATTTGTGCTCTCTCAATAATAAATTTTTCTTTAATTGTGATCGTGCTTCAAATTGTACTGAAATCAAAATGAGTAAAACTCCTGCTATTGGTATTGATCTTGGTACAACTTACTCTTGTGTTGGTGTTTTCCAGCATGGAAAAGTTGAAATCATCGCTAATGACCAAGGAAACCGAACAACGCCTAGCTATGTGGGTTTCACTGATACCGAAAGGTTAATCGGTGATGCTGCTAAGAATCAAGTAGCTATGAACCCATCTAACACCGTGTTCGATGCTAAAAGGTTGATTGGTCGACGCTTCGATGATGCCACTGTTCAATCAGATATGAAACACTGGCCGTTCAAAGTCATCAATTCCGCATCCAAGCCTAAGATCCAGGTCGATTTTAAGGGTGAAACTAAAACCTTCTGCCCTGAAGAAATCTCAGCTATGGTCCTCACCAAGATGAAGGAGACCGCCGAAGCATACTTGGGTAAGCCTGTTACTAATGCTGTTATAACTGTACCTGCCTACTTCAATGATAGTCAAAGACAAGCCACTAAAGATGCCGGTACTATTGCTGGTTTAAATGTTATGAGAATAATTAATGAACCAACTGCAGCAGCCATTGCTTATGGTTTAGATAAGAAAGGTGGTGGTGAAAAGAACATCCTAATCTTTGACTTGGGTGGTGGTACTTTTGATGTATCTGTGTTGACTATTGAAGATGGTGTCTTCGAGGTCAAATCAACTGCTGGTGATACTCATCTTGGTGGTGAAGACTTTGATAACAGGATGGTTAACCACTTCATCGAAGAATTCAAAAGGAAACATAAGAAGGATATTACATCCAACAAACGAGCTGTTAGGAGATTAAGAACTGCTTGTGAACGAGCAAAGAGAACCTTATCCTCATCTACTCAAGCCAGCATTGAAATTGACTCTTTACATGAGGGTGTTGATTTCTACTCAACAATTACTAGAGCTCGTTTTGAAGAACTCTGCTCAGATCTATTCCGATCAACATTGGACCCAGTCGAGAAAGCTCTTCGTGATGCTAAATTAGATAAATCAGCAATAGATGAAATTGTATTGGTTGGAGGTTCAACAAGAATTCCAAAGATCCAGAAACTTCTACAAGATTTCTTTAATGGTAAAGAACTCAACAAGAGTATTAATCCAGATGAAGCTGTTGCTTACGGCGCAGCTGTGCAAGCTGCAATCCTTAATGGTGATAAGGATGAAACTGTTAAAGATTTACTTCTTCTTGATGTTGCTCCATTATCTCTCGGTATTGAAACTGCCGGTGGAGTAATGACTGCTCTGATTAAACGAAACACCACCATTCCAACTAAGACATCTCAAACTTTCACTACTTACTCAGATAATCAACCTGGTGTACTAATTCAAGTATACGAAGGTGAAAGAGCAATGACCAAAGACAACAATCTTTTGGGTAAATTTGAATTAACTGGTATTCCTCCAGCTCCTCGAGGTGTTCCACAAATCGAAGTTACCTTCGATATTGATGCTAATGGTATATTAAATGTATCAGCAGTCGATAAGAGTACCGGCCGAGAAAACAAAATTACCATCACCAATGATAAAGGACGTCTTTCTAAGGAACAAATTGAAAAGATGGTTAACGAAGCTGAAAAATATAAAGAAGATGATGAAAAAGTTAAGGAACGAGTTGCTGCTAAGAACGGCCTTGAAGGTTACTGCTTCAGTATGAAACAGACTATGGAAGAGGCTAATATCAAAGACAAGGTTCCTGAAGACGATCGTAAAAAAGTAATTGACAAGGTTGAGGAAACATTGAAATGGTTAGATTCTAATCAATTAGCAGAGAAGGAAGAATTCGAGTTTAAGCAAAAAGAACTTCAAGAACTTTGTAATCCAATCATTACCAAAATGTATCAAGGAGCTGCTGGTGCCGGTGAAATGCCCGGTGGTATGCCTGGTGGAATGCCTGGTGGAATGCCCGGCGGAATGCCTGGTGGTTTCACTGGTGGTATGCCAGGTGGTGGCGCACCTAAATCTGGTCCAACCATTGAAGAAGTCGATTAAATTGATAGTCATGATGTACAAAATTTTACATAATTTAGATGTTTCATTTAATTTTTTGAAAATGCTTGTCACCTGTAATTCATACACTGTTCATTTCAAATGAAAAATATATGTATTTATTTTCATTGTTAAATAAACTTTATTAAGTTCAACTTATAATAAAATAATCGTCTTAAATTTCATTTCTTTATTAATTGATAAATATTGCTCAAAATAATTTGCGCTTGACTTTAAGGTCAGTAATGATGAGGATAAATTGAAAAATTTAGTTTGATATCAATAACAACTTGATCTGAGGAACCAACTTCATATAAATAATGTTTAATAAGTCAGGCATTAGTAATAAGATGGTCTTAAAATTGAAAAATATACTTATTGGTTTTAAATTATTTTGTTGAGTTAGGTATTAAGATAGCTTTATACAAATAATTCATCTTCTGCATTAATCAACGTGAAACTTTGCAAACTTAGGCTACACGAATAATTTTAAGGATTTTAACCAACATCATTTTTTGAATATCCTTGTGCAACCAAAGGATAACCAAAAACATGATAAGTAGTTCGGGAGTTCAGCACCATGACAAGTACCCATCCAAGGACTAACATCACAAACCTTGAAAATGGACGAAGCTGGTTTTTGTGTGTGATAATAACCATAAACTTTACCTCCACTCTTATTAGCTTTTAATGCGTATTTCAAACCAAAAATGTAAGTTAGACAAACTAAAGTTGAATCACTGTAAGCCTTTTCAATTTGAGATCTTAAATAATTTGAATCATTGGTATAAGGACCAAAGTACAGTTCGCGGTAAAAGTCTAGTGATTCTCTTTGAGAAATAAGGGAAAGATAGACAAGCGCTTTTTGGTAATCTAGTGGAGCTGGGGTTAGTGGGTTGAATTGTTTTGAATCAAGAGCTGTCATGAAGATGGAGAACTCGTTCTTCTGATTACCAAGTAAGAGGTCAAACGAATTATCAAACAAGCCTTGAGAAAAGACTTCCATTGGTGTGTAGGGAAGAAAATCATCTCCAAATGTCCATCTGAACCTAAGAATTCCATCTGATTGGTTATCAATGATTTCGGACACGGGGAGTCCTTGAAGACATTTAAGGATGTCATTTGTGTTGGCACATGAGGTTCGGTTGAGTACAGTTAAGGCATTTCGCACGAAGAAATCTAAATCATCTTTTGGGTTCATAATTGTTCCTGACTCGAGAATTGCTCGTTTGAATAAACCTTTGGATAGAGGTGATAAAATATGGGTGAAACTGACATGGAACTGCTGAGTCTCTGAAAACCTGATGGTCTTATAAATACAGGAGGTGCTTACTTTGATTCATAAACATTCCAGTGAGTTCTGATATAAACTATCGAACCGCAAAATGTATTCGACATCCTAATATACAACTTTTTGGATCGACTTTTCTCCTTCGCATTGTTCACCGAATCCATCAAATTTTCTTTTCCTTTCCAAACTCAATTCTTAATGATTGGAAATGTAAGCCAATTTGTAATCTATTGTTTCTTTCAATTTTCAATCAATGAAAATAATATTGAAATAAAGATTTTTTGCAATTTTAATTACTCACAATTGTCAGTAAACCTTTAACTATTATCGAATAATTAACTAATTTCTTTTAAAAATTGCGAAAATAAGTTTTCATTTCAGGTTTGTTTTTCAAATAAACTGAAGATGATCAACTCCATGGGCTTTCAAGTGATTGTATTATAAAAGAAGCAAGAACCATAAAAATAAGGGGATCAGGAAACTTTCAATTCAAGGCTTATTTACCTTTTTAAATTGAATTGACGAATCACCATTGCATGAATGTTAAGTTCATTCATGGTTGTTGAGATAAAAGTTGAACTTGACTGGTAAGATGGATTAGATTGTTGAAGACACCACCAAGTAGTGATGATATAAAGGAAAATATTGATCAAAGTAAATGTCCAATTTTGACGCAAACTCTTACCTTTTGGTGTTGACTTGTTCATTGGGTGAGTTTATATTGGAAAGGCTGTTGAATAGACAGAAGATAAGTTAAATGGTGTGCTCATATACATGGTGTTTCATTGATAAGCTTGGAAAGCTCAAGAATAGAGCAACTCCTGGGAATGAATTATTCAGTGAAAGAGAGAGAAAAATGAAGATAACCTTCATTCCCTTTTGTATTAGAAGCCAATCGAAATGTCGATTTTAGGTTACTAAAATTGTAAGCATAAAAACTGTAATAACCCATAAACACACTGAAATTGCAAGAGAGGAAACAGGGAGACTTTTTACTTCTTTGATTCATTTTTCAAATTATCATCTTCCATCATCTTATCATCTTTAATATTTTTATCATCTCTATCATCAAGATTGACTTATAGTTATTCTGGTTCATTTGTTGTAATGTATCATCATTTAACCCATTTATCAGCATAATTATGACTATGTTAGTCCACTCATCTTAAGAGTAAGTAACAATTTTAACAATCATTTCACTTTTTCCAATCAGTATTTTCCCCTGTCTTTTGTTTCATTTCACCTTTCATTTATCAACTCATTTCAATCATTTACATGAGATTATTCATTTTAGGTTATTATTAGAAATTTTAAGATAAAAGAAAGAGAAAAGGAAAGGTAAGAGAGAACCAGAAAAAGAGAGGAAAGAGAACCAGAAAAGACAATCAGAATCTTTCTGTTTTTTGGGTTCCTTTTTACTCCAAATTCAGGGAAGCTTTTCTTGAAGAAGCAAAAATATCTTCTATTAAAAGTGTCCATCAATTCATTTGTTGATGTTTTTTTGTGCTCATTTTAATCAGAGAATCCTTTTAATATCTTTCATCCTTTTTCTGTATCTATTTCAGATCAGAACCAGCTCTTCACTGTGCTTTATTACAAGCTTAGTCGTTGATTGTTTATACTAAATTACCCTGTAAACTTGGTGCTTTTAATCAGCTAAAGTATTCATCTTTTCCTGTTAATTGTTATTCACTCGATTTGTTTAACCTGATCAGCCTCTCTCTACCTTATTTGCTTATTCAATTTTATCCTATGACAATTGCATCTCATTACATCTGATAGTTCATCCAACAATTAGTTTGTGTGTAAATCATTTTCATTTGTCTGTTGCACCGAAATTGTTTTAACTGATCTTTTGTTTTCAACCTGTTTGTTTTAATTCGCACTAGGCAATTATTATTTTCTCATTTGTGTGATCGTCATTTTGTGATTTTTGAAATAACTCGAACGGCATAATACAATGAACTCTACATGTTTAAGGTCACCTAGGCGATGAACTTTTTCAAGAAGAAGCTAAAACAACACAAAAAAGGCCATGCAAACGATGATGACGATGATCTTGATGATTACATTCCACCGGTTCCACCTCATCCATCAGAGCTTGCTAAACTTGAGGAACAGGCCAAAGATTTGTTAACCTGTGATAGTCTTCCAGTGACCACCAGTGAAACAAACGGCCAACAAGGGTCAACCTCAACCCCAAGTGGACTCTCCTCTCGGGCTAAGGTAAACAAGGATAAAGAAGAGTGGAAATTTTTTGAACAATTAACCGCCAAGGTTGAAGAAACTGTAGTCAGAAGTCAGACTCATTTGGATGAATTGAAAAAGGTTTCGGCTGCGGAAGAGATTGCCAAAAAAGGTGACCTAGACGACGAGGACGATATACCAGTTAATGACGAGTTTTTTGAGGAAACTGAAACAGTAACTGGTGTTGTAGCCAAAGGAACAGCCAACTGGATTCCATTGGAAAAAGATTCTGAAGTGGATGTAAAAAGTGAACCACTCAAAGCGAGTTTACCTAACAGTGAACAGTCTAAGATTGCTCCAGCTGTGGTTAACAGCGATTCAGCTACCGGTAATCTTGAAAAACCAGGAAACATTACTAATAGCAACGAAACTATCAAACAGCAAGCAACAGCAGTAACAACAACACCTGGAAATACAATTGATTTGTTGGATGACTTCGGTTTTGGTGAAGAACCTAAACCTAGTGAGACAACTAAACCTTCTGACGTGATATTTGATTATGAAAATGATTATCTAGATGATCCTTTTGACACATCTTTTGTTGACATATCCAAAATAGGAGCTGGATCAAGATTAAATGAAACTGATTATCCTATTACAACTAGTAGTGGGACAATAGCAACTTCAACTACAGCAGCAACAGGAACCAGTGATTTGTTAAGTAAACTGTTAAAAAAAGAGACTAAATCCACTGCAACAAGACCTAGTGACCTTAGTTCATTAAATCGATACGATTCAACTGGTTCAACTCAACGAAACTTCATCTCCTCCTCCATTTCAATACAATCACCACTTGACCCTTTGGAAACCAACCAGACACAAATCACAGGAACCACTGAAAGTGTCAATAACAATACAAACGATAAACCCAACATTAATAGTAGTAATAATAATATTGATATTAAAAGTAGTAGTAGTAATAATAATCATAATAATAACAATAGCAAAAGTAACGACAATAATAATAATCTCACTAGTGCCAAAGTATTAGGAGAATCGAGTTTCCTCGAAGAAACAAGTCAACCTGATTTCAAATCACCTGCTTTTGATTCGGTTGACAACGATTTTTTCATAAGCAATAAACTTGGTCGATCTTCTCGTTACGGTTCGACAGCTTCAATAGCATCAATTATGTCTAATCCATTCTTGAATGACACTGATTTTTACACTCCCGCCATGGGTTCAGGAGCTACTACACCTTTTTCAGGTGCAGCTTCACCAAGACGCAGAGGAAGTACCAATCCATTCGAGGTTTCACCTGAGGATGAATACTCAACTAATCTGGAAGCTTCGGCAATCGCAGCTCTAACCAAAGACTTTGTTAATGCAATCAGTGAACCTACACCTGACGAGTCTAGAGAAAATGATCAATCTAAACAATTAAATAATCTCATGGTTGGTTTGAATGAAAACCTTTTAGATCCAGATGATCCAGATATTGATGATGGTTTGGTTGATACAGGAAAATCCTTAGACCCTGATGCTTTGCCCGAGCCATTTGATCCATTTGCAACTATTCATGATGAGTTTGTTGACTCACCAAAACGATCATCTGTGACAAGTGCTGGACTAGATGCTGATGAATTCATTGGGACAATAGGTAAGCATGTTTTGTAATCAATCAATGAAAGGTGTGGTTTGTGATGAAAGTAAATTGATGGTGAAATTAAAACCTTTTAAAGTTGAGTTTTCATAATGATTAAAATACATTAGGCTTTACTTGGTTTTGATGATGAATTTTTTAGTTGATTAATTTAACTGGATAAAATAATAAATTGACTTTCTGAACATTTTTAAAGGTAAAGATCCGGTTGAAGATGATGGTGTTGATAATCTTCTTAGAGCTCCAGTTATGCCATTGGAATATCTTTCCGACGTATCAGACAACGATGAACCTTCACAATCAGAAGATGAATCTGGTCGAGGACGGAAGTCGAGTGCCTTCCAAATGGAATTATTATGTAAAGATAAAGATGAACCTCCACCGAAATTTGATCCTTTACCCATCACGGTAATCACTCGAAATCTTAGTATACCCTGTGAACCAAGAGCACCGACAACTGATTCCTCTGAAACATCACCTGACATTAAGGGTGATATTGATCTATTACCTGGAGTTCCCTTCTTTGATCCTTTTACCACAGTGATTGACAAAGATTCACCTTCATCACCAAAAATAATTGGTATTTCACAAGATTTAATTGAATCTATTACCAAAGCTGGAGCTTCCAGAGCTGCAGGTTTAGCAGGAGAGTCGGGTAATGAACCAGACGATGAGGATGAGGATGATAGTCCTGAGTCACGAGGAACAATTGAAAATCGTTATTCAGAAGGTATAGTTAACCATGGTTTTACGGATAATAAATCATCCATCGAGAGTCCAAGTGGAGGTAACGAGGTGATAGAACGAACAGAACGTGCTTCTTCAGAAGAGCATGCAGTTTCACCAGTTAAAGAAGACACCACCACAGAGCCACCAGCGACTATTACAGCTAGTGAAACTGGAGCTTTAGCTGAACCAGTAAGTGGCACAGGACCAATAACACAAGATAACACATTAGACGTTTTCGGAGGATCCGACTCTGGATTAGCAGCGTCTAGTGGATTTGATAATGATCCAACTGACTCTGGTCGAGATCCTTTTGAAACTTCAGAGTTTCTGGTTGAACCAGTTCAAGATTCATTACCTTACACCGATTCAGCAGCTTTTGATGCCTTTGCTGCTAAATTTGATTCAACAAGTAATACACTTGGTACCAGCCAAAATGAACAAAATCCAGATTCAATGTCATCCTCATTTGACCCATTCTCATCTCCCGCTAACAAAGGAAACAATAGCAATAATATTAGTTCTAATAAATTTGATGACATTGATGGTTTTGATATATTTGATTCGTTTGCCTCTGGGTCTATTAAACCACCAAAAAATACACCAGCAAAGCAAAATACTGGCCAGTTATCGGCAGCAAAAGCAGCATCCAAAGACTCTTTTGATGATGATGACGAAGATGATTCATTCCGGGTAGTCATTAAGTCACAAGTAAAAGACAATGAATCCAATAAAGAATCAAAAAGTGCTGGACCATTGCCATTGTTACCCCCTCCACCTAAAACACCGATCAAATCAATCGCATACCAAGATAAAGAGCCAGTTCAAGGAGCAAGAGAGGCCAAAAAAGCCAATGAATTTGATGAATTTGAAATGTTTTTTGGTAATTATATATCGGTAAGAATACAATTATTTTGAATCTTGAAAATTATTGTTTTATAATGAGACTTAATTCATTCCAATCAATCTCTTTACTTATTTCAGAAGGATTCCAATGCTAAATCCAAGGATGAAGATGCCACTGGTGATTGGCCTCCTCCAGCTTTAGGTGAAGCAGGAGCCAAAGCTAGAACAGAGTCGATGGAAAGTCCATCAACACCATTATTTGATGATGATACATCTCAACCATTGGAAGATTTTCCTCCTCGATATGATGGAAATGGCTGGGAAATGTACCTTCGTCATCCAGCCAAGAAAAAATTAACTGGTAATCGATATTGGAAGAAAGTATTTGTCCGCCTTTCAGAAAATTCAGTCATCCAGCTATTCAATAAACCAGGAGACAATGAACCTTTCCAAGAATTACCCTTACAGCCATGTTATTCTTTGTCCGAAGTGACCTCACAACAATATGATCAGTATGGTAAAATATTTACAGTTAAAGTGCAATATATCTTCTATCGTGAGCGTGTAGGTGTTCGAAAAGGTCAAATAGCAAAGGTGATGCAAGGACAGATAACTTCAGTCAGTGGATTGGCAAAATTGGGAATGCCTTTGGAACATTCACCACAAGTTTCTCAGTTAATCAAATTGGGCTCATTGGTTTATGACGATGTCAAAGTTTTTGCCAATTTGATTGAAGACGCTTTCTTCCGGATGGTTATTCATCGAGATCGAGCTTTAACCTACAAAACAGAAGAAATTCAAGTTACTGTAGTTGATGAATATTATGTAGAAACGACTAAAACAGGTCTAGTGACAAAACAATTAGCTCGTGTTCGTGTCTTCATGTTAGCTTTCATCAATGGTATGCCCACAATTGAAATTGGTGTAAATGACATGATACGCCAAGGTAAAGAGATAGTTGGTCGTCATGATATTATACCAGTTGTTACTGAAGAATGGATTCGTTTAGAAGCGATAGAGTTTCACTCGTCAGTTATGAAAGAAGAGTACGAGAAGGAAGATAGATTAATCAAGGTTCACCCGCCCGATGCTTGTTTCTTTGAGCTTTTACGATTCCGGGTTCGTCCACCTAAACATCGAGAACTTCCTCTTCAGGTAACAGCTAATCTGACTGTAACAAAGGCAAAAGTTGAATTACGCTGTGAAGTCCTGGTACCTGGTTGTATTAGTCGTAAATATGGTCAGATACCATGTGAAGACATTGCCATACGAATGCATATTCCAGAATGTTGGATATACTTTTTCCGAACAGAAAAACATCTTCGCTATGGATCAGTAAAATCAGCAGCACGAAGACCAGGAAAAATCAAGGTAATTTCAGGCTAAAAGTGAATGAAAATTGTAAACTGACTAAAATCTGTTTTTATTCACAGGGAATTGAACGCTTTCTAGGAGCAACATCTAATCTAGAATCAACAATGTTGGAAGCATCAGCGGGAGTAGCGAAGTATGAACACGCATTCCATTCCTTGGTCTGGAGAATACCTCGTTTACCCAAGGAAGGTCAAGGTAAATATCGGCCTATGTATCATTTAATAGAGTTTGTGTTATGGCTACCAAATTGTAATAAGATAACCAACAGAGTAATGATATAAGAATAGCAGACATAATGTTCAGTTGATATTTCCGACAATTTAATTTCGTGTCTTGGAGCTCACATTTGAACTTAAATTTTTTCCGTTTATGCATTTGCCCTCTGATCATTCAAAATAACAGTAATTGAGTCGCAATGATAACAAAAATAAACAGAAGTATCAGTTTCTTTCTTCTAATTATGAAGATTTATATTCCTATTTATTTTTTGTAAACAGATTTATCTCTCGTCAATATCATTATCTCATTTCAGCTTATTTAATTTCATAGCATTTTTAACATGAGTTTAACTCGGCGTTTCTTTCTCGTTTAAAGGTGCTTATACCCAACAACTGATGGTTTGTCGTTTACCAATGAGCTCTTTTGACCAGATACCGGATAAATTTTATGAATTTGTTCATATTGAATTTACGATGCCCTCAACAACAGTTTCCCATGCAGTTATCCGCTCAATTTCGGTTACCAATGATAATCCACCGGAAAAATATGTACGCTATGTTTCTAAACATGAATATAGAACGGAATTGATTATCAACTTTAAAGAGAAAGATGACGAGACTGATTATCAAATTGCTGCATCAGTACCATTGAAATCTCAACCAGTTGTACTTGAATCTGACAAGGAGAACAAAGATGGTGACAGTGATGATAGTGATTAAAGAAGATAATTGATCCCCAAAATGCAAAATTTTTAAAAACAAATGGTATTGTTTCAAATTAAGTGAGACTTGGAGAATTTGAAATTATTTAATTTTCTTTCCAAACAAAGGACAACATAATGTATTGTAGCTTTTTAATTGATCACTCTAAACTCTTTGGTTTCGCGTTTTACTTCTAACACTTTCACCATTAGCATTACCATCGACTTTAACATCTCTATTTTCATCTTAAAGGCTATAAGGCTGACCATCATCTCTATCATCACCTGATATCTCACCCAATGTACGCCGCAATCAACAAAGCTCCTAAAGGTTTATTGTTTGTGTTTTATTTTGTGTATATATATTTATGTGTGTAATCTTCTAATTGCTCGATTGTTTAGACCAATTGTGTGCTTCAAGTCGCTCACGTAGCTTCGATTTGTTGGTAATACAGACATCTATAAATATATAATATAATGATTAAATTATGTTAAACTATGAATTATGAAACATTGGTCAATATTATTTTCGTCAATTTTCCAATATTTGAAAGCTTACAAATGGTTTTCAATGGGGTTTTTATGTTTACAGAAAAGCATACTGTAGAGGACAGTAGGACGGAGAAATAAGAATATTGCGTTTTTGGTAATAGTTTTACGTATTTACAAATATTATTTTACATTTTATTGAGACAGATTGTGTGAATCTCACTCCAACGTTATCAGAATTTAGATATTCTATGTAGCTGCATTTAAGTTACAAAAGTTGCGTTACGTCTACTCTGTTAACTCTTTGAGTGTTTCACTTGACATCCGACGCTTGGATGGTACCAGGCTTGGTCCCAGGCTTGATCCGTGAATTCGGAGTGCAATTGGCTATTGAAAAATCAGAGATAATCATTGGTAGTCATCGTCCAGAATCATTCTCTGTTCCATTGAACACTTCAGGTTATTGATGAAAACTAATAGTAGATGAGTTTTTTTCCTATGATTTGTCCATAATTACAATGAATAGTGGTGAACCAGAGAGTGTGGGATTCAATAGACAACTGAATTTTTGACATGAATCACATAGTTTAGTAAGAATACAGTTTCTAAATAGCATGTTATCACCACAATTAGCAGAGTAAAGACTTTTATACTGAGCAAATAACTGGCTAGAGTAGTAGGAAGGATCAACAAAATTGCGATTTGATTGCTTGATAACACACCCAGGAGGATGATCACGAACCAACGAACTTGAATTAAATGGATGGAAGTAAACCGGTGCTTGTAAGTCTTGCCATAATCCGGTATTCAAATACTTCAGTAATGGCAGCTTTAGTATTTTCTCTTGACCTGCTTGAGTGATTCGAGTACAACCGTACAAATCAATATTCTCTAATTTGTGACAGTTTTCGGCTAAAGAGGAAACTCCTATATCAGTTATGCAGTTACATTGTCCAATGTTCAGTGTTTTCAAATTGGTTAAGCTTGTTGATAGTTTAGTCAGTCCTTCGTCTGTTATTAAGCATGAATTGAGACTTAATGTGGTAAGTGTAGTTAATCCTTGAGAAATATAAAATAAACCACTGTCGGTAATTTTATCGCAAAAACTGACATCCAATATGTTTAACTTGATGCCTGATTCACTTAAATATCTTAAACCAGTGTTTGTGATATTGGTACAGCTACGAAGGTTAATTTCTTTTAAAGACGTCATCGATGACAAATATTTGAGACCCATGTCCGTGATTCCGACACAAAAGCTTAAATTTAAGCTTTTTAGATTCTTTAGACCAGATGAGATGTATTTAAGAGCATCATCCGACAAAGTTTGACAATCTTGCAAATCCAACAATTCCAAGTTAGCTAAACCATCATCATCAGGAGCTGGTTTCCAAACATCCAATTGACTAATATCGTCAGAGAATTGACTCAGGCATAATCGGTGTATACCTTTATCAGTGATGTAACGGCAACTTCTTAAATTAAGTTGTTTTAGCTGTTTTAAACATTTACGGATTGCCACGAGAGCATGATCTGTGATCTCACTACAGCCACCAAGATCGAGAACTTCTATGTTTGGAGTGTTATTAAATAGATCACATAGCCTTAAGAATACACTAGTTATTTGCTTACACATTCCCAAACTTAACTGCTTTAAGGAAGGCATCTCTTGAGATAAGGCTTCGGATAGAAGTTCAAGGGTCAGATTATAACAGCCTGTTAATGTAAGACGTTCCAAATTTTTAATGCTGGCCAGTTCTTTCAAATCTTTTTGAAAGCTCAAAACCTTTAATAGTGAAAAAAACAGGTAAAAGTAGACATTAGTAAAGCATATCAAAGTGAAATGAAAAAATACTTTTTCAAATATTTAAAGCATAGAATAGGATATTTTGATTTGACGGTTCAATCATTTTCACGGTGATAATCATTGTTTACATAATGAATGATCTGAGATGAAAGTAATTATAAGAATAATCAAGATAAATTGGCAAAAATGAAATTTATGTAAATAATTTGAAAGCTTATTCAAGTGGATAGCAACTTAATCGAAATGATTATCTTACTGTTATAAAAATCAGATTTTTATAAAGTTATATCTTGCGATAAAAGATGGACATTTTTGTCTATAAAACAGAATATCTATGATAGCTAGATTTCAAAATTAGCTCACTAAATATACTTCAATTCATGTTAAATTGTGTGTCAGATCTCTCAAATTTTTGGTTAAACAAATAAGACTATTCTTAAAACTGTATAGAAATGATTGATCCGTTGCAAACAAAAGAAATTTTAGTTACCTGCACTCTTTTGATTCCTCGACGATTTAAGCTTGATATCATGGTGGTATTCAACTTTTTAAAATGGAGTTTGGCTTCAACACCTTTCCAAACTGATTTATCGTAAGCTGCATCCATCCAACTTGAGCATACTTGAGAAACTCTACCTTTGGATCTTAGATCAAGGTATGAAAATATGATGGACAACAACTCTGGGTGTAAATGTTCTATTGTGGTATTGCTCTTATAACCTGATTGACTGTTTTGGTCAATCTCTGTAAAATCATCATTTGTATTATTAGTAGGATTACACCTAAGCACCGGTTCAGGCTGACTATGATGTTGGTGCTGTTGATTTAACCAAGATTCAGTTGAAGGCACCATGGTTGAACTATATTGGTCAAGTTGAGGTAGAGTAGACAATGATGATGCAGCACCAACCACAGAAACTGGTGATGGTTGATGGTGAAGGGGATGATAAGGATGCAACCTAGCCATATGAGGGTAGCTAATGTGTAATATAGAATTATGATGTGGATAACTATTGAAAGTCTGTGAAATCCTATTTTTCTTATTTCTCCGCTCCATTAGCACTTAACACAGCTGAAAATCATAAGAATTGGAGTCGGACAAAACAGATCAGGTTGTAGACTGTAAAAATTCCGTTGGATACACAGTTTATTTCCTTGTTGTTTAATTTAATAGATTGATTGAAAAATCTATATCGACACAGAGATGGTAGCAAAGAAAACAGTTTTAGATCACTTGGCCATGATAATCCAAGAAAAAATGGTAAAGCATTCAAAAAGATAGCACACTTTTACTGTAAAGAAAATGTCACTTTGAAATAAACATATGAAGATTAATACTGTATGTTTAAAATTTAATGAATTAAACTAGCTACAGTCATAAATAATACAAATAATACTAAATTTGATTGATAAATTGAAAAGACAATAAGTCTAATAGTTGATGATGCTGGTTGAGTGTAAAATAGCTGAACTGACTTTACAGGCTGACTTGAGCGCCTCTCTTCCATTCAGTAGAAAGAGGATCTCTTTTCTCTTTCTACACCTTACTTTTTTTCTCCTCCTTTTTTCTTAGTTTCCTTTCTTTCTGCCTTTCTTTTATCTTCTTCTTCTTTCTTTACCCTGCTTCTTCTTTTCTCCTTCTACATTCTCCAGGGTCTTCAAGGTCTCAGGCCAGAGGCCACATCAAAGTTAGAAGCAAAAACGTTCATCATACCTGATTCCTCATCCAAACTGACCGGTGCCAACCTTTGACCGAACTTGCTTTCAGATTAATTAGCTTCAGAAAATAAAAACACAGACAAATACAAAGCAATTTAAAAACGAAAGGCGATTGAAAAAAGTCCATCCAAAAAATTGATTAATAAAAATGGCACCTGAAAAAAAAACAAGGAACCAGTACAAGTAACAAGTGAATGACAGGAAAATGAAGTAAAAAAAGGATGAATAGAAATGCAAGTGAAATTATTTTACTTCTATTAACAGCACTTTTTTACATCTCCATATCATCATCATCTACTGATTAAAAGAAAGTCTTCTAATGAATGAAGTGAGATAAGAAAAAATGTATTGAATACGTTTTCGTAAGGTTTACTTCAAAAGAAGAAAAGGGAAAAGAGCAAAGTGCAAGAAACAAAAAAGACACTTAGATAAAAAAAAGTAAACTTTTGGGTTGACCTAGTTTCAGGTTTGGAAGGTTTTCATTTTTTGTTGAAAAAAAGTAAAATAAAGCGTAAAAAACGTAAAAAAATCTGAAAACTTTTGCGTCTTAAAACAAAAAATTGTTCTGCTCAGTGAGTGAGTGATGTAGGGATAGAGAGAGATAGTAAGAAGCAGAGTCTCATTTGAAAAACATCAGCAAAAAATAGTGACTCTAATGACTCATTCAAATAGTGAATCATTAAACAAACTGACCATTTTTTAATCAACAAAATGAATAGACATTTGATAAAAGATTTGATTCAAGTTATGTTTTGAAAAGATCACATGGTTCTTGAGGGATTTTATGTTAATTTAAGTGAAAAGTGTTTTTAATTGATCTCCCCTAATCTTTTTTAAACCTGAAGCGTTTCTTATCCAAACCAGATGACAAAAAGTGTAACCCTATTGATAATATTTGCCGATTCTTTGGATAGATTCAACCAAATGATTTTTAGGTTAAATTGTCCTTGATTTTGCTTTTAGTGATTTAGTTTCTTTCTTTAAGTTTTCCACTTCTTCCTTCAACTGCAAACAATGCTGTCTCCAAATGGAATAAGAAGAATAGGAAAAAAGTAGAATAAAAAGTCAAAGGTAAATATGATTCGATGTCCAAATTGACCTTTTGTTACTGTCCAATGTCTATGGTAGCCATCATCTTGATTTTTTTCCTTTACTTTCCTCTACCAACTACATTAAAAATCTTGAGGCAGCAGGTTTCTTCCCGCTCTAACGCTCCTCTCTCTCTCTCTTCATTTTACTTCTATGCATACCTCAGTTCCTCAGGCAATCTTCATCTCTTCTTTACTTGGCTTTCTTTTTTTGCTTCTTTTTCTTTTCTCTTGAGACTGTAAATCTATCTTTTCTTTTCTGTACACTCCTTTGCTAAAATTTATGCTGGTCAAAATCTTTCAAGAAAAACAGGTAAGAAGATGGAGAAGAAAAGGAGAAAGAAGTTTGAAATAAGAATGAAAACTTGCTGGTTACTTGGCCCTATCTCAACTGCAAAAAAGGTCTTTATTTTACCCAAAAAGTGTTTTCCCTTTTTTTATATTGTATCACTTATTTTGTGTTTACTTTCTAATACTTTTTTCAGGCAACACATCTCAACCAAAAGGGGAATTTAATGACGATTTGAATCTTTATCAGGCCTTCCTCAATGGTTACATTTTGCTCCAAGTCCCGTTATTATCAGCGATTACTTGCAAGTTATCTTATCAATCGGAAACAAACAATATAACTTTCTTTATTTCTCCAATGATTTTGGCTTCGATATAAACTCACTTGGTGTTTATTTTCATCAGCAAATAGGCGATTATATTTGCATCCAAGAAATATTTCTTTCTGATATTACATTGAATGGAGACTCAATGAGGCCATTATAACTTTCCAATGAACTCCAGTGTTTAATTTTTCTATTTTTTGGCAAACTAACATTTCAATTGTCTCATCGCAAATGCTGATTAAGATCAAATCTTCTGATTAGAGTGATAGGTAAACTAAGTTGAAAATAATTGCAGAGGATTGAAAAAGTACCCGTATTTTAATAAGATTACATTTACTTTTTAAACAATCGAAAGGCTTACTCGCTTGTATCCATCAATCAGTTTCATAGGTAAGATGAGTTGTCATAATAATCCATAGATAATTAGACAAACTCACTTGTAATTTTTTGTGAGTTTAATCACATTTTCTTTGGATGTTAGATATAATCAATAGGATGATCGAGTCTATGCAGCATAATGAGTTGAAAAGCAAAGAGGATGAACACACAAAAAATAAGAAACGGTTGTGAGAAGACGATAATTACAAGAGGTTAGTCATTAACAAAAATATTCGTTTTTCTCAAAGAAAATGGGAGATTTTTTCTCTTCCTTCGGACATCATGGGGAGTTTATAATAACTTGAAGAGCAAAAAAAAAGATGCTAAAGAAAGGAATGGCTAGGAACTGAAGATGACGGTTTAAAGATTTTAACAATGCCAAGCAATGCCGATGCTTTTAAACAAAAAGTTGCAGATCAGTTTGAAGGTATAACTTATTTTAGACAATAGCCTAAAGGTGAATATATTGGTAGACAATAGTTAATCATGATGATTAGTTGAATTCACTCAAATTAACTGTAACAATACAATTCTTAACCATCTCAAAATGATATCAAGTTAAGCACATCTCAAATGAAAAGATGGACATTGAGTCAAAATTTTGATTAATAATTTAAAGAAATGAAATATTGATATTGTGATTCTTCCTCTGCATTTAACCCAAAAAGGGTCCGGCTAAATTTAGCAAGCGGGTTCACCGTAAAGGATGTTAGAAGCTAGTAAGAGACGACTTTATTGTAACATTTGGCTCAGATGGTTGAAAGGACACACAAACAGCAATACAAATCATGGGTACCAACTAAAATATGACTGGACATTCAAGGGTCGGTTACAATTAACACTGGCAAATCCGCATAACAATTTTAATTGTTAACTCTTATTTTTAACTGCAACTCTAACTGCTCTTACTATCTTTATTCCAACTCTCCTAAAGGTCGAAATAGATGTACTTTTATATCAGATAAAAGGGCTTCATTATTATAAACCAGTGCATATTACCATTTATATATTATTGACTGAAGGAAAAGAAGTTTTAATCGGTAACAATTAAAACCTTTTGAAAAATTTTGAAATAGTTGAATCGATTGATGATAAAGTAGCTCTTGCTGGAACCCGAAAAACAACTCCTGGTTTCAGAATAGTTGAAAAGGATATTCAACAATTGATTCTCAATGAAATTTGAAAAATTCAAAGATTCGTAAAAGCGAAAACATCTGTGGCTACAGTTTAGGTGAAGGTTAACCCTGCAAATGTCGATGCTGTTACTGCTGGTTTTGTCACAGGTGGAGCAGAGCTTTGACCAAATCCTAAACTTGTACCAGACATAGATTTTTGATCAAAATATTATTGGTCCCACTGCAGTTTGTCCTTAGATGTTCATTTTTCAATTCATATAATTTTTGCGAGTTGGTTGAACTCCAAAACGTGGTTGCCCTTGGTTCCCGAAAATACATATTTATTTTATAAAAAACTTGTATTATCTTAATATTAATTTGCCCTTATTGCTGTAAAGAGATTTTCAATCTGTTTGGTTAAATTATTTTTAACCATGAACTACTTTGATTGGTAAGTTGATACCAAATTGAGCTACATAATCACCAGGAACATATTGAACTCTATTTTGTTGATCCAAGAATAATGTTTACTAGGGTTTTAGAAAACATTCAAGCTGTATATTCATGGCATTCTGGGTAAAAGATTTGACAGGTTTTTCTTTTCAGTTTAAATGTAAACATTTATAAAATTATATTCAAAATTTAAGATAATAATACATTAGACTGTATATTATATTATTGTATTTACAAATTGTGAAGGTAAATGTAATAAATGCTAATTATGAGAAATAATTAATATTTTTGGGCCAGAATAATTGTTTTTTTGTGAAGCTTGTTTGTAATCGACATCATTGATCCTTCGAATTAAAGATAGGCACAAGTTTTTTCATATCCAAGTCACTCATCGATGCTTTTATCCTGGTCCATTGGCTCATTAATGCAACACAATGTGTTCCAGAGTTTTCTATTGAAATCTAACCATGAATCAAGTGTTTTTCGTGAAAAAAGATGAAAAGAAAGGGATATTCCAGGCACAAGACGAGCAGCATATTTTAGTACAAAGTAATGTAGATTAGGTTTTTTAGGCACTTCTTCTAAGGCTTGAAATGGGCAAGGTATTCCTAATTCTGGACGCAAACAGACGGTTTGTTGCCAATCAAGCATCCAGGAATCGAGATGAGATACTTCGTATACGTTACATGCAATTGAAATAAAAGATGAAACTAGATAAAAAACAGAAAAGATAGATACACGCCATAAAAGAGTATCCATCTTATAAGTATCTCTGGCATCATCTCTAAGTTCTCGGCGTAAGCGAAAAGAAAAATAGAACCCAATCGCAAGGAATAAAATACTCAAGCTAATATACACAAAGTAGAGGAAAGAATCTGTGTAATGTTGATAATCTTCACGATTCCAAAAATTATGATAGCAAACACCACTTAATGGATCACCTTCAATCCGTTTCATAGCAAGAATTCGAATAGCATCGAGTGAAGGTATTCCCCAAGCAAATACATGGAACCAAATTGAAATCCTTTCGAATGCTTCTCGTCCCCATCCAAAGCAAAAGGCAATGAACCAAGTAAATGTCATTATTGTGAACCAAATAAAACTCGAGTGACTGAAAATGTATAATGCCATGAAAGTTAATGAACATACACTTTTAGAATTACCCTGAGTGATTGTTTTTATCATTAGAGCATCAGGATTACTGACAGAGACAGGAGGAGGTTCATTACAAGAGATCCGATCTCCAAATACAAATCCAATGATATGAATAAGTGCAATAGCGGTATAAGAAATAGCAAGAAATTTTAAGATTTTCTCTGGATAACTAAATCTCCGTGATTCAAGTAGATGTGTAAATAAGGTGAAGAGAGATGATACGAGGCAGATAATGGCAAGAATAATAATCTCCGCTCTGATTAACTTCCTATCAGATGAATTAAACAAGAGACCGTCACAAGGTGTGGCACAATCGTGATAAATGCGACCATTTAATCGAAGAATATATCCTTCACCTTTCGGCACCATGAAATGAACAGGACAAACGAAACGAAATGGCGCTGTTGGTGCATAGTTAACGCCAGTGCTAGCACTGGTCGGAGTGAGGGATGATTCGGAAGCAATTCTGCTACCAGTTCGACTGACACAAGGCTCGACATCAGGAAATTTGTCACAATCAAGATAAGAAGGCCATTCCTGACCAAACCGGTGAATCACATCTTCACAACCATTCTTTGATGAGAGACAAATTGAACGGCAAGGAGGTATAGGTGCTTCTAAGATGGTACATGGAGGAAAAAATACAGCACATAAGAGAAGTTTGAGATCTGGTGAACAATTAACTTTGATTAAAGGAGTTATCCGGTGTAAGGCAAGACCGGCATTTTGCTGTGAATTGTGATTAAGTAGATTGGGAAAAATAGTTTCATTGTAACCAATTTCTCGGCAAAAGGCCACCGAAACAGTTTCACATCGCTTTTTGGTGACCTCCCGTTGACCATTTACAGGACTTGGTAAAGTTACGGTGTTGACAAGAGTGAGTTGGCAAAATAATAATGATAACCACAATATCATTAAATTAAACATGATTACAATAAACGTAATCAAATAAAATCAATTAAACTGAATAAAACTTTTAAAAATCATTTTGACGTTTAAAGATTTTGTTGATAGTTCATTAAACTTGTTGGTGAATATTTTTACTATTCACTTTTCACTAGTTGATTCAATTTACCCAATTCGCAGTAACACCTAATCAAAATGACACATTAGTTTAGTTACTTAAACTTAAATTCAAACACAAAAAAATAAAACATCATTAATGATAAATAAAATTAATTGCAACTAAATGATGAAAAATAAAAATGAAAAGAAAGAGCAATATTATAGTCTCTAGTAGCAGTCATGATGTTGAAGTTGCTGCTGTTCGATATCAATATATCGATGTTAAGAAAAAAACAAAAGACGTTTACACTGTAAGTTAAAGTTTTTGATTAATTGCAATGAAATATTAAATTGAAATTTATTCTCAAATAGGTGTATCAAATACTTAAATTTTTCTTTAATTTGAATCTGTAAAAATTTTTTTTTAAATTGAGTAAATACATTGTATTAGATGACTTTGATTTGTTTTCACAAATCAGTAATTGAAAGAATTTCATGTGAAAAATAGTTAGTAAACTATGTTTGTGATTAAAAAAGATATGAAATTGATAATACAATCCACTTTCAATGCTTCATAATGGTTCAATCGACAACATTGGATAGCCAATATAGCGACAAAGCTTTTTTGAATCCTAAATTATTAATAATTGAGGTGATCGATTGTTTAGACGTACACGAGTAGTGATCAAGTTTACTCCATTTTCAAAATTGGTTTGATATAAGACACGTTAGACTGCGTGTAATATAGACATCACCTCGAGTTATTTATCTAACTGGCGCTTATCCAGCAAGATTAAAGTAAATTATGAAAATCAAATTAATGATTATGTTGAGCTTGAAATTAGAACATCAGGTTTTTATTGACGTCGTTGAGAAAATTGTGGCGATCCAAAAACAGGAGCTGAAGGGAAAGTATTACCGAAGATAGATGAAGATGAAGAGACATTGGCCTGACCGAATCCTCCAAAAAGTGAACCAGTTGCAGGTTTTTGTTGTTGTTGTTGTTGTTGTGCTGGTACGGGTTGAGCTGTAGAAGCCAATTGTCCGAAGCTTGGCGCTTGTTGAGAAGCTAATGCACCAAAGGAAGGAGCGCTTGAGAAGCTGAAATTTTTTTAAAGAGATTAAGAGTTGAATTAACAAACATTAAAAACAAAAATAAAATTGGATATAATAAACAGCATGCAATTTTTGGTATTGAGTTTTGTTATTTACCTAGAAAAGGGCGATGCTGCCTCTGCCGGTTTTGCCATGGATGGAGCAGATGTTTGCGAAAATCCGCCGAAAAGTGAACCAGTTGCTGGTTGCTGCTGTTGTGCTGGTACTGGTTGTGTTGTAGAAGCCAATTGTCCAAAGCTTGGCGTTTGTTGGGAAGCTAAAGCGCCAAAGGAAGGGGTGTTTGCATTTGCGAAGCTAAAAACAAAAAACCAACAATGTGAGGTTAAATTAGTAACGATGTTAATAAACATAAGAATTAATTTAAAGTTAAAATGAATTTAAAAAACTTACCCTGCAAATGGCGCTGTTGTTGAGTAGGTTTGGGTGGCTGAGAGCTATTCGGTGGTACAGACTGGGGTTGTTGTTGTGATTGACCAGGAGCTTGAATTGTTGCAGAAACAGATAAAGTTGTTTGAGGCTTGGGCTGAGCAGATTTTGATAGAGAAAAAGTAAAAGAAGCATCAGCTGCTTGAGATGGCTGTATTTGAAAGGGCTGAGCACTACTTTTTGAAATAGGGATTTGTGGCGCAGACTGTTGTCCTGATAACTGAACCTCTGAACTAGATATGCGTGCAGGGGGAGGAAGAGTTATGGGCAACGGTTGAGAAACAGGGAAATCAGGTATAATCAATTTCCCTTGATTATGATATGCATAGTATGGACAAAGGACACCAGCTGAAGATAAAATTACAACTAAGGGCCAACCAGGACCACCAAAACTAACACTTTCGTTTACTCTGAAAGTTTTAGTGGGACCTTTGAACCAAGATATACCACAAGGTGAAGATTCTACATTATTCGCGTCTGGTTGTAACTCGATTCTTGAAGTATCATCAAGAATCCATTGACTCCATTGATTTGGGATAGGGTTTATTTCACCAGCATCACAACCAATTAAAGCAACCTCAGAGGAAATAGATGAAAGGCATAATAGAATATTTCCAATTTGAGAAAAACAGAATTGAATTTTATCTGGTCCACCATATTGGCTTGTCTCCATACATACTGATCCAAAATCATAATACTCGATAGTGGCTTTTGGAGGAGCATGTATAAAAACTACACGTGTATCTGGATTACTAGTCGAACTATTATGAATGAAAGCTACTTGAAATAAAGCACTGTGGACCCAATTAACGTTTATGATTTTATGATTCGGTAGCTCCTTCGGTGGTGGGATGATCTTGGCCTTTTGAAAGTGATGCATCATAAATGATCGATGCAATTTTGTCATTCAGTCAGCTTATGTAACCTTTATTATAATGATTACCATTCTGTCCGGATCCATGTGCTTCATGTTCAACATTAGACAACTTAATTATTGAGTAAATTTTGTCTAGAATATGCAACATTTAAATTGTTTTATAATTTTAATTAGCTGATAATTGGCTCAGTTTCCTTTGGATCTTACATTACTTTTTTCGAGGTAAAAGTACATTAAACTACTCACGACAAAATGAATTGAAATCCATTATTTTTATTGGACTTTGTCTAAGAGAGTAAATTTCACCAGGAGAAGGACGAATATAAGCCGGTAATGCTTAATAATCAGGATACCATTGCTACCGTAAACCCAGGTTAATAAGCAAGGTCAGTTAATTGCAATATGAAAATCAGTGAATCGAAGATATTCACAGCCTTGGAAGACGTAAAAAAAGCAATTCACTTTGAGTTTCCTCTTCTCTATTTGATTCCTTTTATTATCTTGTCTTTACACTTTTTCCTCTTTTCTTCAAAATTTGGAGACATTTTTTTTACTCATTTCCATGTTAACAGGTTTGTCAACCCTGGTTGGTCAACGGATCACAATCTACATTGATCAATGTTTTACAGCAATAAACAATAATAACAACATCAACATCAGAAACAACAATCACAAGTACAAGTACAACAACATGAAACAACGGCATACAACCTTCGTGCTTCAATTGGTTCAATAATTAACAGGCAGAATTATGCTTCACACTTTACTTCATGACAATTTGGTGTTGAATAATAACAAAAGATTGAGTGTGAAAGTGTAATGTTGGTTTTACTGATTAAAAAACCGGGAAAAGGCATTAAATTTGTCGTAATTTGTTCATTGCTTTTTTATAAAATTTTTAAAAGTTTGATAGAAATCCTTGAGAAATTCAAGAAAATTGAAATCAGCATCATTACAATAATAATATAAACATCCACTTTTGTGGATACATTTCAATAATTAGTTATAAAAATAATAATTGATGATCATTGATTGTCTTTGTTAACAATTGAACTATCGATACAGAATTTATCAGCTGTAAAATCACTGATTTAATATTGCCAAGATATTATCAGGTTTTAGCTAATTATTATTAATCTATCTTCTTTCATTGGTTTTATACATTAAAATGAAATAAGCTAATAAACGAAGAAAAGTTAAACTAGCAATTAAGATGGCAATATTTTGCCACAAATACTCGTCTTTAAGGTCAAAATGTTTGAGAATTAAGGATGAAGAAATTGATTCTTCGGATGAAAGTGATTCCGATGAAGAAGGTAGTTCAGCAGCAAGTCGTAAGTAATCAAGAGGGTTGTAAAATCCGGACCAAATTTTGGGCAAACTATCATATAAATAAGATGATGGTCCAGCTGATGATCCATCGGGTTCACTTGAATAATCTCCAGGAGATGTTGATAAATTTTCGTCTTCATAATCAACTGGAGGTAATTCAGTTGAAAAGTGAAGATCTTGAGCAGCATAGGCGAGTGTGTAAGTTGGTGATGAAGAAGACGATGGATTTGACGCTAATGAGGCAAGGGTAACATTAAGTGGAGGACAACGATCATAACCATACAAAACAATAAGGAAAGCTTCAAAGGCGTAACGAACATATGATATTGTAGCAATTGGCTTCAATGCAAGCGGAACCTTTGCTATTTTCCCAAAAAATCCACTCAACAGGAAAACAGGTGCCATTGAAAGAGGTGCCATGAAAACTGCATTTTGTACACTTCTAACGTAAATGGTACCAAAAAGCATTCCAACCGTTTGAGCGATATTAGAAACAAGGATAGAGATGAATATGAACAAAGCGAATCTCCATTGGTCCCAAATTTGTCCAGTCATTGGGTAAACAATTGAACAGAAAAGGGTTGTTATTACAATTTGGTAAGGTGTATCAGCAATTATTTTGGTCCAATAGTAAGTCCAACATGAATACCAACCATTATTTCGCTCTTGAATGTGAACAGCCACCTCGGCAGGAAAGGTCAACACAGTCGGCATCATGCAGGCCATAACAGTAAAAAGAGTAATGAAAAATATAAAAGCAACATTGTCTTGAGTCGCAGCTAGCACAGCTCCTACATTAATATCCGTTGAATTGGGTGATAAGGACAGGCAGCCATCAGCTTCTCCGATTGGATGGTCATAAAGGTAGGACATTAACAGTCCTATGAAAATAGCTTGCCCTATTCGAAACCATGTTAATTTTGGATCACGAATTGTAGTTAAATATGTTCGCGTTAAGAGAATCATAAAGTGCGAGAAAACGGGAAACTTTCGGCTCTTCATTTTATCAACAACTCGCGTTACTTTGACCCTTTTCTCATTGGTGGCACCATTTATCATTCCTAATCCACCTTCCATTGGATCAATTTCATCGTTCATCATATCTTGATCACCTCTTGATCCGGGCACCATTAATTTACGACACGAAAGATACATTGTTTTCTCATCATTGATTATTGTCATCTGTTTGGTTGATTCATATAAGGCCAATTTATTGATTGGCTCAAGACCATAATCACCCGATGCAATTTCAATAATGAAATCGGCTGGATTGTGAAATTGTGGACAAGTTAGGTCATGACGAGAAAGATGATTTAGAAGTGTGGTCGGAGATCCCTGATATAGACATCGACCATCGGATGAGAGGACATACATTTGATGAAAAATATTCAAAACTCTTGCTGAGGGTTGATGGATTGAGCAAATAATGGCTGGTGGTTTGTAATAGTTACCATTTCTTCGGAGATCGGTCAATTGCCTCAACAAAGCGATACATGAATAAGTTGAAGATGAATCTAGACCAGAAGTGGGCTCATCAAGCATTAAAATATCTGGCCCTGAAATCAATTCAATTGCGAAAGTTACCCGTTTCAACTGTCCTCCAGAAACTCGTCCAACTCTAACCTCTGCACAAGCTTCTAAGTTAAGAGCTTTCAGAACTGAATTAACGAGTCTAGGGTGATAATATGAGTTGCGTATTCGTTTGTAATTTTTTAATCTTGAAGCAAACATTAATGTCTCTCTAACAGTCAATTCAGCAATCAATTGATCTTTTTGACCAATAAATGATATTCCAATGGACCTGCTCTCTTCACTTGTTTCAAGGTAATCACGGTCATAGGCAACGACAATTGAACCTTTTAAACCTTTGGTCCTTCGACCTGCTAAACTTTCAAGAAGAGTTGATTTACCTGCTCCTGATGGACCAATTATAGCAGTTAATTGGCCTCCAGTTATTTCACCATTTTGTTTATCCAAAATAACACGGCGAATTGCATTTGAAGATGGAGATGAACTTGGTGGCGGTTTTTTAGGTGCTTTAGGTGAAGTGTAAGTAAGATTACGCCAAACTAGCCGAACAATTGAGTTGCTTGAGTGAGATGAATATTCAAAAGGAAAGGCGAGAAAAGCATCTGAAGGTTCGGTTGGTTTATCTTTAACAATATCATTATGTTCCATGGAAAGTCGACGCATTGATGATTTACTAACCATTGACCAATTCTTGTAATCAGTTGATGTTGAAGGTAAACTATTTGAGGCAGCACTTGGACGAACCATTGACGATGGTGAACCTTTAATAGGGTTGATAGGGTTCATTGGATGCTCCAAATCATCTAAATATGAGTCAATATTAAGGCAAACATTGTCAATCCCATGTAAACCATTATTCTTTCCATCGTGAACATTTCCACTACTACCATTAGAAGCTCTATCAGAAGAAGCCAAAGATCGATTGTCTTGTCTCATTGAATTTGAGGTGAAAAAAACTTAAAAAATATTAAACAAAAAATAAGAACAACTAGAGAAAAATAAACTTATGACGCACAAAGAGTTAAGCGAGTGTTCGCTTAGTCACCAGTTCTTTGTTGCTCTTGCAATATAAGATTTAGATCCAATGTTGCTGGTCATTCAAGAGTTATCCGTAACTCAGTAAATCACTAACATAGATAACACTCAATTGTAATCGCACAATTCAGCAAGCCTGATGACAATCTCTGTTGTTGTTGAAAAAGACTTTTTTTGGTGGTTAACGATGAGTATAACAAAGCATGAAAATGGAGAAAGAAACAAGACTATTGTTGAACAAGGCTCTTTGACTAATATGGTTAAGTTTAAGAAAATGATTATCTTGTTGCAAATAAGTCGAACAGTGAGAGGAAAAAGTGAGAGTTAAGGTTAAGGTGAGATATTTCCTTCCTATTTCCTTGGATAAAAATGGTGAATATTTTGTGAGCTTGAGATCAGCTCAACCTGAAAACTGGAACCGGAAAAAAGCCAAACTCTTAAATGATTGGATGTTTATGCGCTCATGTTTAATAATTTGCTTGTAAGCCCAAACAGAACCAAACAACGAACAAAAATAATAATGATAACCACAATATCATTAAATTAAACATGATTACAATAAACGTAATCAAATAAATTCAATTAAACTGAATAAAACTTTTAAAAATCATTTTGACGTTTAAGATTTGTTGATAGTTCATTGGTTGCATTCATTGCAAGTTTCGCACTTACAATCACAGCGTTCGGTTCAACCGATAAGAAGTGATCTGTTATACAAAATTGAAAATTTGATTTTGTGAAATAAGTTCACCAGAAAAATAATATTCATCATAAAAGAGGCCTGAAACTTCATTTTTTATCGATAAAACTCATGAGTTAACATGATTTTGATGAAAAAATCTGGTTAAATAAGTGTACAATAGGCTATATTGGTGGCAACTTTAACTCCAATTTTCTCGGAAACTATCCGTCAAAGAAATTTTTTGATAGCACTAATGGGCTTAGTTTTTGTGTCCCTACAAACCCCTAAAGTCCCAAATCATAACTCGAACGATTTACATTGTTTTGGTACATTTTGGTCATTTTGGTTGTGTTTTAGTTGTTTTGGTCACATTTTGGTTTTTTGGTCGTCTTTGGTTTTTTAGTGAGACCCGATATCAATACATCGATGGTAAGAAAAAAACAAAAGACGTTTACATTGTAAGTTAAAGTTTTTGATTAATTGCAATGAAATATTAAATTGAAATTTATTCTCAAATAGGTTTATCAAATACTTAAATTTTTCTTTAATTTGAATCTGTAAAAAATTTTTTTAAATTGAGTAAATACATTGTATTAGATGACTTTGATTTGTTTTCACAAATCAGTAATTGAAAGAATTTCATGTGAAAAATAGTTAGTAAACTATGTTTGTGATTAAAAAAGATATGAAATTGATTATACAATCCACTTTCAATGCTTCATAATGGTTCAATCGACAACATTGGATAGCCAATATAGCGACAAAGCTTTTTTGAATCCTAAATTATTAATAATTAAGGTGATCGATTGTTTAGACGTACACGAGTAGTGATCAAGTTTACTCCATTTTCAAAATTGGTTTGATATAAGACACGTTAGACTACGTGTAATATAGACATAACCTCGAGTTATTTATCTAACTGGCGCTTATCCAGCAAGATTAAAGTAAATTATAAAAATCAAATTAATGATTATGTTAAGCTTGAAATGAGAACATCAGGTTTTTATTGACGTCGTTGAGAAAATTGTGGCGATCCAAAAACAGGAGCTGAAGGGAAAGTATTACCGAAGATAGATGAAGATGAAGTGACATTGGCCTGACCGAATCCTCCAAAAAGTGAACCAGTTGCAGGTTGTTGTTGTTGTTGTTGTGCTGGTACTGGTTGTGTTGAAGAAGCCAATTGTCCAAAGCTTGGCGCTTGTTGAGAAGCTAATGCACCAAAGGAAGGAGCGCTTGAGAAGCTGAAATTTTTTTAAAGAGATTAAAAGAGTTGAATTAACAAACATTAAAAACAAAAATAAAATTGGATATAATAAACAGCATGCAATTTTTGGTATTGAGTTTTGTTATTTACCTAGAAAAGGGCGATGCTGCCTCTGCCGGTTTTGCCATGGATGGAGCAGATGTTTGCGAAAATCCGCCGAAAAGTGAACCAGTTGCTGGTTGCTGCTGTTGTGCTGGTACTGGTTGTGTTGTAGAAGCCAATTGTCCAAAGCTTGGCGCTTGTTGAGAAGCTAAAGCGCCAAAGGAAGGGGTGTTTGCATTTGCGAAGCTAAAAACAAAAAATCAACAATGTGAGGTTGAATTAGTAACGATGATAATAGATATAAGAATTAATTTAAAGTTCAAATGAATTTAAAAAACTTACCCTGCAAATGGCGATGCTGCTTCTGCTGGTTTTGTCACAGGTGGAGCAGAGCTTTGACCAAATCCTAAACTAGTACCAGACATTGTTTTACCAAATGGCATAGTATTACCAAAAGTCGGTGATCCACCAAATGTTGGTTGAGTTCCGAATGCAGGGGCACCTCCGAAAGTTGGTTGAGCTCCAAAACGTGGTTGCCCTTGGTTCCCGAAAATACTAAATCCAGTTTGAGCAACAGCAGTAGTTTGAGAAGTAAAAGAGCTTGACAATGAAGGTGGTGTACCAAAGGTTGATGTTTGAACTGCTGTTTTAGCCGCAAATAAGCCAGGTTGGGGAGCTAAACTTGTAGCTGGTGATCCAAAAGGGTTTTTAGTAGGAGTATCTTGACTTGGTTGTCCACCTAAATTTGCTAAAGCAGCATTGAAATTGAAACCAGAGGGTGATGAAGCAGTGGTTTGAGTACTAAATAGAAAAGTGGAAGAAACAGTGGACGAGGCTATGTTTGTTGATGCTGTTGAAGAGGGAGGGAAAGACGGAGTTGTTGAACTGATATCCTCTTTAACATCGGATTTTACTTCTGTTTTAGCAATAAAAGACGTTGATTTATCAGCTGGTTCAGATTCTTTTAACGGAGTGTTTTCAGGCGGAGCTTGTGGTTTCGGTGTCAAGTTTTGTTGGTTGGTTTCAGTTTTAGGAGTAATAGTACCAAAAGTATTATCTAAACTGAAAGTGAAAGGTTTTGAGTCTTGGGATTCATTTTTACTTTGAACATTTTCCTTAATAGACGATGGTAGCTCCTTTTTTGGCTCTTCAATTATGGAAATATCTTTAGTAGCAGTTGTAAAGCTCGACGCAAATGATTTTTCTGGTCCTTGTGGCTTATTTGTACCAAACAAAAAGGTAGAAGATAGGGTCGGGGAAGCTAAGTTCGTAGTAGAAAAGGAAAGATTGGTATTTTCTTTAACTTCAGCTTTTGTGTCTGTTTTACTGGTAGAAGAGACATCAGCTGACTCAGGCTCTTTAGTACTTTTGAATGTGGCAATGTCGGGGAGAGGTTGCGGTTTCGGTGCTGACTGTGCTTCAGTTCTAGTAGTAGTTGTACTACTTGGTGTGCTGCTCAAACTAAAGCTGAAAGGTTTTGTTTCTTTAGGTTCGTTTTTAACCTGAACATTTTCCTTAGCAGTTGACAGTGTTTCTTTGCTAGGCTCTACAATAGGTGCGATATCTTTGGTGGCAGTTGCAAAAGTTGAAGCAAATGCTTTTTCTGATCCCATTGGTTTAGATGAACTAAACAGGAAAGTAGAGGAAGATAGAGTAGGTGAAGCTATATTTGTTAATGTTGTTGAAGAGAAAGAAAAAGATAGATTGGCATCCTCTTTGGTGTCAGTTTTTGTATTTGATTTACCAACGAAAGGTGTAGATTTATCTGCAGGTTCAGGTTCTTTAAACAAAGAATTTTCAGAGAGAGGTTGTGATTTCTGTGGCAGTCTTGGATCACTTTTAGTACTAATTGGAGATAAAAAGCTGAATGTTTTAGATGGAGATTGGTACTTTGAAGTATCGGCAATCGACATATCTCCTATTGCAGTTGTATAAAACAGTGATTTATCCTCGATTCTATCACCTTTCTCTGAAGGTTTCACTGGTGTAGTTTGAGTTGTTTGTAAAGTTGTATTGAGATCCTCAGGTTTGGATGAAGTTAAATTGAGAACTGGTGAAAAAGATTGTTTAACGGGACTGGCTGCTTTCTCGACTGCTTTAGCTCTTATTTCTTTCAAACGTTCTTTTGCTTTGACAACAGCAGATACCATTTTAGAAGATTTCAAATCAACAGGTAAAATAGCTCGCCTGCTTGGAACTGTATTTCTTTGCTCGAAAAACTCCAATAGCCTTTCTTTTTTCTCTTTTGTAACATTGGGAACCTTGATAAATGATTTAAGTTGACAACTTTCATTCATGCTGTTATCTTCTTGAAGCGAAGTATTTCTCAATGAATTTATAATCTCTTGGATTTCTTTACGTCTTGGCGATACAACACTATCGTCTTCAAATTCAATCGATTTTGTAAATTTGTCATATTTAGCAAGATTTTTTTTCAATATTTCGATAGTTTTATGATGAGTTGATAATGTATGGTAAATCATATCAATAGAAGACAACGTTTTACCAGGCTTCTTTGAGCTCATTTTAGCGGTATATTCGTCCCATTCTCGATCCAACATGTTATTGAAATCTTCCAATTGAAGTTCAATATCATGTGCAATCTTTTTTATTTCTCTCATTTTTCGAGCTGTTATGGGATCTAAGGATCTGCGATTGGCTAACATGGTGTAAACAGGATCAGATTCTTTTTCTAAGCGAGTTGTCGCCTCTTGAACCATAGCCCATGTTTCCAAAAGATAACCATTCAACATACTCAAATCGAGACTTTTGAGGGTATCAGAAGAAGTTTTCAGCAACTCAGTTAAGTTGGATGTTTCCGATTGTAGCACGGAAAGTTCATCAGGTTTACCAATTTGCAGTTTCAGTGCTTTGGAGAAATTATTTTTTGCATTTTGAAATGTTTTCGTGAACTCGTTGATTTCCTCTTGAATTGCAACGCTAAAAGTTTCTTCTAGTACCTCTTGCTCCTTTTTTCTTAATTCTTCCTCGCTAATGGCTGGTTTAGAAGAGACTTGTTGCTGAGGAGCTTGAGGTTGGAAATTTTGAGGTTGTTGAATTTGTTGCTGAGATAGTTGAAACTGTTGAGTTTGCTGTTGCTGAAGCTGTTGTTGAGTAGGTTTGGGTGGCTGAGAGCTATTCGGTGGTACAGACTGGGGTTGTTGTTGTGGTTGACCAGGAGCTTGAATTGTTGCAGAAACAGATAAAGTTGTTTGAGGCTTAGGCTGAGCAGATTTTGAAAGAGAAAAAGTGAAAGAAGCATCAGCTGCTTGAGATGGCTGAATTTGAAAGGGCTGAGCACTACTTTTTGAAATAGGAATTTGTGGCGCAGACTGTTGTCCTGATAACTGAACCTCTGAACTAGATATGCGTGCAGGGGGAGGAAGAGTTATGGGCAACGGTTGAGAAACAGTGAAATCAGGTATAATCAATTTCCCTTGATTATGATATGCATAGTATGGACAAAGGACACCAGCTGAAGATAAAATTACAACTAAGGGCCAACCAGGACCGCCAAAACTAACACTTTCGTTTACTTTGAAAATTTTAGTGGGACCTTTGAACCAAGATATACCACAAGGTGAAGATTCTACATTATTCGCGTCTGGTTGTAACTCAATTCTTGAAGTATCATCAAGAATCCATTGACTCCATTGATTCGGGATAGGGTTGATTTCTCCAGCATCACAACCAATTAAAGCAACTTCAGAGGAAATAGATGAAAGGCATAATAGAATATTTCCAATTTGAGAAAAACAGAATTGAATTTTATCCGGTCCACCATATTGGCTTGTCTCCATACATACTGATCCAAAATCATAATACTCGATAGTGGCTTTTGGAGGAGCATGTATAAAAACTACACGTGTATCTGGATTACTAGTCGAACTATTATGAATGAAAGCTACTTGAAATAAAGCACTGTGGACCCAATTAACGTTTATGATTTTATGATTCGGTAGCTCCTTCGGTGGTGGGATGATCTTGGCCTTTTGAAAGTTTTTACCATTTTGATGCTTAAATTGAGTCAGTTGTCCGTTGTCTCCTCCTACAACAAGCTGTTTTCCTTTAGGACTCCAGCTAACACATGTGAATTTGAAGGAATCTGTATAGTGCGAGAGAATTTGAATGCCTTTGGTTTGGTTATCGATGCCAATCGTAACAAGCGCTCCATCACTTAAAGCAGCAGCAAATAAAGTTTCAGAGAATTCAGGGTGCCATGCAACGGATTTTATATGAACGTTAGAAGAAATGCTTGAAGGAAATGCAATTCTATTTATAGGATTAGGGTCATTAGCAAGAAGATTCGGAATATAGTAAATGTCACCCGAAAGATTATTTGAAGAATTTTGACCGAGAACAAGCAATAGGTTATTTGACCCTCCACTCACAGAGAGCAAAAAAGGTTTGAAAGATAGTCTTATTTCAATTGATGGGTAAGAATCAACAATTTGATTGACTACGTTTTTCGACCACTCAAAGTCCAGTAAAGTTGAGATTTTGATGACTTTGAAAGCTAAATTATGAAAGAGAAAAAAATCGGTCAAAATTAAATTGAGGTTAAAATTTTACAAAGGTTTCAGTGTAGGTAATAGCCATACAGCATGAGTAACTGACTTTCAAATTTTAAATCAGTTAAATTACTTACCGTTTTCGTAAGCAGCAAAGATGACTTGATGATTGTGGGAGATGGCAACATTATTAATAACATTTGTATCTAGCTTTTTAGCGATAGATAACTTGCGAAGCTCAACAAATTTGAAATTCTGGTAAATAAAAGAAAAAGATAAAGACAAAATGAGTCAATAAAACAGACGAATCAAATAGGTAAGATAAAACTAACCAAATTTTCAAGAGTATTTGCTGTCACCAGAGACATATTTAAGGACACAACGTGGACAGAAGTATAATAGTCAAATCAAGGTTAATTGGCAGAAAAAAATAAATAAACTCAACATTAAAACATTTTAACTAATAACAATAAGCAATTATTTAACTGAATAGATTTTCAATTTGAAAACAAAACTGTTCCGCAATATTTTTCAATATTAAAAAACATAGCTAACTCCATCTGTTAACATTTTTTTATTCTCTCATAGAGTTGAGTTTTTTATTTACATTATTCAAATCATCAAATCAAAGTTCAAATGAGGATCGGAACTAAACATCAATTGTAATGATAATGATTAAAGTTTACCCTTATTTTTAACTAAACCATGATTAGATTATTTAATATGATATTTGTGTAAACTTAGATCTAATTTCCTGGTAATTGTGATAAAGACCATCAAGTTGAAGATTGGTGCAAGTCCAGTTTACCAAAGACTCATTGATCCAAGCAATCTTTGCCATTCCAGGTTCAACATGTTAATTGTCTGAATTTCAATATCCTTGACCTACGAAGATCTGAATTATTTTGATTATTTTCATTGGACAAAACCAAAATGCTAATCAGAATATTATTAGTAAATCTTGTGACCAAACTTAACAGCACAACAAGGAGTAAACACGACAGGTCAAGGAAAACCGAGAGTGTTGAAGCCTCCATTTGAATTAATGTTAATCATGCAGAATGGTTTCTAAACAAGCTCAATTATAAAAATTCAATTAAAAGTGAATAAAAATAAAGAAAAAACTACAAAAAGTAAATCTAAAATCAAGTTTATGTTCAATTTTACTGAATTTAAGTATTTGTAAATCTCAATGCGAATCAATGAATGTTAATCATTAATCATGATAAGATTGATAAGATTGATGATATCAATAAAGGTATTTAAAATGATTGGTAAAATTGATAAGTAAGAAATAATTGTTTCAAAATATTAATATCGTGGTTAAATATTGGAAACAATGAGAAAAGCAAAGTTCAGCTTGATCATCTTCCATTGTTAAACCAATTTGACAGATGATTAGATCATCAGATCCAAGATTCGAGGTCAACACTTATTGTTAAAAGTTAACTGATAGACATGATATAATTAAAATAATCAATAACAATATTAAATGAAACAACTATAACCATTATAAAAAAGGGAAATAATTTTCACAAGTCAAAAATTGAACCAGAAATTATTGAAACATAGGTTACAAATTTTCCTTTCGGGTTTCTAATTGAATCAATCATAAAGATTCATGATTATTATCATCATCATGATTATCATGATAAGTGACAAGTAATTGATGAACTGAAACAAGTCTGTTACTGAGCTAACCCATTTTCAAGGATATAAAAGAGATATACATTGAGAAGGAAAAAAGTGACACTTTTATAATTAAATCTTTCTTTAAGCAATATTGATTATCATCAATTTTACATCATCAATTTGTATAATAGATAATATTTCCTCTTGATTAACTGATGAGATAATTAAGGTTTTCATTTCAATCAGTTGAAACATTGGGATTCCAACATGGACCATTGAAAAATAAAAGCCTAAGCTTCAATTTTTCCCAATTTTACATTTCTTTTACCTCTTCTGTTAACCAAATTTTTTAACATTGCAGTTCGGATTAGTGTATCGTAGTTGCTATTTAGATTGCTGAGAATCAAGATGATTGTTGATTGAAGGAGGAGATTTAGTATTGATTGAATTAAGGGAGGGATGATGATGAGAGGGAGATTTTCATGAGTGTAAGGAGAGAAAGTAAAGAGCTGATTATGATGATTGGTACCGGTGATGATGATAATAGGTATTCACGTTAAATACAAATTTTCATTTTCATCTCAGACAAATCATAAGTGATAACCTCAACAAATTATTAACTTAGTGCCTTATTAATATACATTATTAAGTGTTTAGTTAATTATTATTCAACACCATGAACGGAATCGGTAATCAATCTAATGAAACATTTTTGTTTACATCGGAGTCCGTTGGTGAAGGGCATCCAGGTAAGTCTTTTTTTGCTTCAAACTAAAAATCTGTTGCTTATTACATGATGATTAGTAAAGCATAATTTTGTATTAAATGTATTTTATTAAATCAGTTAACAGCAAATTAGAAGAAAATTTTCAATTTTTTACTTCATTAGTTAAAATATTGGTAAATATAAAGCGAAATAACAATGTTTCTTGACTTTTGAATCTTTTGATTATAACTGTAGGGTAAAACCAATCATGCTAATTACACGAGTGTTCATTTCTTGAGAGTTTTCAGGAAAAATCTACTCAAATGTATGTGAGGAAGTCAAGTACAGATGTACAATGTAGGATTGAACTAGTTGATGGCGAGATATATTGAGATTGTCTAATCAACAATTGAAAAGAGAAAGTTATACAATTTATTGACACACTAACCATTGTAGATCAAGAATGAGGAATTTTTGATCTGATCGTTGAAAATGATCTTTTGAGTTGATTTGAAATGAAATATTTCATGCAACTTTGTATTGCATTTACTGTACAATCTGTTTGTTTGATATTCAAAAGATTCCAATAAAGCCATAAATTGTATTCTGACCATTTTAAATAGAAGCCTTGTGATCATTTTTTGAAATTATCATTTGATTTTCATTAACTTCAGATAAAATGTGCGACCAAATCAGTGACGCTGTTTTAGATGCTCACATCGCTCAAGATCCAGAGGCCAAAGTAGCATGTGAAACTATTACTAAAACAGGAATGGTTCTGTTATTTGGTGAAATCACCTCAAAAGCATCAATAGATTACCAGAAAGTGGTGAGAAATGCCATTGACAAAATTGGTTACGATCATAGTGATAAAGGTAAGTCTTGGTAATTAATAAAATGCTGCAATTCATTTTCATTCATCAACTGATTTCATCTCCAATATTAGTTGAGTCCTTGATTATCTCGATTTACTCAGATTTTTAAAATTTCAAAATAATTGTAAGCTTATCAGCTAATGATGATGTCTTGGTCCATACATTATAAACCAGTTTCTTAAAGATTGAGTGATGATACAGATGAAATTATCAATAAAAAGAGATGAAAATCGCAAAAATTACAGAACATTCAGTTGCATAATCGTTTAAGTATGGATGTCCAATCAAAAATATGGTCAAAATTATGATGCAAGGAGTAATTAACGGGTTTGAATTTCGTTTTGATTAACTTTCTTCTGGTTGTTTCAGGATTCGATTATAAAACATGCAATGTATTGATTGCCATTGAAGAGCAAGCACCAGAAATAGCCTTGGGAGTTCATGTTAATCGAAATATTGATGAAATTGGAGCTGGTGATCAAGGTTTGATGTTTGGTTATGCTACTGATGAAACTGAGGAATGTATGCCTTTAACAGCTGTATTATCACACAAATTGATGGAGAAATATTCTGAGTTGCGACAAAATGGTACCCTTCCATGGGCTCGACCTGATGCCAAATCTCAAGTTACTTGTGAATACTATCTCGATGGCGGAGCTGCAATTCCAATTAGAGTTCACACCATCGTTGTATCAGTCCAACATGCAAAAGAAATAACTTTGGACAAGCTCAGATCGGAAATCACGGAAAAAGTGATCAAACAAGTAATTCCAAGTAAATACTTGGATGATAAAACAGTAATTCATGTAAATCCATGTGGTGCTTTTGTTAATGGTGGTCCATTGGTAAGTATCATCGATATTCCACCTAAATCAATAGTCCAAAAAATCAAAAATAAATTTTCCTTCATTTTCAAGAGGTCAAACGCATGACCTAAACTCTTAATAAATTCCAAATTAGATTCCTAATTATCCTGAGAACACAAAACACAAAATAAAAAGTTGTAGATCATTAGTTTCTCAATTTATAATTTGACCAAAAAACTCACTCAATATTCATAGGTCTTATAAAAATCGATTCAGCGTCAATCTTATTCAAACCTGAGTTTTGTTAGTATTTTCCTTAATAACTGTAGCTTGGTGTTTTAACTCGACTAACAATTGTATAATCGACTGTTTCAGGCTGATGCTGGATTAACAGGACGTAAAATCATCGTCGATACTTATGGCGGCTGGGGTGCTCATGGAGGTGGAGCATTTTCCGGAAAAGATCCAACTAAAGTTGATCGATCAGGTGCATACGCTGCTCGTTGGGTTGCCAAATCTCTGGTCAAAAATGGTATCTGTAGACGTTGTAATGTTCAGGTAAGCCATCAAATATAAATAAATCACAAGTTAAATATATAAATTGCTTGATTCAAAGAAGAAAAATTAATAAAACAAATTGCTTGCTTTATGACGAAAAAACGCGGTAATCATATGTTAGTGACATCAACTTTGAATCACAGCAACTGATTGGAAGCAAAAAAGAGAGGGAATATTGAATAATGAAAATTTAAAATTTAAAATCAATTCACCAAATCATAACAATATTTGCGATAAGTTATTAATCCAGTTAATTAATTTTTTTGTCTTACCAACAGATTTCATACGCCATTGGAATAGCTGAACCAATATCCATTTCTGTCTTTACATACGGAACTGCAAGCAAATCTTCAAGCGAAATATTGAGCATCATCAACAAAAATTTTGACCTCCGTCCAGGACGAATAATTAAGTAAGGTTCTAAACCAATTAAATTGTAATAAAATCACTGATGTAAATTGTTTTCATTTCACAAAACAGGGAATTGGGTTTAAGGCAACCTTTGTACCAAGCAACCAGTGTTTTTGGACACTTCGGAAGACCTGATTTTCCATGGGAAGTCCCAAAGCAGTTGATTATTTGATGTTGAAACTGACATTAATCCAATAGGATTTACAAAAATGGTAATAATCATCACAGTTAGTAACTTAATGCCGTAAAAAAATCTCTTTTTGAACCATAAGGCATGAACATATCAAATCAACAAAAAGAAATCACGACAATTAACTTTATGGCAACAATAAACATGAAATTTTACAATCACCAAACTTGAGTGTAACATTGTTCAACATACTAAAAAAAATGTCTACCAGGTAACCCGTTGATGGAAAGATGAAGCTTGATAAGCTTTATGCAATACGTAATTAAGAGAAGAAGGATTAAAATAATTCTGATAATAGTAATAATGTTCATAGGAATAGATACAAAATGAAACATAAAAACAGTCTCAAGAAAGTGAAGGTTAATAGTTATGTCAATTATTACAACATAATTGCATTGCAATCAAAAATAATATCAATTAATAAAAATTTTCAAAGCATATTAATAATTTATAAGAACCTCGTTCTGGAGGAATCAGGAAAAATATAAGATTATAATTGAATAACATGACAGGTTGAGACTTTTGTAACTGCACAATTGATTGGAACCAAATTTACATTTCAGATTGAAAAACCTAAATCAAAGCAACCGAAAAATTATTATATTTTATCAATTTTTGTGAAATTCAATGAATCTGGTTCATTTCCAAGTCAATTAATAAAGTCTCTTTAATTGTTCTCGATTAAGCAGCTTCTTGCTTCAAGTTATATTTGCTTAGAAGCGTATAAGATCGGCGAAACAGGAATATAAAGGGTTCCTTGTCAGTGATCTTTCATTGCTATATTAGCTCGAGTCGAAGAGATTGCTTGAACAGAAGATTTTTTGGCCCCATTCAACGCTAATCATTGGCAAACGATTTCGCTGTAAATTTATTGAAATCAGAGTTCATGGAGACTTACTTGTAACATTATTTATTTTAAACGTCAAGATACATGTTTTATGAAAAATGAAATCAAAATACAAAAAAGTAGAATCGAAAAAATATTGATCATGAAAGGTGATTAATTTGGTGTTCATTAATGAATTGTAACATTTTTTAAGAAAATAACATTTAAACTAGAAAAAGAAATCTTGAAATGACCTAACCACGACCATCATGCTTAGTCTAGTATAGAAATGGCCACATTTCATGTTCCATCTTGTCATCGTCTTTTAATATTTAATAGTGATTTAGTGATAGTGATAGTTATAGTAACTTTATAGTTAAGTTAGTTAGTCAGATAATCTTTGATCAGAATAGATCAAAGTGGACATCTTTTAAGAACTGCTGTTTGCTCAATCAATTGGCATACTTGATCCCTTGTACTCGATGCTCTCAATTGTGCTTTAACATCGGCCAATTTGCCATAAATTTCATCGTCATTCAATATCTTCTCGATTGCCTCAAGAAGCTCGTGATCCTGAAAATGGTACGTTTCAACACGTAAACCCAATCCTTTTTCAACAATACGCTGAGCGTTATCATGTTGGTCAAAGCAGATAGGCATTACAATCACTGGTTTGCCAAAGTATAGACTCTCTGTTAGTGTATTGTTACCTCCATGAGTTATGACTAAATCAACGTGTGGAAGGATACCAATTTGATTAACATATCGATCTCCCCACATATTATCTGCCAGATCAATTTGTTCATGAAGTGGTCCTTTAGATACAATGAAACGGTGAGGTGCTTTGGCCAAACAGGCGAGGACTCTTTTCATCAACTCTAAATCAATCGAAGCCATTGAACCAAGGGAAAAGTAAATTAATTTTCCTGGTTTATTGACCAAATTTTCTGGTACTTTGAATGGATTCTTTTCATCTGGTTCTCTTACAGCTGAGTCAACCCGAAACCATCTCTCTGGTTTTTTACAGATGTCACTATAATCCAGGATTTCGGGGTAATTGTATATGTTCAGAAATGGTGATTCAAGAAGATGATATTTGGGCTTTTCTTCAGTCACCGTGATTCCTCTTTTTGCCAACCATCGACGGTTGTGTTCATAAACTGGTCGATACTTTTCGCTGTTGATGGAATCAAATTCCTCCCATTCACTTCTGGGACCTCGAGTTGGGAAGCCACTTCCAAATGGAGGTAAATCATCATAGATGAGCAATGGATTACATGACCACAATGATATCCAAGGAATGGTCGTTTTCATCAAACAAGGTAACCAAAAGAGTGTATCTACAATAACTAAATCTGGTTTAACCGAATCTAAGACACCAGCCAAGGGTTCATCGAGTGCTCCAAAAAAGGCAAACAATTTACAATTCAATTTAGCCCATTTCTCGTCAAAGTATTTAAATCTATCCCAGGTCTTGTGTCGGAGCTCGGCAAACATTGTTGAAATATAATCAATTAAAAAAGTGGCTTTCTTATCTTTAACATCATTATTTTTGGTATCTCCACCGTTTTCAGAATGACCATTAACTCCATTGGTGTTGGTGTTATTGTTATCATCAGAACCGTTGACTCCATTTTTTTCATCATTATAATCACTGTCAAAATCGTCATCAGGTTCATTAACAACTATTTCAATGTATTTGAAGTTATGCTTTTCAATCAACTCTTTCCAGCCACTGGTAACAGCAAATGTGATCTCATGTCCACGAGGAGCCAACAGTTCAGCTATGGCGATGCAGGCGTTGACGTGACCCTGGCTGATTAATCAACAACAATTGTTACAATCAAAATTATCAACATGTAAATCTTACAGTTATTCATAAATCAAAATGTCATAACCAATTTTTTCAACAAACCAAACTCACTGCATAGAGTCAATCCTTAAATGAATTGTCAATAAAATCTAGTTATTTCAACTGAAACTGTAGTCTGAATTGAATCTCGCAATTTCAAGCGCTAACAATTGAAATGTGTTTAAACTGTCAATCATCAATGAGTTCAGATGAAAATGAAAAGTGACTTGACTTACCTATTCAATGCACTGAAAAGTATTTTAAGTGGTTGCATTTTCGTTCTGTTAAAGCGCGCTGGTTAACGAAATCAATGTTGTTATTGTTGATGGTGACAAATTGCAATCGAGTAAATTGTCTTTAACTTTCACGATTGTAACAATTATAATTACTGTCTAATTAAGAGTCTAATTACAAGATTATCAATGTGTTAAAGATGAATTGAAACAAGAAGTTTTCTTGATCAAAATTGATAGCCTTGTTAGACTAACATCTGAAATGTGGATGCATCTTATTTATAAGGAATAATATGACCCGAATAATTCCATCAGCCAGAGGATTGGCGTCAATTCGGTTGATAATGAATGATATTAACAGTTATCTGAGACACTAAATTGTGGAGCGATCAGCTATGGTTTCTGTTGCAATCGACTCCGTCAAAGGAGTAAATCATGGTTGAAACATGGCGTAATGATTATTACTTGTTCAACCTTGAAGATCCTTTGCTCTTTATTATTGCTGTGAATATTCACAAATCTGATTCTAATAATATAAGATCTTATACCTAAATTATGGCCCATTATCAGGGAATCTATTAATGCTGTTTATTAAAAGATGATCCGATGATTAAAAGCTGGTATTTAAAAAATAGGGTTAAGATTAGAAATTTTTTGTTCCGATTTTAGTTCATCTTAATGAATTACGGTTTGCATAATAACCAGCCGATTGTGATAGATAATTAACAGAAAAATAACATTTTTTTCCCTAAAATCCTTAGAATCAGGTTGTTATCAATAAAACCTTTATTATTATACTACAATTTTAATTTAGTATCTTGGCTTGTGGAGGAATTTACATGAACAGCAATTATGTTGTAATAAATTACACAACTGATAACCATGACTTTCTTGAGACTGATTTCATGTTTCATTTTGTATCTTTTCATACAAACATTATCAATCCATTGTTATTACAATCATCAGAATTTTTGATATTTGAATCCTTTATTAGGATTGAAGGATCAATGATGATCGAAGGATCATTGAAGTATTGCCAAAATATTATTATGGTTTGATTTCAAAGCAAATCTTTTTACATTAGTAGTAAGATAACGGAGTTTCTGTAGTAACTCTAACAATAAATTAAAGTAGCAATAGAATCGATCTTTGTTTTGTTCATTTCTCTGTATAACCAACTAACTGTTTTGCATTTATAAATAGTTTAACATTTAAATACTCTGTGAACCCAATTATTATCAACAATTTCCATTAATTTGTGTTTTATTGCTATCGTAAGTACTGAAATGTGCTCTCCACGTGCCTTGCAGATACACGCGAACATGTATTCCAGCAAACACCCTTACAGTGTGTTATTTTAAGACACCAGCAATGGCGTCATTAAATTACATCCTTAAATTACATCTAAATGACATCATTTTGGTTGGACAACCCTTTGGACTGATTTTGGTGGTGAGGATAATCAACCCCAGAATGCCTTGGCTTTGGTCAATCTTGACTGATCATCTCAGATATTCAAATCTTGCTATTTAAATTATATTTTTTGGTGTTTTTTTGAGATGCGATGTAACGCTGGTCAAGCTTACAAGGGAAGGTGCCTATGTGGTACGGTTCGATTCGGGAAATTTTCTGATACTATCTCCCTTGATGTGTTTCCGTGGGAGTCCTTGTGAATCTTTAGACCGTTTTCATCTGCGTAATAGTTCAATTTAAGATTACTATAGCAGGTATGACCGATTCTAGTGTCTCCAAGATCGGTCGGAAGAAATGGACAACTACCAACATGATCCAAATTATGCTACTGGAGGTCTTCTTGATCATTTTCTCGATGGTAGAAATAGTTAAAATTGGAAACAATAACTGGAACTGGGAGAGCAGTGGTCAATACACCGGCCATTGCACAAGAGATCCAACAATTTTACCCATAACTCCAATGGGTCTCAGTCACCATAACCTACAGTGGCCATCCTTAACTACA